TCTCTCTCTCTCTCTCTCTCTCTCTCTCTCTCTCTCTCTCTCTCTCTCTCTCTCTCTCTCTCTCTCTCTCTTACGATGCATATTTACTTGTAGATGGAAGAACAGAAATTGCAACCACGTTATAGTATAACTCATAATGTACCGCATCCATCCTCTTCTTCATCATCAACACTTCATTCTGAATCGGAGTATTCGTCGTCGACCACATCCGATGAATATTATTTTCACCAATCGCTACGCTCAACCGAATCACATTTTCTTGGCGAAGACCTTTTTCTTTGGCCATGAGTATCGGTCATTCTCTCGATCACTTTTAGTATCTCGTTTGTTTTCTCTCATAAAATCCTTCCTCTTTAATAACATGCGTGAATGTATATAATTTTACTTCATGTTATTAAAATAGTAAACGCGGACATTTTGTCAAAATATATGAGTTACAACGATGCACAGTTTCAAGGCGATTATGCAAAGATCATCGATACAAGTTACCGCTTTTCTAACACAATATATATGCTAACAATAATCATAACTTTTAATTTAAGAAATGAACGCTTTCATCTTGCCAAACAAAAAAAACCATTTTAAACTCACACATTCATAATCATAAACACACACACACACACACACACTCACGCACATGAGAATACATTGTAAATTTACATACATTCATACAGAGTTTAATTAATGAGCCAGCCTCTCGCCTTTCAGAGTGGTCGAATTCGAATTGAAAAAGTAATTGAATCAATAGCGATACATACATAACGCGAGGTAATAGTTGGTTATGAATTGGGTTTTTGTTTTTCAATTTTATAAACAATTTTTTGTTTGTTTTCTTCTTCTTCTAAATTTTACCGTTATTTTTTTCCACTTTGTGTTTAGCAATTGCTTTTCGAATTTATTTTCGCCACCGAAACACACAATTGCTTGCTTTTTTGCTAATATACATAGTTATACATTATTTTCGAAAACTTTTCAAATCAACACGAATTTCACAGTTTTTTTTCACTTAATTTTTTCTCTTCATTTTTTTCTATTTTTTTTTTTCTTTTTGAATTCTTTTGTTTAGCTTGACGACAGAAAAATCAAAAGTAGCGATACTTACATTTATTGAGAAAGCTATTGAGAAGACGCAAATATCCATTCGTTCTTTGCTTGATCAAATAACCATTATCAGAACAAAAATGAAATGATACACGCAAACACATGTGCAAGTGATTCAAAAGTAAAATCTAGGGGCTTTTATCTTCAAATGTATACGATTTATACTCTAAATAGTGAACTATATTGCAAAATCATCTGTAATACGCGCAAATAAATGTGCATAACTGCATATATTTGGTGTATATTTCGTGTATATTTCGTATATATTTCATCTATGGCATGTTTTTTTGTTCTCTTTTGTGCGGATCTTCTTCGATTCTGTGTAGCAATACTGTGTGTGTGTGTACACTGAAGTTTGAAATACATCTTATTCACTGGTATAGGCGAGAAATTTTAATCGTATATATGATGAATAGGACGTGAATATTGTGTATAAATTTGTATGAACGAATGATGATAGCCCCTAGAGTAAAATAACAAACAATTCGATTCGATTTTACAAACAAACAATTAAAATAAACTCTTCTCAAAATTCTTCCGTTCTCGAAATTTTAAGGTAATTAATAATAAAATCATTGTTTTAAAACAAAAATGAGCATCGTTTGAGTTTGTTTATTTTGCCGTGTCACAACTTACACTTTGATAATGTGGGATTGGGAGAGAGGAAAAAATGGCATATTGAAACGACAAAGAAAAATCGGTGACATCTTAATTTCGCTCGTTACTTGATAAGCACATCAATATGATCTTTTTTTTTTGCGGGCCATAAAATTCATAAGTGGCTGTAAAGTGTGCTGGGAATTTCTTAAAATGGAAATTCTTTTTGATCCATTGTTTGATTATGAATTCCAATCTAATCAGAATTTGAATGAGGAAAACTTTGTTGCGACTACATAACGACGCTCAATATGAACAAGATTCTTGTGAAATCATTTTCATTTCTCAGTTAATACATTCATAGCCCATACAGGATTTACGACATATTACGAGTGTTCATGAAAAAGCAGTATAATTTCATTCAAGTTAACGAGTTGCTTGAGCTTTTCCAAATAAATTTTCCGATAAAAAAAAATAAAGCTCCATAAAAAGTGCGCTTGGTCGCATATGAACTTTTCCCTCTCTGACAGTCACAACACAAACCAACTGGAATGAAAGCTCTTTAACAAAATATTAAATTCGATTTTGCCAACTAGCTTCGCAATAAACCTCTGCCAAATAGTTTCAGCTTAATAATAGATTTAGTATGATTACCACTCACAATTTTATAAAGCTTTAAAGCATAATAAAGAATGCATGCATTTTCAAACATACACACACATTTTATGCATTGAACATTTTTACTTTAACAATGGATTCGATGTGCATTTCTTTTACTCTTAAATTCAAACTCGACGAATGCCTTAAACGTGAGCGAACGTAACACAAGAAACATAAAATGCAATTCTGTGTATGTTATTTTCCAATTAATTTTTATGATATGCAATTAATGTATGTCTCTTTTATGTTTCATTAGCATCGAAATTATATGGGCCAATTGAATACTTGGTTTTAAGCTAAAGTCAAATAAAGTCGCTGTCACACAACAGCTGTAATCTACATATCATTTACGATTTTTCGATTCAACTCATTCAATTTGCAATCAATTTAACACCTTAAATACTAATTGATATGCCAATTAAACTTTTTATGTAAAATTAATGATGACATTTGATTATTTTTCTGTTATTAAATCAGTGATATATGATGTAATCTCATCAAAAGTGTCTTCCCAACTTTCAAGAAATGAGAAGTACTTATATTGATGAAAATCTCTTTCTATGTGAATGGAAAAATTAATACGCATCATTTTAAATATAGAGATGTCTTGAATTGAATTGAAAAAAAAAAGAAAATATTCTCTTTATTAAGTAGTTGCCTGAGTCTAGCTGTATTGGAAAATATAACTAGTAAATTTCATGAGGTCTCTTTTTTTGTTTATTTTCAAATAATACAGCCATTGGGCGCAGACAATTTTCCTGGTGATTTCGATTATGCCGATGTGGACTTTCATAACTATGGCCCGATCAATTATAAAGCTGCCTCCATTTATGCATTAGTAAAGAAAAATAAAAATGGCAATCTAACTGAAATTCGAAAATAAGCACAACTCAAACACGAAGTAGCATTTAACGTAAATTTTCCTTTCATTTTTTTGCTCTCTTTATTTTCGAAATTGGTTAGAAAAATTCCTGGATTAATGTGCATTTTTGTAAAAAAAAAAACAATATTTTTTTGCCTTTCAATCGATTACAAACATGCTGTATGTAACATGTAAATGCTCTTGAGAATGCATATAGCCAAAGTGAAGTGATAGATTATTTCGATCGTAATGTAAAATGTTAGGAAATGTATTTAAATGTTCATGTCATATTTTAAACAAAGAAATGTGACAATTTGTCAAAAAAAAAATACTCGTATGTAGTTCGCGGTAGAGAGCGGTAGATTTTCTTTCGAATGGAACTCAACTAAGCATTTTTCATTTGTTCGGTGTAAAAAATTCAATTTAAAGAACTACGCTATAAGCCAAATAATAACACTTATCATTGTTTTAGATTAATATTGAACTGCGTTCTTTTATGCTCATGTGATTATTTAATGTATTTGAATAAAAAGAAAATCGTAAAAATTTGCTTTGGTTCTATTTGTTATTTTCATTCATTTATTTATTAGGTGGACTTGTAACTATCTACATGCTACACAGTGGAATATTTGCCTTTAAATAGGCAATTTAAACATGGTTTCTTAGGAAACTTCCTTTAGGAAAAAATACGTTCTCAAATTATAATAATGATAACATTACGTTGATCATTATTACACTGGAAATTTTATTATATGACTGCCATAAAACTATATCTCGCTGAGAATGGGACATTTCGATTGTTTGACAACAATAATTCACATCAATCGAAGTGTCCCTTTCTATATAAGGCAGCAGTTCTGAATGAAACACTGCGAAAAAACTGTGATTTTCAGTCCAAACACCACTTGCACGCAGATCTGTCAACAAATGTTCGTTCGGTTTAACAATTATTTTGTCATTTTTTCGAACGTTTCCAATAAACTCTTTAGTAATTTTGAATATTTTAAAATTCATCATTTCAGAATAATTGACGTAAATAAAATTGAAAATATTTTTGTCCCACTTTATTTTGTTTACTTAAACATATTGGAGCCTAAATTATATACGTCTATTACAATTTGTACCTAAAAATATTTTGAACACTCCATAGTAACATCAGAGTATGACGTCAAAGGATAACGCTAAGAGAGAGAGAGAGCAAACGCTGAAAGACAGTTAGTTTCATATAAGACATTCAGAAATTATCCCCTTACTAAGCTTCAATTTTGTCATTGTTTATTATGAAAAATATTTTACATCTGTTTTTCTTCACAATTCAAAAGAATCGGAATGTATTTTTTTTTGTATATTATTTATTAATTATGAAGAGAGCCTGGCAGTTCAGTTTTCACTCATTAAAATATTTACAACTCATTATCAATTTGTAATTTAATAATTTCTGCATTACTTAGTTACAAAAGGGTATAAATATTGCGACTATCTTTATTGCTTGCCATCAATTGTTTTTCATAGAACAAATTACGACGTTTTAGCTCCTATCATTTTTTTTCTTCTCAAATTATTCGAGGTAAGTAAGACTTCACTTTGAAGTGAAGTTGTAGAAATTCAAATTCGTAGCAATAAAGAAACAAATTTGGCAACATTTGAATCTAAGTTCTTTTCACTAGTGTCCTCATATTGAAAAAGCGCCAATTGTTCAAAGTTTATCTTTTGCTAAAGATGTCATTTAAAAAAAATAAATGTACAGTTTTTCACCTAGAATACTCAGAGAAACTGAACGGAGCAAACAAATATTGCCAAAATGCCATTTTTATACTGGTTTAACCAGTTTCAGTGTAAATTTGTGACGACAACAATTTTTCTCTTCAACTTGTGTTACTGTAAATGTGACATCCATAATTCCAGAATAGAAGTCTACATTTGAAGTAAAACCTTGAAGGAAAAAATGGTTGTCGCCTCAGATTTACACTATAACTATTTTCGACCAGGTTAAAAATGGAATTTTACAATTTTTACCACTCCGGTTGCTCTGTTCAATTTCTATGATTAAATTTATTTGAATTGAGTTTTAATTTTAAAATGAAATATTCGATACAACTTTGATCCATCATCTAAAGAATACCACAGACATTATATTTAGCTGCCGTCATCTGGATATTACAGCTCATCTGGATATCGTCAGCAGATGATACGAAGTGAAAACAATAGAAGTGATTGTTATAGGTATATAAGCTTGTTATATACTGGTATTACCATAACAATCACTTCTATTGTTTTCAATTCGTATCATCTGCTGACGGCATCCAGATGAGCTGAAATATCCAGATGACGGCAGCTAAATATATTGTCTGGAATACCACTCATTTTTTTAATAAATTTTTCACAAACCAAATGATTTTTCAATTTTTAAATAGTGCGGTCAAAAACAAAATGACGATTGTGCCACAAATTGTGTGCATTCTTTTGGGAATCATTTTTGAATTATTGTGCACATCTGAAGCATTGCATATTGCAGTTGTTGGAGCTGGTGCATCGGGCATATCTAGTGCAAAGAATGCCATTGATCTAGGACACACTGTAGAAATCTTTGAAAAGAGCGATGCACTCGGTGGAGCATGGTATTACAAAGACGAAGTTGGAAAAGATAAATATAATGTTGATATCCACAGTCCGTTGTACGAAAGTTACAGGTATCAATAATTTCACTGCGATCCTAACGAATCGAATTGTAGAACAAGATGATTAAAGAAGTGTTTGCTTTTGAATAGAACGAATATGCCGTTTCAAGTATTGCAATTTCCAGATAATTACTATCCAGAAAATACACCATCGTATCCATCACATAAGATTGTATGGAACTATCTAAATAGATATGCTGAAAAGTACAATATAACGAACCGCATAAAGTATCTTACATTGGTTGAGAAAGTACTTTCACTGGAAAATAACCAGTGGGAAATAACTGTTAGACACTTGGAAACCAATAGCACTGTAACTAGCACATTTGATTCGGTATTTGTGTGTACTGGTGTTTGTTCTTCGCCTTTCATTCCGAAATTAAAAGGTGCTGAAAAATATAAGGGACAAGTAATACACAGCCGTGATTATCGTAAACCAGACACTTTTCAAAGTATGTTGTAAATAAACACATTTTATTATTGGTCGTATCTAATTTTGTTTTGACCATGGTTTTATGAAAAAAAAAAAATAGAAGAAAACGTTCTGGTGATCGGAATAGATCCAAGTGGACATGATATAGTGAAAGACCTTCGCCGTACTGGTACTAAAATAACACGTAGTTACATGGAATTTTCAACTGTCACTCAAAATTCTCAAGTGAAAAAGATAATCGGTACGTATTAAATTGAATCGAATTTTATGAATACAGTGATTTATAAGTGACGGGCATTTTTTTTAGGTAAAGCACAGGGAATGCTCACCAACTGTTTCGCCGTAACGGAAGAATATAAACGCCAGAATAACATTAGCTCGTTAATTGGCAATGTAAAACGTTTCACAGGACCACACGAAGTTGAATTTGAAAATGGAAAACGTATAAATTTCACAGTAATCATTTATGCAACAGGTAATTACTGCTAATCAAATCGATGGATTTCGTTTATTTGGCAAACAATAAATATGGTCTTTTATTTTGCAGGCTATAAACATTCGTATCCATTTTTGGACGCAAGTACTGGAATTCAAGTTAAAAACAACCACGTGGAACCATTATATAAGAATGTATTGAACATTGAGCACCACACGATGGCTTTTATTGGCATAACAAATTGGGAGCTACATTTTCGAATGTATGATTTGCAGGTGAATTCTCTGTTTGCTTTAAAACATGTTGAAATCTGGTTTTCAGTATTATACCAAAAGTTTAATTACTTATTTAATTTCGTCGATATTAAGACATTTTCCGAACCAATAAGAAAAAAACTAATAGAAAATTATGTTTTGTTTAACATAGGCTCGGTTTGCATTGGCATTCATATCTGGGATCAGAGAACTTCCACCAAAACCGGACATGATGAAAGCTATGCCAACCTATCCATATCAAATTCGTACAATGAAAGATTGCAAAGCACGAAAAGCATTTTCGAGTCATCAAGATTATTATTTTGACCTTTCACAAACTGCGCACGTTCCAAATGTGAGAGTAGTCTATTCAGAACTCTACGCAAATGCATTAAAACACTTGAATGAACCAGGATTTCGTAATTATAAATACGTAGTGAATGGTAATACCTTTGACCGAGTTAAAGAAAAATGAAATATGTTTGATTAGGGATATCAATGAAGCAACCTTTTAATGACAAAATAAATGAAAGGAGATAAATTATTTTCCACAGCAGTTTTTTTAAATTTTGTAACAGTTCAGAAAGAAAGTCAAACTAGAAATGAGGGGTAAGGAGAGTCACGCGTATGCAGTGGCAATACATAAAGGCATCACTTCGTACAACTTTGAACCATATATAATTCAAATACACAAAATAAATTGAAATGCAAGATTTAGTTGAATTTGATGTTGTCAAACAAAACATGTCTATATTTAAGTAAATAAACTGAATGTGGTGCAAATGTAGTGAGAGAAATTGAGAACAGAATGGTAAACATATTTTTTTTGAAGTTACTGGAGGTACAGTCTCTGTAAAGATGTGTCTCTAAAAGATTTTAGGGTTCCTAGGAATTCGACTAGTTTACATTTTACATTAGTTGCAAAATATCAATCCCAATGGATGTTGTCGAAAAATTCAAAACTAATATTTGAAATTTCAAACTTCTATGTAAATGTGTGTGTACATTGAAAATGTAGGCATTATGGCACAGTCTGTGAGTGCAAAGTCTACTGTGTATGCGCACAACCAGAGTGAAAATATCATATCTGAATTCAACAACATTTGTTAAAAATGCAACTTACCAAAAAAAAAAAAAATAAATGGTTAATCAGAGCAGCGAAACAAACAACTACCCGCACCGATTACTTGCACCAATGTGAAATCAATGGCACATTTATTCGGTGCGCATAGTTGTTTGTTTCGCTGCTCTGATACTAATTACAGAAAATATTTGCTCAAGCATTTTCGCATCAATGTAATATCGAATGAATATTTCTGAAAATATGTAAATTAATTAAAACAATACATTTACTTGCAAATAAGTGTACAATTTTACTAATCAGAACATTGTTATTCATTGGTAAATTGTCGTTTTTCACATTCAATTAAATATCGTTCGTAATTTGGATTCTCCACCGTTACATTTCCAGCAGAATACTTTCGATAATTTTGCTTTCTGTATGAAATTTCTCGTCCCAATTGGCGCGATCCAATAATACAGAAAACTGATAATATTGCAACCAGCAATACTACAACCAATCCTATAAATAAATTATTGAAAAAACGATTTCCTATAATGTATAATTAAAAAAAAAATCGGTAATATTGTTATCGAAAAGAGTATTTACCAGATAGAATCATGTACATCATGGACATTTTTTCATAGGTCGTTTTCGCTTGGTTGGCTGCAGCGTTCGCGTACTGTTTCAAGACCTCCGTTCCCTTTTGTATGTGCGTTGACAAAGTCGGGGCAGTAGTAGATACTACTATGGACGAATTTGATGGTGGGTCGGTTGGAGTTTTAAACAAATCAGTTCTGATCGTACTCTCTTCATATGTTGCATTGTTAAATAGCAGAAAACAACTAATATCATGATTTTCCTTTGATTGAAAATTGTCAGATTAGCATTTTAAATTAAATTATAATTTAAATTATTACCAAACTTAAGTTAATGATGTCTATAACTTGTAAATTTTTGCACAAATTCAATGCAATATGACGTGGCACCGTTGGTATGAATAGTCTTCGTAATTCGGTTAGAGGTTTGAATGCACTAACGCCTTGAGTCTAAAACAATGAAAATTACCATTTAAATCAATTTTAAAACAACGATTTCAATGATGAAATACCAAATTTAGTGGATTATTATCCAAATTCAATGCCACCAATGATGATAAGTTTTGGAAAATATTCTCCGGCAATTGATTTATGCTACAATTTGCTAAATACAATGTTTTCAATTTTTCAGTTTGAATAATGGGAACATTTGATGTCACAATGTCTTTGTTATCCGTCAGAATCAATGTGAGCAATCCTCGGGCTTTGGAAAATTCTTTGCCTTGAAGTGGTTTGAAGGCATTTGTTGACAAGTCGATGTGATGTAAATTTGGTAACTTTGCAAAATCCTACAATTACATTCATCGCGTGAAATTATAGCATTTTTTTAATTGAAAATACATTTCATTTAACCACTCACTTCAGTGTTGACGATTTTTCCAATTTCATTGTTATTCAAATACAACTGTCGTAATTCGCCACAATTTATTAAATCATTGACATTCAGCGTTTTCAATGAATTATGACTTAAATTTAGATAAACTGTACTTTGCGGAAGATTTTTTGGTATTTGCATCAAGTTTTGATGAGAGCAATCAACAAGGGTGATTTTCTTATTGCATTTACAATTCGTGGGGCACTCAAACTCTGTGAATAAATGTAATATTAATATATATTCATTTTGTAGTTTGTTATTTAAAAAAAAATCATTTAAATATCAAACCATTAGCTATAGTTGGTCCTTCCGTTTCCAGCTCAGTTGATAATATAACTCTGGAAGTCGTAGTAGGTATTGGCGGCAAAGTTGATTCTTCACTACTTTCTTCTTCCTCGTATTCCACATAAGTATATTCTTCATTGGAATTTTCATCACTAAATTGAATCCGAAATAATTTTTTAAAAAATCATGTTATTCCGAATTATTTTTCTATTATCCAATTATTTAGTGTAATTTGGCTATTCAATATAAAAAAATGCATAAATTCTGAATGTGGAATCAATTAAATTGTTGCAAAAAGGTTTTCGGAGACTCATTCATGCTAAAAACAAACATCAGATTCATACAGAATGGACAGAAATGTGTTCGTCCTTCAACTTCAACAGCCGAATAGAATGAGATAAGATTTATCTGATTCTTAGAAGTTGAACAATTTCTTGTTTATTCATTCATGGTATTTTGATTTCTTGGACAGTACTTGAAAAAAACGATGCCTCTTTGAGATTTTTTTTTTTTGACTCAGTTATCGACCTGAAACCAAACTCACCGATTACAATATATAAAGCACGAGGACAAATTAAATGTTCATTAAATTTTTTGTTTTTATTGAAAATCATATCAATTCTCAAACCCTGGTGAATTGCCACAATAAAGTTAGATTAGATTAGTACGTGACAAACTGCACGTATAATTTTGTTGTTATCTGTATAACAATTGAACATTTATGAACAATTTATTTTTAACGCACATTTCACGAATATCGAAATATTCTTGTAGTTGTAGGGCCAGGCAATAAAACTAAGACGCCATCAGACTATGACCGATTCGACAAATGAGGGGTTCAGAGGAAAAATGTTATGTAATTGGTACCAAATAGGTAAAATAGCTCTTCTAAATGATACCAAATAACTTTAGTTGAGCTATTTGGTATCAATAAGTTAGGCTCAATTAGTTAAAAGTTGGAGGTTGTTGCAATTCAACTTGCGAAATTCAATAGAATTCAATATAAGATTTTTATTTCATTTGTCGACTTTTTTGTTTTCGTATCAATAACAACGTATCTTTTTTATCATCTTTCAATTTTGAAGACTTCCTTTTTGCAAATGCGAATAGTTTTTTATGTAGTCGTTCAGATGCGTCTATGCAAAGCATCACCAGTTGTGTAGAAGATCTATCTATGTGTAGAACAGAGACTCAATCAAAGTTAATTTTCAGACCGTTTATTCGCATGTGTTTTTAAGGAGATCATGTTACAGATTAGACGTTAAAAAACAGTCTAGTTTACTGATAAAGTTGCAATAAATCAAAAGTGAAAATACATAAAATGACTTTTATCTCCACTTATGTGACCTTTTTTGTTTCTAAACATGTCTCTAAACGTGTAGCTACTGATAAAGAATATATTTGCACGAATATGTTAAAATAGATGTGGTGGCAATATGACGATTACTTGTGCTGATAAAGGTGAAAAAAAGCTGTCCCACAGCTGTCGGACCCCACATGTGCTATGCCATACACTAAAATTACTAAATATACAACTTTAAAACAATAATTCTTTTGGAAAATTTGAACCAACTCATGGATTTGCGTCATTTTAAGAAACAGACACAAAAATGCCGACACGTGTGTTATTAAATTAGTTGAATTGTTAGAATTTAAGAGTTTTCATTGGATAAATTGTAAAAATAAAAGCAATCCATATGTTATCATTCACATTTATATACAGTTGTAAACGAATTCGCTGATAGTATCAATTAAAATGAAGCCGTTTACACTTCTTTTGCTTTTCTCGATTTCGCTGTTTATTCAGGTAAGAACTAGTTTCAAAGCTAGTTATCATTTCTTTTGCATCCATTGAAAAATCGTGAATTTTTACTTTCCAATGGAACTTTTCTGGAATGACGATGGTTCCTATAGTTAACCCTCCCTAAAAAATTTGGCTTTTTTTAAAATGAAAATTTCCAAACCCGGAAAATGTTTAGCCTAAATTCGTACACCACCAAAGTGAATCTCTTTAAAATGTACAAAATATGTACAATTCAAATCTGTTATTAGATTTGAAAAATTCTAATCCGTTCACTTTCTGTAAATCAAAAACTGTATTCAAACTGAAAGTCGTGTTTTAATAACGAAAAAATTCAAATATTTATTCTATACTTTTCTCAATCAGTTAATAAATGCAGATGGCGATATGACATTCCAATCATTAGTGGAGAAACTTGAAGAAAACGCGAAAGCAACAAAACAAAAACTAAAACACGATTTGTGTTTTTTGCAACACATTTCTCCCAGTACCTATAAACTTTGGCTGTCATTCACTCAAGCGCCGCCAAAATTTTTGGCCTTTGACATAATGGAAAATATGTTGAAAAAAGTACCACTAGATATGATTACTGATGGACAATCTACACGTGACTTTTTGCGAAATCACATTACTGGCGCTATTGAGCAACAAACAGCCGAAATCGGTGATTTATATCAGCAAATTTGTGCAGCACATAGATATTCATTGTCTGATGCAAAAAAACCACAATTTGCTCATTATTATTGGGCTTGGTATCAAAAGGTGGCCGACAAAAAGGATATGAAACGAATTATAAAAGGAATGAATCTGATGATATCGGATCACTATCAACTTCTTCAACAATTAAATGGAAAAATGGAAAGATTAGAAATATTTAGAAGTCTGGCAAAAACTTGCAGTGCTTTAGTTAAGTATTATTCAAGGAAAATGATTTCGTTGAAGGAACTTGATTTAATTGTAGAATATAGTCAAGATATTGTATATGCTGTACGCAAGACATTATCCGTTCAACCTAAGTTAATACAAAAGCTTCAAGACGTGAAAAAGATTCTAATGAATTATAATAAAAGACGCACAAGATGGGCAGAATTTATTATTGACATGAGACAAAGTCCGATTGCTCATCAAGGTGAACCATCGATGGAAGAGGTGAATTTTGAAAATTGCTGCTGTGTAGTTTAAAAATGTAGAAATTAATTACCTTTAGATTGGTCAATCAGTTGGTAATTCAAACCACTAAATAGGTAAAAAAACTGTTGTTTATAAACCACACACAGTGTCTTGTAAGAATAGTATTAAATCGCATATGAAATTCCATAAAAAATCGTTGATATCGTCATTTTGTTATTTAACTAAAATTAACTATTCAGATGTATCTCTTATAACTTTAAAAGTCTCTAATAGTTTTAGTCAATACTATTAATAAGACGAATGGCAGCATGTACTCATCCGATATACAGAGACAAGTAAAAAAAGAATAAACTCGAGTAGAAAACATATGAACGCTTACCTTGTCGGAAATCGTGTACCACCAATCGTGGTGCCTTGTATGATGATTAGCACAAACACTATAGAAACTACGAGTAAGCTTTTCATTATGATTCGAATAAATAATCTGCTTCTAATCAATTCAAATACACTGACGAAACTCTTACAGTTCAAAAACTTTTACAAATTTGTTTACATATAACTATTTCGCAACTATGTAAAAAAAAAACTATGAGAGATCGCAATTTCGCACTTCCAATTTGTTCCGAATGTTGGTTGCAACTGTTGAAATGACGACTTGAAGGGAATTCAATTCGTAGTTTATTCATTATATCTTATCAGTTATCAACAATTTATCAATCAATTGAAATTGCTTCTTCATGTGATTATTGATTTCATCGAGATCATATGAGCGATTTGTCTAGAAACATAAACAATCAACTACTTCATAAACTGTCCTTCAATAATTGAATATTTTTCAAATGAATCTTATGGCATTTTGTAAGTTGAAAACTGAGGGGAACATCGTTGTTCCCTCATGTCGGCAAGTTGAAAAAATATTTTCGGAAATGGGAACTGGTGAGTTGGTGGTAATATACCAAATATTGGCATCATTTTTCTGGTCATTTTCGTTCAATTTGATATAGTTGCTTTTTTTACCCCCAACCGTGTAAGAGGTGATTTTTCAAAATCGTCATAGGGTGAAGCACTAAATTTAAAAATTGTACAGGTATTTAGTGGTTAATTGGTGCCTCTCAATGCCGCTTAAAGTAAAATCAGTGCTTCAATAGTGAACTCGAAATAGTATATTACTTTTAGGGGTTGAAATGGTAAAAGGGTAAATAAAGAAAAGAAAATTGTATAAATCAAAGAGTTTTTATCAAAACTCTTGCGAAAATGGCATTAATGGCAGGCACCAATTAAGCACTAAATATTGGCATGGTTTTTCAAATCGTTTTCAATTAATTTGACATAGTTGATTTTTTGACCCCCCAAAAAAATAAAATGATGTGACTTGAATGAGGTTAAATGAAAATGGTGATCAATGGTACCAATGGCAGGCACTAATTAAGTACTAAATCTTGGCACCAAAAGGGGATGATTTTTTCAACCCACAAAAAATTCGATACCCAAAAACCCATCCCCAAATTAGGGTATGACGGGAAACTATGTCCAATCGGAGGCACTAATTAAGCACTAAATTTTGGCATCAACAAATTCTATTTTTTTTTTTGATATTTTAAAATTTTGAAAAAACTACCCTAACCCCAAAACAAGACCCCGACACTCCCGGGGAATAAATAGTTTACTCCCGGGGAGTAAATAAATTAATTTCGCAACGGAGGCGATTTTTCAACTCCGAAGCCGACTGAAGCCGAGACTATTAAATCCGATACCGACCGTCCGCCGACCATCTTTTTTCGATGCTCGAAAATCAAACAAAATTGAATACAAAATGAGATAGAAATGAGAAAAAAATGACAATTGATAAAAAATCCATTGAATTTTTCAAAAAATCGCGAACTCGGAAAAAACTGGGATGGCGAAATCATTCCGACGCCGACCGTTCTCCGAGCATCTTGGTAAATAATGAGATTGATTTTAACAGGCATAACAGTTCAATTTTTTATAAAATATAAGCAACTGGATTTTTTCCGACAAGATGAACATGACCCATGAAATGATATATTTTTAAACAGTATATAATTAGTACGTAATTATGCAATTTAAAAAAAATTTAAATGTAAGAAGGACAGTACAGTCAATTGTATTTGTGTTAAAAACTGAGGAGGAAAATGTTTTTAGTTAAAAATCTAGGGGCTTTTATCTTCAAATGTATACGATTTATACTGTAAATAGTGAACTATATTGCAAAATCATCTGTAATACGCGCAAATAAATGTGCATAACTGCATATATTTGGTGTATATTTCGTGTATATTTCGTCTATGGCATATTTTTTCATTCTCTTTTGTGCGGATCTTCTTCGATTCTGTGTAGCTATACTGTGTGTATGTACACTGCAGTTTAAAATACACCTTATTCACTGGTATAGGCGGGAAATTTTAATCGTATATATGATGAATAGGACGTGAATATTGTGTATAAATTTGTATGAACGAATGATGAAAGCCCCTAGTTAAAAATGATATTTTTGTGATAAAAATAGCCCTTTGAGCAAAAAGAACCTCTTTTTTTTTCCTCTTCACTTGAGGAGGAGGATCCTCGCTCTCCTTCTCCTCCTCACCATTTCTCTTCCTCAGAGGAACAATCCCTGTCAAAAACTAAATCGCTCGAAATACATGCTCTCTTTTAACCATTCTTACCATTGAAAAACATACTCTCATTTATCGTACTACAATTCAATAAAACATACTCTCCTACAGGGCTGTTATTTTCACTCTGTCAGTGCACGCACACAGAAGTGTGCACACTCACACTCAATGTGCATCGCACACAGTGCTTGTATTTTGAATGTGCACGCACACTTAGTTACAAATTTGCCAACCGCCATAAATGTCAAACTTGTGACTAAGTGTGCGCGCACATGCAAAATACAAGCATTGTGTGCGACGCACATAGAATGTGAGTGTGCACACTACTGTGTGCGTGCACTGACAGAGTGAAAATTACAGCCCTGCTCTCCTATCGTCATTTTCCATAGATATGTGCGTAGCGACCAAAATTCCATACAACCAAAGTCAAATGATCGCAGCGGTTTTAGATATAGAAAATACGATTAATTGAAGATAACATTTTTCGCTTTCAATATAAAATCTCATAACGACCAAAGTTTAACCTGAGAATAATTCCTCGAAAACAGATTGTACGATCAACATTTTTTCGAAACCATGTCACAAAAAATTCTGCCATTTAATGTATAACTTTATGTAAAATTCATTTTGACAAAAATTCTTTTATATCGACCAAAATTTTTTTTTGTAGCGACCAAAATTCGTTTTGTAGCAACCAAAGTTCCTAATCCCCAAAAAATATTCATAAAAATAATTTTAGTCGCGGCCACAAAATTTCATTTCTCTCGCGACCAAAATTCACAGAGCCCGAAAAATCATACAATATATTGAACAAAAAAAAAAAAATAAAACAAGTATAGTAAGTCCCATAGAAAATGTTCATTTTTTGACAAACATTGACTTTTGTTGAGATTGTGCTCGACACCCAGAAAAGGTCTGACCATCACAAATTTTTCAACTATTTTCGATATCTATAAAAAATGAAAGCAAACGATGTGTGTATCTTAAACGAAATTTCAATTTATTTTTGTTTACATTATTCATTTTCCAACTGACATAAAACCCGATGTATTTGAAAAATATTTGGCATTTGTATCTGTTGATTTTTCGGCTGCTTGTGGATTAACAATTTCAAGACCTTGTAACGGCGTAAATGCAACACTCGAAGCAGTACCAGAAATTTGCTTACGTACTGTTGTACTTCCACCGTATACTTGTTGCTTTTGTAAGTTTTTCTGCAGCGTTTTGCTAATGCGCACTTTCGTTTTCTCATCAACTTGTGGTAATCGAACACGACCAGTGCCAGCCTTTCCAATTGTGCCTCTTGTGTATCCCAAATCATCTTGATATGCATCTTCTTCAATCTGTGCCAAGGGAAACAATAGGACAAATGCATGAAAATACGTTTCTAAAATGTAAAATATGTTCATAAACTTACATCTCCAAAGTTGAGACGGTTGGCCTGTTTGCGAAACTCGGTCATTGCATAACGTTCTTTCATTTTGCGAACACGTTTACCTCCACGCTTCTTTTTACTGATTTCAATCGGTTTTGGAAGTGGTTTAATGAACTTAACTGGTGGCGGCTCTTGCAATTTGTCCAATTTCTTTTCGATTTCTTCTTTAAATTGCAATCCAATCTCACCGTTAACACTTTCATGGCTTGCATCAACTCGTGCAGCTAATGTACACTTGGCGGCGACCAAACGTGCTGCTTTCCTACGAAGATCCTATTTGCATTTGAATCACATGATCAATTCCAATTATTTATCTTGTATTTGGTTGTATTTTCTATGTAAGAATCAATAAAACACTTACCGGTGCTGTATCTTGTACTATTGTTGAATAGAAAATGAAACCCGTATGTGGTAACATTTGCGTTCTCGAGAATCTAAAAAAAATTAACACGTAATCGTTTGTTTAGCGGTTGTAACAATGAAAATCTAAAGAAATGCATACATACCCGGCCAAAGTTTTCTTTTGTGAACCCAACAGGATGACATTGCAAGCGGGTATTTTCGATAACTTTACCAATCCGCCTGCAACTCCAACTATTTTGGCGGCCGTTGATGCGCCCACGATCATTGACAAATTTGGTGCAATGAATGTCATTCGGCTTTCGACATATTCAAAGATTTTCGCCTTGTAATTACTTAGATCGACGGCCATATCGCAAGCTTCATTAATTTTCATTTTTTCGTCATCTGTCAAAAGCGTACTGTGAACAAAACCAATTTTAATGTAATTCATTTTTTCCCAATGATGTAATTTAATTTTACCCCTGAGTGGTTGACGCAGTCACTGAAACAATCATAATAGTGGCTTGCGTTAAAATTTGTTGTAATTTTTCGTTATTTTTAATTTGCTCCAAATCATTTCCAAGCTCTTTGACGGCCATCAAATACTCCATTTCACCAACAATTAGAGAATCCAATTCAGGAAATCGTTTCTGATATTTGTTTTTCGTAAATTTGTGTATGATTGCTGTAAAGAAAATCATTTTCAAATCATTGTATTTGTGTTAAACATTTAATCGATGTCATTACTTACAAATTTCATTGTCTATTTCAACAGCAACGGTGTTCACCTCAACAATTAACTGATATTCGGGATCGGATTCAACGTTTCCAATGATCTGATTTGAAGTTCTTGGCTTTGAAGTGTACTCATTAATTTGATGTAAAATCCTATTTAATCGTTCCGAATCATGTAGTTTACACAGCGACCGAATCGATGATACCTACCAAAGAAGTTGCATTTTTTTTGTTTGTTCAATACTTAAGTCATTCAAAAGTCAAATATGTTTTTTTGTTTACATACCGAATCATCGATTTCCATTTTTTCGATTGCATCGTAGCCATTCTCTTCATCACCATCGATCGGTTCTTCTTTAACCTTAATTTCATCATCACCGAAATTATCTCCAATCTCTTCTAAATCGGCGAGCAATTCATCGGCCAAAGACATCTTTTAATAAAATATGCTTTAAATAATTCACAAATAAAATAATTTTCGAAATTTAATGTGCTGCAGATGGATTTTGTATCAGTCGGCAAATGATTTTCATAATATATGCATTCTAAACGTATAAACAAGACTCATCAAATGTCAAAGTGAATGCGTTTCGGTGTTTTGACTGATTGTAGTAATTGGTATTGCCATATTCGATATCGGTGTTTTCCAATAAATGTTTGTGTTTCTGTTCGATAATTCTATTGCAAGAATGTCATAAATTAGTAAACGAAAAAGTGCATTCGTTTGTGTTTGATGCATAAAACAAAATTGATGGTCAAAGTGATAACAATTTAAAAATTACCTCGAAATGGAATGGTGTCGATGGTAGCTGTCAAGTGTGGTGTTGATTCATTAATTACTGTGCCATTTGTTGTAGAATTGGTTTTGCATAAAGTGTGCTCATCAAACAAGTTTGACGTGTCGTCGGACTACAGGCTACGTTATTTATTTCAGCTGTTTAGTGTGTGTTCTTTGTAAATATTGTCCTGTTGTCTATATTCAGTTGATTTTAGATCGGGTTTAAAACATTTGATACGGCACATCCATACGCACACAGACACACAAACACTTCCGTCAAGTCTACGCAATCTGTTTTATGAATTAAAAAAACTGAATTTTCACTGAATCAAAATTATTGGTTGTTAGCCATGAATGTGCTGGACGTGATTAAGAAATTGGATGCTTATCCCAAGACGCTGGAAGAATTCAGTCAAAAGACGATATGTGGTGCAGCAGTTACATTGATTAGTTCAATTATTATGATATGGTTGCTCATCTTTGAATTCTATGCCTATTTAACACCAAACATCAGTGAAGAGCTATTTGTAGACACAACCAGAAGTCATAAACTTAAAATCAATCTTGAACTCTACATTCCGACGATTTCATGTAATTGTAAGTTTTGACGAGAAAATTGTAAAAAAAATCAATTTAACTAATTATACGCTTATACATCACAGATCTTAGTTTGGACGCAATGGACTCCGCCGGCGATCAGCATTTGCACATTGACCATAATATTTATAAACGAAGAGTTGATTTAAGCGGAAATCCAATTGAAGAAGCAAAAAAAGAAGAAATCGCCACATCGACAAAGAAGCTACAACAAAACGTATGCATTTTCATGTAATATTCTAATTTAATTTTGGTAAAAATTTTTGTTCCATTAAAATACTGAATGCAGGCTACAGCCGTCGAAAAGCCAACCGAAAAGCCATCTTGCGGAAGTTGTTACGGTGCCGAAGTGAATTCAACACATTGCTGCAGCACTTGTCAAGATGTAATTGATGCATATAGAGAAAAACGATGGAATCCAGAACCGGAAAAATTTGAACAATGTCAACGTGAAAATTACGTTGATAAGGAGGGCGAAGCGAAAAAACTTGCATTAAACGAAGGATGTCAAATTTACGGATATATTGAAGTGAATCGGGTAAGAGTCGATTATTGAATGCAATCATCAATATGTGAATTGGTAATCAGATAAAATAAATTTCTTTATTCTCAGATGGGCGGTAGCTTTCACGTGGTAATTTATATTTTAAATAAATTGTCTTTTATATTCGAACATTCTATTTGATTTTTGATTTCAATAGGCACCAGGAAAGTCCTTCTCACTTAACCATATTCACATTCATGACGTGCATCCATACTCATCGTCGTCCTTTAATTTATCGCATGTTGTGAAGCATTTATCGTTTGGTGAACGAATCAATTTTGCAAATACACATCCTTTGGATGGCATGGAAGTATCATCCAATGAAAGTAAGTACAAAAAACACATGTTTCGTTTTTTTTTTTCATTATTTATTTTAATTACAAAGTAAGTGTACACGAGCTAACGTTTGAACTACGCTTCACTTGCCCCAATTTCAATTAAAATGCAACAATCTAACATCGAATGCCGGTACCAATAGCCATAAATGTTCCAAATGTTCCGCCACCTTGTATCATAACTTTGCCCACATTGTTGATCAAATCTCGCCCCCGTAAACCGTATCTGAAACGTAAATAATTTTTATCAAACATGATTTATGGTTGTGAAAAATGACGAAATTCCATGTACACGTTGTGTCCAATAATACATACCTCAATGCACTGAATCCACCGAATAAGGCACCGCTCGCCATTCCAACACAAAAACCAATTGTAAATCCAGTTTTCATTTTGGAAAAACAAGTTGGCTGTTGATTGACACCATACATACTCCCTGGTACAGCCGGCATTTTAACAATTTTGATATTTTTCAATTGTCCGAACACTTGAGCGGTTCTTTTAATCTTCTTCTTATATCTTTCGAAATAAGTTCGTGCTCGTTCTCACTGCATGCCAATGATTTTTGATCTGATGACTGACATTTCACACATTTGACATTTATGGTCAACTTCATGATGATTCACTTTGAATCAGTGAAATTCAAACAGATGGCGCTGTCATTTCAACGATGTTAAATTTTTTAAAGATTTTTTCTCCAAAATGAAGATTTTTTTTTTTTGATGAAAATGATTTATCCATTTTAGGTTCAATGATGTTTCAATATTATATCAAAATCGTACCGACAATGTATGTTAAATTAAACGGCGAGACCGTGCATACAAATCAATTTTCGGTAACGAGACACTCGAAATCAGTTTCGATAACATCAGGCGAATCTGGAATGCCGGGCATATTTTTCAGCTATGAACTTTCACCTCTTATGGTCAAATATACAGAACGAGAGAAGTAAGTATTTTTTTTTATTGTTTTGTTTCCGTTTTTGATAGCATTTTATACAATTGATAATTTGTTCGTTGATAATAATCGTTTTCTTAATTTTATTTTCCAGTTCATTGGGTCATTTTGCCACAAATGTTTGTGCAATTATTGGAGGATTGTATTCGGTTGCCGGTATCATCGATTCGATTTTGAATAGTTCGCTTCATGTTATTAAGAAAAAAATTGAACTTGGCAAATTCAGTTAAACACAAAATCTCGTCGTGTAGATTCAGCAATTGCATCTCGTTCGAATGTTAGAACTTACATAAAACTTCTTTTTTTTGTGAATCTATAGGCTATAGCCTATAAAAATTTAATTTCCCCAATTTTTATTTTAACAATCAAATGTACAGACCAAATCCTATAAAACAATCCCATTTTGACTATAGATTTTATATCGAGAAATAAATCTGTACTTTTCCATTGCAAGTAAAAACAAAGCACAGATATTCACTACATTCATGTAAATAAAACATGTTTTTGTGTAATGGAGAGTAAATAAAAAAAAATTACGTTTACCTCGAACGCGATAAGCAATAAATTGTTTAAAGCAATGCCTAGAGAGATATCATTAGATAGTTTCGGCTTGAGAAATGGAAAATTGTCAATTGATTATTCAAATCAATTCATTCCAATTTATTGATGAGAAATTGAAATATTTATTGAATTGTATGCTACGAAATGAAATGAAATAGTTGAAAGAAAAAAGGAAAAAAACATCGTTTCCAATTAGATGGCAGCTTTCATTCAATAAATTAATAGTATCGTTTCCAATGTATAGAACATCAAATTTGTTTAATTTAGCTAGAGAAAATAATTTAATACTTAACAGTAAAAGACATGCCGATTTACAATTGTTTCATTCGATCTCCGTGGTAATATTCTTAAGTCACAATAGGTCAGAAAACATACTTTTATCTTTGTTTTTCATTTTGTTTCTTCTCTTTTTTTTTGGTAATTTTTGTATTTGTTGTACATCAAAATACACACCCTATAGTGTGGTTCACTATTGGCATTTAATTTATATTTTAAACAAATTGTCTTTTATATTCGAAAAACTTGAGAATATTTGGTTTAATCAATCTTATATTGAACATTCTATTTGATTTTTGATTTCAACTAGAGAAATTTTAATAAAATGAAACAAATTACTAAAGTCATTCGAACGTTGTGTGTGTTTTTTTATCTAATTCAGCTGCTATTTTTTGGTCTACCAGAATTAATAGTTTATTTTTTATTTACAGAATTTATTTTGTTCGAAATAAATAAAAATGCAATGATTTGTTGTCGTTTAGTTTTTGGTTTAGTCGGCCTTCAATGATTTTCCGTGCTCTGTCGCAGTCGGTATTTCGCTGCTTTCATCTATTTATATGAAAAAACACAGAAAAGGTCGTGTAAGAAGAAAAAGGGATTTTTTTTCACGAGAAAAAAACAAATACCTTGTACACACTGTGTATCGTCATTGACTAGAACCTCCTCCTCTTCGATGGATTGATTCTAGGAAAAGAATTCGCAAAGTTAAAAAACAATAAAATTTAAGACGGTTGGAATCGTCTCTTTTATGCGCGCGAATATTTTTAGATAGAGGTCAATTACCTGTTTGTATCGATGGTAGAGAATGCAACCGTACACAAATATAACTGAAATGATCAGTTGAATTAGCAGCCAAACGATGATATTGACAGCCTGTGTTCTTTCGAACAATTCGCGTGCATTCTTAATGCACAGTATGGCCTCCGATACCATAATTGCACAGTATACCCAACATTGTGTGCCGAGTCGCTTGCAATTCGGATCCGTTATATAGATATAGTACTGTCTGCAAAGATTTTAAAATGAAATATTTTTAACTTGTAGTCAATGTATTTGTGGATTTTATCATCAAATTGATGTCTAATAGTACCTAACCGACGGTGCCACAATTAAGCCGATAAATATCAGACGAATGGAAACGATCGGATGTGATGGTGGCATTTCGAAAATGTGCTTCAAAAAGAATGTATTGAGTTCGGTGATTTGCCAAAATATCACCAATTGTGATACAGACAAAAGTCGCATGTATGTTGATTTTGGATCCAACCATCGCACTGTTGTCCAACTGACCGGTGTAAATTGTAAAACAGCACGTTTTATTTTGCCGGTTGTCGTTGAGATATCACGAATACTTGCCCATTTGTATTCGCGCATTTCGAGCATTTTGCAAATTTTCAAACCACACCAAATGCCAAGACCATTACACACCAACACATCCAAAATCAATGCATCCCACCAACATTCAATGAAATTTGGCAATAAGTGTGCGAATGTAATTTCGGTTATTTCCCACATTACTGAAATTGCCCACAATATTCCAATGTGACGAATCAGAATCGCCTGTTTAAATGTGAAAAAAAAAAAAAAATGAATTTATCGATTTTTAAACAGAGAAATTTAGACATACCTTGAACATCCATCCCAAAAAATGGCCGTACGCAAAAACATCAATATGTGACCAAAGTCTTTCGAGAGTTATTTGCGAACAATTCACTCCGTATTCCTATGAAAAAAAAATTCATAAGAAAATAATTTTTATTGGAAAATAAATGGATGGAATTTCTACCCACCTTATCCATATCAATGCGAAAGTTTTGTAGTTTAGGATCCAACCAATAAAAGATTGACATGATTACTTTGTAGTTTTGGAACAGTAAGAATATAATAAATAATAAATAAATAACGGAAACTCCAAAGATGATTCGCCAAACGGCTGGATGAGGTCGTGTAAACGGTCCATTTGGAAACGCAAGCACCGATATTATTAGGAAAAAGAATATGGCACATAGCATTCCAGCCCAAATATTCTCCTGATTATCTTGTTCATCGCTGGAAATGAAAATAACCACATTTTGTAATAGGTAAATAATTTGAGAAAACAACAACAAATCAAAATCACGTATCATTGATGATTTGAGGTTATGCACACATACACATATGAACACACATATTCAATAGATTTCATAATGAATCGAAAGAGAGTCATTCGATTGAATGAGCAATTTAGAGGAGATAAGAAATAGTAACCAAATGTGTAAAAAAATGCAAAAACAACATAAATTTGAATGAAACTTACCGTACAAATGCAAAATACATCACGGATATGATGGAAACAGCCAGCAGAGTGACTGTGTGTGGTTTGTAGAAAAAGTCTAAGGATATATCATCGACAGGCTGTTCGTTGATTGATATAAATGGATCAGGTCGAATGGCAGCGTTTGGCTGGTCGGCACTCACGTCCGTATCTCTTTGAGATCTATTTTTCATCTTTTTTTTCTTTTTTTCTATTTGTATTTTAAATATCAACCTATTCCGTTCCGCACCCAACAACAAAACGATTAAAATCTATTTTCGAATTTAAAATTACGGTTGACGATTCAAACAATTGAACAACTTCACTGTGCCCTCATGCCCGTATTCATTTATTGATTTTGCTTTGGTTTCAATTTCGCACTGCGACTATTTTTTTTTCTTTTTCCTTTTCGACTAACCTATGTCCTGTGTACAGTTCAAACTGATCGAACAAACCGAAATGAACTCAAGCACCATGAATTTTAGTTAGTAATCGAGAAAAAAATACACACACTATTTACTACATTCAATTGTTTCGAATCGTTGTACATTGAAATTTTGATTTCCCCTTCGGTCTTATAATTTGATTTAAAACTTTATCTGCCAAACAGTAACATTCTAAGGTAATGTGTGCGATGTGTATCATTAACACTCTGTGAATGGATGGATTTGTTGATATTTGTTGTTCATATGTATGTGTGCGTTTGTTATAATCCTATATGCGCGCATGGAATTTCGCTTTTGCTAGACTTTTAACGTCATTGTCAACTTCACTTCACCTCACTTTCAATGGCATCATTTACATATTATCTGTATGCTATAGATTGTAATTACAAATTTCGAACGAACAAACATTACTTAAATGCGTCGACCAATTTTCATTTTGAAATTAAATTTACTAAAAAAAAATTTACCATTTTTTTTGTGCGTGGATTCAAAGTCACGATTAAAAAAAAAAATAAATAAATAAATTTCAAACATTTGAACACGAAAAGTCAGTTAGTTGTGAAATTCTTAAATGTCAAATGAAATGTCAACATTCCAATTGACAGACATTTGACTTTTATATGGGAAATAATCATGTGCGAATTGTGTTTGAAGGTTTGGAAATTTGTTTGAATTATTGTATACATTATTAATAAATTGTGTATCAAACAAAAAAATGCAATCGATAAGACATTTGGTGTACGGATTTCGTCCGATTGGTCGACAATCATTGTGGAATAGTATGGACTGTACAAAACGATTGATGTGTACAAGTGATGCAAATGGAAAAAGTGTTGAAAAACCACAAATATCGCTTGTTGATAATCCACCGGCATTGGATAAAATGGTACAAAACCATGATTTTCAAATCGATTGGGACAAAGAAATGCATTTAATTGAAGTTGATGAACATGAATGCAGAGGTCGATCAGTGCTGGCACCAGTCGATGACGAGAGTAAAATTTATGCTGAACCAATGCTACAACCAACTTTCAATCTTGCTGCTTATGTACAGAAATCGGAGACATTGCAACAACTTTTAAATTTGGGAGTGAATTTACATCAATTGGATAAATCACTGCATACTGAATTCATTGCAACTCTTGATTTCCAACGTGACATCTCACCATACGTTATGTTCTTTACAAAAGATGTCGGTGTTTCAGTCGAACAAATGGGCAAATTTCTCACAAAAAATCCCGAAATTTTGAAACGAAATCTAGACGATATTCAAGTACGCATTAACTATTTGCAATTAAAACGATTCAATCAAGATGAAATTGTGCAAATTATTACGAAAAATCCAATGTGGCTAAATTATCCAACGCGGGAAATTGATGAACGACTTGGTTTTTTTCAAAAAGACTTTGATCTTATCGGAAATGAAGTTCGTGCACTTGCTGTAGCTTGCCCCAGACTGATTACACACGATATGCAAGAGATTAGAAATATATCATTTTCAGTACGAGAAGAATGTTGCTTTGAGAAACATGAAGTTAAGAACATTCTTTTGAAATGTCCGAAATTTTGGATGATGCGTGAGTTCAATTTCTTTTTTTTTTTTTTCAATTTAATAAATCGACAATTAATTTCAACTTTTTCTATCTAAAACTTTCAGATCGTTTTGATTTTATGGAGCGGTATGATTTTGTTTCACATCATATGAAAATTGAAAATTCTCAGTTGGCCATGACGCCATTCATTTTGACCAATCGCTTATTTCGAATAAAAGAGCGACATGGATTTTTAAAGCATATTAAAAGGGCACAGTACAATCCAAAATTACCACTGTATATATCTCTAGACGACTTGTGCATTGGTACTGACGAAACATTCGCTGAAAATATAGCAAAGAGACCGTATGAAGAATTTGAAAGTTATTTAAGAACATTGTAGATAATGAATAACCATGAATGAAAAATTTAAATGATTGAGAAAAAAGAAGCAGTTGGAGGAATAAAACAATTTTATGGTAGATTTTTAAAATTTATTTTTTTTTTGATTTAATTTTGTTTTTATTTTTTTCTACAAATATTCCCTTTTGTACATGCTACATTGTCGCTTAATTCGATATCACTTAAATATGGTGACCAATGTAATATAAAAAGAGAATGAAACCGGATGATTTTTTTTGGACAATTTTAATTTTGCTTTACTTCAGATAATGGAAAATCAATTAAAAAAAAAAACCTATTTATTGGTCGTGTAGATGGGAAACGCTGTATAATAACGGAGTGGAAACTTTATCAACACACAAATAAACGTTGAAATTGAACAGAACTCAAAATATTGTTGTTGTATTTTAAATGGAATTTATGGGGTTTCTTTTGATTTGTTTATTTAATTTGTTTTTCTTTTTCTTTAAATAATAAGAGGATAAAACGATTTTATTCGTTGTTTGTTTATTTAACGGAGAAACCGTCACCAGTTGGATCCAAGATCCATGGATAGTTGTTCGGGCATTCCATACATGTGAAGAGACGCAAAGTTTCACCTGGCAATTCACGTGTTGTCAATGGACAGGCATTTGGTAGTGAGCAGAATGCTTGACCTTTAACGTCACACTTGTCTGCTTGCGAAACAAAACGAAAAAAAAAATCAATCGAAATATTAATAAATTGATAAAATATTAAATCAGTTACCTTTCCAGTCTTGGAAGTCACGCAATGCATTAATTTCAGTTGGATTCTGCATCCATTGGATAACCTGCAACATGTTAACAAAGAAAACATCGCTACGGCCCAACATTTCATCGATGAATTTAAGCAATTCATCGCGGAATTCTTTCTTCGATTTCAACCATGAAGCGCTGAAGTGCAAGCCAAGTGGTGCACGGTTTGTATTGTAGTGGCTAAAATAACGAATAAATAACAACAACCGTAAATAAAATAATGTAATATTTGATTGTGTGTCCGTCCATCACATACCGATTGAAATTGTGACGCAGAAGACGTGCAAATTGATCTCCGGTTTGGATGTTTGAACATGAATCAACCATATGACAACCTGGCAATGATTCATCGAATGTTGGGTCATCACGACGATCCAATTCATTCATAACCATTTCCCAAATTGGGTGTGATCGTGATGGGCAATTATGAGCATTTCCATTACATTTGTGTGGCATACGGAAGTACAAGGTGTATGGCCAGATTGGAACACGGCCCAATGAAGCGGTAATCGATGCATCGTAGATGAAAAATTGATCGGCCATCATTTCGAATTGTTTGTTACCACCAACGCGCAAATATGGTGCACGAACACCAACAACTGAACTATCGGTTATGTTTGCAAAACGTTCCAAAATCAAACGGGCACCAGCCATTTCGGCGAGCCAATCATCGTATGTACCATGTGTCCAGTAATTTGGATCATCTTTGTGTGTCAATGAGAATGATGAGATTTCATGACCGCGACGATGCAAATCTTGAATAGCTGAATAGTTCGAGTATTTGTGTGATACAAAGAATGTACCCTTGATTGTGCAACTGTTTGGATTTTGACGATTTCCATTGAAAATATCTTCGTACAAATCAATGTTATCAACGTTTACAGCACCGTTGAATGTCAATGTGATCATTTGTGGTACTTGAGATGGTTCAATGTTGCCAGGAATACGGGTTCCATCAGCTGAACAGAAACAATCTGGCAATGTACATTGGGTTGTGTCACATTCTGGTGCACGGTTTGGATCCAAGTCCACAGCTAATTATTGCGATGAAAAGAACAAAAATAAATATAAAAAATGTGTGATATGATGTTTGGCTATCACCAATCTATATACTTACTGCAAGCATTTTCATCAGATTCATCCTTACAGTCTGGTTTATCATTGCAGAACAATTCCTTTTCGATACATTCACCATTACCACATGACAATTTACCTTCTGGGCAAACTGGTTCATCGGTTTTTAGAATTGGCAACACTTTGCGTGGCTCTGTACGTATGCACAGTGATTCGCACACAATTTCGAAACGAAAGAAGAAAAAATTCAACAAAACGGGAAAAAAAGAAAAGAGAAAAAAACACATATCATTTATTAATAAATTATCATCATAAATGAAACATCGCAAAGTTGAAATTAATAATAATATCAGTATAAAAATGAAGATAAAGGAGAAATGGTTAAATCAAGGCGGAAAGGCTACATTATTTACATATATTGATTAAATTAAATGAATAAATGAGCATGAAAAAAAAAATATGAATGTAATTAAAATGAAAGATATTCAAATCAAGCAATACACCAAATTATTGAGCAATTTCACAAAGAAAAAGTATTCGTTTGTTTCACCTTAGATACTTAATCCGCAATAAATAAGAAAGAGTCAGAATGTGAAGGTGCTCACACATTTGTGTGACACACCTGTTTCGTTTATTGTTTACTAGTTGCTTAATTGCGTTCGAACTTTCATTTTAATAATGCATTCTTGAATATAAAAACGCGGTGGAATTGTCTTGCTTCAGTATTATTTTTATTAACCGCCTACTATATTACTATATATCAACACACACACGACACAATACGATTGGCACTGTCGAAACATTCAAATGAGTTTTTATTGAATCAATTAGAAAAGTAAATGGCAGTCAAACACACACACACACACTAATTGCATATTGAATATGATTTGAATTCGGATGAAAGTGATCGAAAGTCGCCAAGGTTCTGAATGCCGGAGTTTTCCTTGAATAAAAGCTTTCCTCATTGCACATGCAAACCGAATGCTGATACCTTAAATAGTAAGCTTAAGATTTCCGTTTTGGTTACGTTGTTTACATATTTATGGTGGTGCTGGCTTCCAAAATTGGCAAGACGGCAAATGCGACAGAAAGTCGGTTAGTATCAATATCGGAAATAAATCAACGTTACTTTTTTTTGTAAATCTTTCGAACCATTCGATTTATGGAATAATAAATAAGCAAAATAAAGCGAGTAAGTTCCATCATTGTATCGATTGCATTCGATTTCACGTTTTTTTTTCACCAGCATTTAAATTGCTATTTTTTTGCACCGGTTATTTAATTTTTTTTCTTTCTTTTCCTTCGTTTTTTTTTTTTGAAATTTTAATTTAATTGTCACATTCAGAAAAGTGAACATGGTAATTATTTCACGGTACAATTATGCAACGGTACAGAAAAACAAATAGAGAGAGAAAGAGACTTTTGTGTAAGTACCGGAATTCGTTCCGATCGAAGTTTATTACACAAGTGAAAAAATAGCAGTAAAAATACGAGTTTTTCTTCTTTTAAACCCCGGCCACACCATTCACGCCGCCTATAATTGTTATAACGGATGTTGGACCAGTCTATTGACAAGAAATCGACTTGGCCACATATTACCATGTTAATAGCAAAACGCAAATGGATGACGGCAACATTTTTTTTTTGTAATCATTTCTTATGCGAAGAAAAATACAGATGAACAAGAATGCTTAGTGAAAAATTGGAGTACAACCATTTTATGACAATTTGGGTCTTGATGTCTGTATGTATTTTCTGGTTGTAATTTCCTATGTGCATCATGATTATTCCATTGCACCGCTGATTAATTACAAATAAATAATAACACAAACAATAACAATAATATACACAATCTATTTAAAGTGAGTTAATTAAAATATCAAATGCATGCAAACACATAAACACCTTAAATTCATACACCCAAACCGAAAACTTTTTATTCAATAAAAAAAAACAGGCACACACACGCACACACGCAATCAAAATCACTTTAAGCTGGAAACGCAGACATTTTTTTGGCCGCTGTGTGTAATACTTATATGGGTTAGTTTCAATAACTATAAAAGCCACCGTGTAGTTGATGCTGTTGTTGACTTGTTTTTTTTTTTATTTTTGTGGTTGTTGTTGGTTTTTTTTTCTTAAAAATGCTTGTATTTGGTTTTTCTTTTTTTTGTTGGCACTTACTTTCTTTTCTATCGCAATTTGTTACTTTAACTTTCCAATCACACGTTTGTTTTTCTATGTCGAAGGCTAAACCAGAAGGGCATGTAATTTGTTTAAGTCCAGCTCGAGTACACCTACAAGATTTTTGAGTTGATTTTCGGATGAATTATATGAATTTTGTTGTTGTTATGATTTTTTTTTGTTTCGTATGTTTTCAATTGTCAAACACTTTTCGTTTTGTATTTATTCACAAATCTTTACTTTTCGTTTTGTTTTTTTTTATTAGCTTCAATTTGTTTCAATTTTTTTGAAGTAAAAAAAGATTCGTTCATCATTGTTATGAATGTATAGTGCTGGTTTTTTGTTGTTGTGAAAAGTGACTAGAAATGTGTGTTCATATTATTGGTACAAAGTTTCGTTTAGCCGGACGCAACAAATGGAAATTCATTGAAAATTAGTCATTCAATTTTATCCATACTGTAGCAACATACTTTGTAAAATCTGTTATATTATTGTCTTCATTCAGAAATGGTGAGGTCTGTATAGTCTTCGTAGTTGTTTTTTTTTTGTGTTTATCATCATTTATGATTTTCATCAGCAAAGGTTAGTTACAATGACATTTATCAATTCCAAAAAAAATGTTCGAACTATTATCAACAATAAAAAAATACATCGCTTAACTGATAGAATAGATCAAAAACCTTGAGCTAATTGCTAATTATAACTTGAGCATTTCATTATAGAGCCAAAATATTTGAGCAAGAATCATGTAAATTAGAATGATACATAACTAGTTACACACACGGATTCATTTCCAAAGCATGAATAAAAAATTTCATCATAATTTTGTGTGCTATTTTTTTATCCGCACAAAATTATTCATGTCTTCTTCTAATTTCCATGATACGACTGCATATTTGCATCGTATTCTTCTTTTTTTTTGTTTTAATTTTTGGCCATGCATTATTGACAATTGCTTATTAGGGTGGAACATTTTTGGCATAATTTTATGACCACTTGGAAATACATGTCTTATAGTCCACAGATTCAAGATATGAAGGAATTTCCAACTTACGGTTCCATATAAGACAGCGACTTGAAAGGAATGGAGGTACATTTTACTGGAAAATCATGAAAATTTGCACCCAATCACCATGAAAACTTGTGAATCTTATTTTCTGACCAAAATAAGTAATATCAACAAGTTTCATGAAATTTCAACCAAAAATAAAGGTGTCTCCCATACAAAATTTTCGATTTTTTATTTTTGAGAAAAGAAATAAAAAAAACTTATGGGAGGCACCTTTATTTTTGTCGCTGCATTCCTTTCAAGTCGCTGTCTTATATGAAACCACAAGTTGAAAATTCCTTGATATCTTGAGTCTGGGGACTATAAGACATGTTTTCTCAAGTGGCCATCAAGATATGCCTCGAAATTCAAAAAAATGTTCCACCCTATTGCTTATGGATAAGACACAAACTAGATAAAAAAGAAAATTTTAGAAAAGAAAACACATCTACACATATTTGAAGAGATAGAGAAATAGAAAACATTATCACATCACTTTAACATGAAAAATCAAACCAATAGTTTGTCACTCAAAGAATGATGTTTGCGTATTGTACAATTCCGATAAAAAAGGATTATCACCGAAGCAAGTCTTGTTGGAAACCATTGACCGTCATACAGCCGAATTTTGGATTTTAATATAAAAAAGGGTAGCATTTAAAACTAAATAAACTTCGATTTAGTAACGCACTTGCAAGACACACAGTGAGAAAATATGTAGACTTTTATCAAAATTGAATGAACAACATAATTTATGTGCGTGTGTGTGCAGTGAGATTATTTAACAAATTTTGACTATAAAATGATGGTTCGATATTTTTTTGATCATTTGAATTCTTTCGGCGATTTAAACTTTTACTTTCTTCCTCTAGAAATTGTTTTGATTTAATGTTAAAACTTATTGATTGTACAGAAAGTAGAAGAAGGGAAGTGAAGTACAGAATTTGATGGTACGAAGGAAATATCTAATCGAATGTCGATTTGACTTACTCTCGTTTCTATCGCAATTCTTAACATTTGTTCTCCAGTCACATGTTTGACGTTCAATGTCGAACGCTAGACCCGTTGGACAGCGAACTGAAGCTAATCTCGTAATACCATTTTCTCCGGCATTATCACATCTTTAGTGTCATGAATTAACGTATTTTTGTTTGTTTGTTTGTATTGAGGTTTTTTTTACGATTTTGGATTTTCGTTTTCGTTTTTTTTTTCGTGCGTCATACAAAAGAACATAATTTTAAATTGAATGAAATTTGGGTAATTATTTTTGTTTCATTTCGGTCGGGTCAGTTTTGATCAGTTTTGAGCATCAACAGAATTTAAATGCAGAAAAAAAATCATGAACTCAAACGAACCGAAAATAAACAAAATAAAATTGAAATTGAATTAAACAAAAATGAAAACAAATGCTAAAGAAACAAAAGTTTTATGATTTGACTTTTGAAAGAAATGGTTATTGATTTTTGAAAAATTATATCTCGAATGGAAAGTGTTTTGGTTACCTGACTACATCACGGCAATCACCTTCGGTTGTTGTCCGGAAGTATTCATCGGCTGGTCGGTCTTGGCACAATTCGTCCGTGTTCAATGGATCAACATCTTCTTCATCACTTTGTCGCTTGGATCGTTGATCAGCTGCGTGAACTGTAAAATAATAATAATAATACCGTAATTGTTTATTGCAATTCAGTTATTGTATGTGATTGTGGAATTGGTTTAAAGTGGCATTCCAACCAGATCGAACATCGAAGGCACAAGGTTTTTAATACTGACATAAAGTTCAATATCCATCTCGTTTGATTATGTAAATCGAAATCGCATCATAAAAAGAAAGCGCGTCGTCATACATTCATTTTCGAATGAAAGTGAATATCTATAGTTTTTTTTTTTTGCTTTGTTTCCATCGTGTTCGCTTTTGTTGATGCCACTCTTCACTCTGTCTTTCTTCGAGTCGCATTTATGGTCCAACATCATTATTTTTGCCATTTATTCATATAAATTATTTATGTGAAAAGTGCGAATTCATTAAGAAAAAAAAAACATTTGCGATGCACACACCGCTGTCGCGACACATTGTGATTGTGAATTGTGTTCATTTGGTCGCTTCTGTTTCATTTGTGAAGTAAAAGTTGTTTGGTTTTCTTAAATTCATTATTTTATGTAATTTAGCAACAAAATTCCATTGAACCATAAGCCTACTGTTTTTTTTTCGTCGATTTTTGTAATGTTCAATAAAATGTTCACTTCGGATAAAATTTGCGGCTTTTTTTTAGAGTGAAAGCAATTGGTTGCACGATAGGCAAATAATTTATGCTTCAGCTGAAAACTGGTATTTGCTTTTTTTTGGCCATGCCGTAATCTTTGGAATGGATTTCTTAATCGGCAATTTATGAAATTCTTTTATGATTCTTGTTCACTGGTTGCACAACAGTTTGAAGATACATTGATTTGCGCTTGTTTTAGAACATTTTTCACAACATCTACACGCAAAGAAAATGAATATGATTTTTTTATTTTTAATGGTTGCGACAATCATCGTATAATATAACAGAAGTTATGTTAAGATGTTGAATGTTAAGATGGCGATGTGAAGAGTATGAATAAACAAAGTAAAAAAAAATCCATTTCTATGTAGTGAAGCATCGATTATGCATTCAAATTATACACTTCCTAAGTGACAACTTTCATTTTCAACAATTTTTCTTCGTCATCTTCTTCATTTTCTTTCAAAATAAAAATACAATCGAATTGCAAATATTGAAAAGGGTTTTTAATGTTCAACACCTCACATTAATCAATGTGTTGTAAACATTTAAAGGCAATTCTACATTGGTGATTGGTTTGAACGAAGGAAAGTTTCATAAAAACCATTTTTTTAAATACATTGTTACAAAGAAATTGATAAATGTTGAAACGATATTTGCATGAAAAGATCGCCTTTAGTTAAATTATCCATTTCTTTTTATGCATATGACCAGAATTTAGTGTATATTATTTATGATGTATGTCATGTCATTTTGTTTATTATGATAATCTTTCACATTTGTATATTTATGAGCTGAAAGTGATTTGATTGATACAAAAAGCGATTGTAAATCGTGCGAATCGATTTCGATTGAAAGTGAAACTGAACCACAAAATGATAAAAATTAATATGCTAATATGTACACTACTGCTTGAGTGATGTTTGCCCAAATTAAAAACAAAGAGTCAATAATACAACAAATTGCAAAGAGATTGTGCTAATAGACAACGCGAAATTATTCACATACACAGAGCGGACGGACCAATTTTGAAGGTTGACTACTTTGTTTCACCGGCCCCAACTGTGCCCGCCTCATTTACATTTATGTGTATAAACGCTTAAAGATTTTTACAAGTCTTAGTAATATACTTTGTCTTTTTACATGTTTCGGTGTTTTTATTAATCGCTTCTTGTTTTGTTATAACCACTATGCTGTTGCTCATTCTATTTTTTCCAATTATGCGTGTATTCGTGTGCATGTTGTTATAGGGCACTAGGTAACTAGATAACACCGTTGTTTATTTTGTTCTTTCTCTCTCTCTCTTTCGTTCTCTTTCCCTTCTTTTGGATATTTTGTAATGTGGTATTCATCATGGTGAATAAATTAATGTTTTATGCATTGCTTTCGCAGAATTGGTACTAAATTTGCATCACAAATTTTATTTGTCGTTTCTTTGAAATCACTGGCCACTAATATTCAGATTTAGTCGTAATTTAATAGGATATGATACGTGTACCAAACGGATTGGTTCAACTTTACATCAAACAAGAACAGATTGAATTTCACACTGTTTATTCTCTAATCCATTGAGGCATCCATATATTTATTTCAAAAACATTATTAGTTTGTTCGTTCGATCAATCGTATATTTTATAATTTTTTAAATGAAGTCATTCGTTCGATCCATCGAAAGGGAAAAAACCAGATGGATGGAACGTTGATGGAAAAATATGTATACACATGTATATATATAAATAAAAATGAATAGATTAACTTACCTAACACTAAACAAATGGCAAAAGTGCCAATCAGCTGCAATGCACGTGCCATATTCTGGCAGTGTTCGTTACGGCTACACAACTCAAATTACAACAATAACTTAACGAAGCAATATTTATATAATAATAATAAAAACTATGTCTACAGATGAGATTTAGGTAAAATCAAATACAAACAAGGAATTGAATGCATTAAAGCGATGGCGTATTAACGAAATGCCAATCCAACTAAGTCCCAATTGAGAACTGAGCTAACCAACGCAAAACACAAGATACTTAAACCAAGCAACACAACGCTGTGAACGAACGTTGTTGTGTATGCGTGGTGTTGAGAGCGGACGCGTAAATACTAAATGTTGTTGAATTTATTTCAGGTCTATTTATTAAGACTTTCACTTAAAGTGGGGATAGATGGGTGGCCAATGCTAACGTTATTTAGTTGTCCTGAAAGAAGTTGTTTGAACGCACAGAATTTGTTCGGCTGGCTGACGGAAATACGATGGCTGCGACAACGAACATATACCAAAACGATGTTGATGCGTTTTCTTCGCAAAAAAAAATAAAATAAAATTATTCGTAAAATGTGATTGAAATTTCGTATGAATTAATGCAGAATTCAATCGACTGTTGTTGGAAAACGATAAATGATACAAATGACGGTTCAGTGAACGATTTTATCAGTTTCTCATGAGTATTTTACATTTATTTTTCGTTTGAAAAGATCAACAACAAAAAAATAATGAACCCAAAACAAAAATTAAATTTAAAAAACCGAATCGATGGCAATGACATTCTGTATTTGCATGCACCGCTAATGCATCCCTTTTCATTTTCTCAATAAATACTGAATGGTTAATTAATTAAAGTTATTTATTGCTTAATTTGATCGAGACATGCTGCAACGGACGATTTCTTGCTTCTTCTGAATTTTACGATTTTTGCCTTGAACAATGATTGCAGAATTAGCAAAATTTATTCGATTTTCGTAAAATATCAATATGTTTTCACCATGAATGTCATTTTTTTCATATTTCTGCAAACCACATTTTTTTTTCTTTTTTTTCAATAAACAAATATTGCAGATACCTCTCTGACTTTTTCAAGCCATTTTTAATTCATTTTCAAGCCAGAATGGTCGCTGAAAAATCATTTTCATAATGCTAAAGTTGTAAGATGTTGTTCCGGTGGAATATTTATGATAGATCGCTCTGAGGCTAAGACAACCAAAAAAAAAACTATCTTTTAATCAACAGCTCATTTATCTTAATTAATAAAATATTTTGCACGGTAGTCATTTCAATAATTAACTTGTTTATCAGCTTCCAAATGAAAAATGGCCTTTTCATTTGGTGAAACCAATAAAAAATGTTGGGATAATTTTTTTCTCTTAAATTTACAATGAAAAAATGGTTCTTGAGATGTGAGGAATGAGAAAAAAAAACATTGATTTAAGGTTACAAACGTTAAAAGCGTCATCATGGATAATAATGAATATAAATGGAAATTTCATTTCGTAAGTGGGCGATGATGATATTCTCGCAATGAAAGCGAAACTAAAAGAACCAAACATCAAATTCCAAACTAAGCAAATAATTCTTTAAATTTCCATGCGAATGCTCGGGAACAGCAAATTATTTTATAATTTATGATAGGTTGGGTTCGTCGAAGTCGAAATGGTGACAAAAATAAATAAATAAATTTATAAGTAATCCAAGAAACATGCGATGGCCGGATCAGGTTTGTCACTTGTGCAAATCTTATGCTATAAAACTGTTCAAGAATGTATTATTGCATTGGGGGCAAGTACTGCATTGAACGTGGCCACCACAAGTGGACATGGTGATTTATTTTCTACAATATTTGCAAACATTATCGCACACATCATCCTACGCATTTGTAAAAAAGATAAATAAATTAAATATTGTTTATTTGTTTATTTTCATTTTCGTAATTCGAATTTAGAAAATCCACATCCAGGAATTTGATGACTCGCTTGTGTTCACGCCATATTTTTCGTGCAATGTATTTTGTATTTATTTATTTATTTATGATGTTTTGTTGTGTTTTTTTTTTGTTAAATCGTACATGATTTACATAAATTGTGTCTTTTAATGCTAATGCGAAATAGTTCGCGGTTATAATCGAAAATGTTTCATTTTCAATGGTTGGTATTTTCACTGTAAAATTAGACCTGTTTATAATGTCATCATCATCATTTTTATCATGAATGACACTGTCTGTACTACCGCATATTATTTACCTTTACCCATCTATTTCAAGTCGTTTATGTAATTAATTTTTATTGGTTTCTTTTTTTATCACATATCTGAAGATGAACGAAGTACGAAAAGGTGCATGAGACCAAACGAGAAATGAATATGTGCGCGCACGCATGGCATTCAATCAGTGATGGTATTTTTGAATGTGGTAAATTTCTTGGCAATGAAATCCATTTTGATTCCAAATGCAATAATTTAAAAAAAGTTCTACTTAATATTCCTTCATTTTTTCGATCGATTGATCGATTCAATCATAAACATATACGAAAAAAAAAAAAATATGCGAAAATAATTTGTATGTTAATAGCTGGTGACTTGCTTATGTAAAAAACATGCTTTGAAAACACGAAAGCGAAGAGAGCAAAAAAAATGGGAAGCAACAAATATGATATAGCCATCACCATCGGTGTCAGTAATGCGTTTCGATGTGATAATGTGCGCTTTGTTGCCACGAACACTGTCGCCATGCACCAACACATCCACAACAAGTGTGCAAAAATTCACTCTTGTTTTAGTTCACAAATATCGATTTTAATATTCAACCAGCGCACTAATGGGAAGGGATTTTCGAGACAACAACTAGAAATTCATATGACGTGTTTAAGCACCCAAAAATAAAAGTGGGGTAGTTTTCATGCCATTTCGAAAATCACTTTCTACTAATAACACACGATACGGATATGAAACGTATGTCGATGATAATTTTGGTAATGGTTTCGATCATTTCTTGCTTCTGTCACATTTATTTTCATTAAATATGACACAACTCATTGTTTAGTATTGTTTCTAGTGTGACTTTCTTTTGCGTTTTGTGCAGAATTCATGGTCTAAATACATTTTGGGTTTTTTATTTGTTTTGTTTTGTTCATCTGTTGTTGCACGAACCAATATGTTGAAATGCAAAAGGTCACTTAAATGAATTTGCTTCGTTTTGACTTTTCAATCGAATGATTTAAATTTGAAATCGACATTTTCACATATATGATACGCTTTCGCAAATGCATTCACAATAAAAATCCGAAATTTCCGACAAAACTTTCCATTCAATGGGTACCCATAATCATCCTATAGCTCTTTTTTTCTCTCTCTCTTAGTTTTGGGTCTCTACTTCTCATCTCTCAGTATCTCTCTTTTTTCATCACTTCTATTTACGATAAAATTCATCAAAACAACCAGCTTTCCACGAAAGCAAGGTGATGGCATGCGGGGAGGATTAAGATTTCTAAGAAAATCATCAAAAAATCATCCAACGATTATGTTTATCGTAATACATCAAACGGCGCCGAACAACTTGTTCGATAAGACAGCGGCTTTTTTTCAACCTGTCAAAATCCGTTCACTTTCGAATCGATTGACCGTCAAAATTGATTGGTGAACGACATTTCTTATGGATCAATAACAAAAAAAAAAAAAAAAAATCAAATGGATTGATAACACTTGAAATAGCTGTGAAAAAAAACTTAGGAATTAGAACACATAATAATTTCCGTGTTTGATGTATTTTTTGTTGTTGTTGTTGTTGTCATTTCAGTTTGCTGGTTTGCAATCAATTGTCCATTCATTTGATGTAACAAAACGGGTTGAATTGTGAATCGTTGGTTACAGAAAGAAATAGCAAACAAGTTGAAATGGACGAGTGTGTGCAAAACTTGTTTGTCTGGTATTTGGAGGCTCACATTTATTTGGCCGGCTTAATGTAGCTGTCTTAGACCAGACGATCGTATGCGTTGTCGGTGTGTGATGTCAGTCTAATATTAGCGTAATTCATAAACGATATGGTTTTCTATGCATGGTGACAAGTACCACATTTTATCGAATCGATCGAAACAGAGCGAGAAAATGCATAGGGGAGAAAACAACAGGAAAAAGTGTGCAGTCATCTGTGTGGCGAGCACGTTTTTATTGCAATCGCATTGATCGATACAACTTTTTGGGCCGAGAATCAAGTTTTAGTTTTAATTGCACATACGACGGCATAAAATTTCGCTTACGATTCATAACACACAAAGACATAGCAATAGAATGATAGCATAGTACGAAAGGTGGCATTGCCTTATGTAAAATATGAGACTCTGATCAAACATTTAAACATGTTAACATCCAAACTGAACAAAAAAAAAGAGAACAAGATAAAGTCATGCTGCATGATTATAGTGCGCATTATAATTTTGCGATGAGCATCAGAAGCTGCACTTGCTTTGTAACACAATGATCATCACTTTATTGAAATGTGTCTTATTTCACTTCGGCAAAGATGTCAGTTTATGAAAATGAATTTGGGTTGGTAAATAAAAACAAGTACACGGCGTCATTAATATGATTTGCTCCGTTTCACATACCGCAACATCGCTTTCGACTCGTTAAAATATTTTGCGTTGGGCAACTCTCTCAATGCGCGTAAACAGTAACAACATCAACAACAACACACCAACATTTACCTCATATTTATTTATTTTGTAACAAACTTTGTGCAAATGCCGACGAGGAGAAATGTCGAAAGGTATCGATCAAATGTGCCACAATTACCATCCAATAATTAATTATATCAACAAAAAATCTTAAAATCTGGCAAAATCACGGAACAGCCCAATAATGAAACGGCAATTTCAACATTATAATGGTCAAATAGAAATTATGCTACATGATTAATTGGTAAATGGCATGAGAGACTAGAACCGATTCAATCATTCTTTTAGCGTATTGCCACGAAGAAGAAAATACAATTTAAAAATGGTAATGGTAATGGCATAAAGAAAAATGGAACAATGTCCGCTACTTGTGCTATGTAGAATTTTTTGTTTTTATTTCAAGTGATGTAACGTGAATATGGGCAATAAAACAATCATCAGAATTCTATCGTTTTTATGCTTCTTAAATTTCGAAAGGTGCACATAACCGAAATGTAACTTTTTTTTGGCTTCGGGAGCATTTTTGTTGCTCTTTAAATCAAAACCGAGAAAAGAAAGAAAAAAATTGAATAAAACTTAACTTATAAAAACAAAACAATGGCCGAAGCAAATAACACAGAAGCGCGATAGAGTATATTGAAATAGCCCACAAGTTTGGTATTTATACGCCACGTTACTATAATTACCGCATAAATCATTCTCATCGTACAATGTGAATGAACTATGAGAATTGAAATCTAATACTGTTTGTGTTCGTGTTTTTTTCTCGCTCTCTGGTTGTTTTTGTTAGTATTATTGGTGGTGTGTTCCATTGAGTTTGGTTTTCTTGACACATAGTTCGCGGTTATGGTTCGTTGTTTTTCAATGCAAAACATCTATTTGAACGGAATTCAAAATATAAATGAAACTCAATTGTCTGCAGCATTTTTTAATAAATCGAAAGAGCCATAAAAATATGTTTCACGCTTTTCGAGGCATGTGCATGCGTATTTTGAATGACAATTGGCTAGCAATTTCCATTCAATTCAATGCCATTCAATTTTACCGGCCTGGTAAATTCACTTCAACACTGATTTGTTCATGTTTGTTTTTCTTATTTATGATTATTTTTTTTTTTTTTTGTTCATGTGCAATCGTTAATCACTTCGTGAGATTAATGACAATTTCTTCATTTGTTTTCGGTCAAGTTTAATATTGAAATGTATCGCAACGCAACGATCGAAACAAAAGAAACAACCAAAGAAAATGGAAAAAAAAGAGAAAAGTTCATTATTGGCGGATGTGAAATGATTTAAAGTGTGTTTATTTATACTCGTTCATTGACCATTTTCACGTTGTGTACGCGCACATGCCATATAGATGTTTGTGATTCCATTGTTTGTTGAAATTCTTTCATTTGATTTGCCAATTGCGCTTAAATTATATTTCTCTTTCGTGGTGAATCAATTAATTGGTTGGGTGAAGTTTGCACGCACACGCACACGCACATGATATACCGTAATCGATTGAATCGATCAAGAAAACTTACCGTTTCGACTCAAGTTCAAGTGTTTGAATTGATTTGCTGTTGAATTGATTTTAGTTGCTTCAAATCGGAATAAGTGAAAATATCCATATCGAATTGTTTCCATTTATTTATTTTATTTTATTCATTTCATTTCATTTTGTCTTATCTATTTTACAATATTTAGATTTAATCGAGTTCTCACGTTTGAAAGTTTCAAAATGAACACAAAAACACACAGCGCATTCTAAGTCTCTGTAACTTCCAAACAACGTTCGTGCTTATGGTAATGGGCAATCGTTAATCGACCAACTGTAAACATTGTAGCATTGATTATTTTTGTTTTAGTTTTACGTTAATATTTGCTTTTGTTCCCGTTTGAATTCGATCCTCATCCGTGCAATCGAGAATGAATAAAAATCGAAATTGAATCGAACGGTTTGTTTTCTTTTACAAATAACATAACATTTACTTATAACACAGCGCGCAAAACTTCATCTCGTACCGTTTATAGAAGTTTTATCATGACAGCGTTTTCATTCCCATTCATACTTATTGATCATTTACTACAAAAGAAATTGTTTTGACAAAAAAACAAAACAAAACTAAATGAATACGGATAGGATAAAAGTGGTTTTGATGCAGATATCAAGACGAAAGAAGAAAAGAAAACAAACTGACTTCTAAAATCGCAATGATCGCGTTCTACTTTAATATTTAAAAAAAAATTGTCCGAAGGTTCGGATTATGGTTTACAGTTTTGTTTAAGCTGAAGGTTAGATTTCTTTTTGCTGTTGTTGTTTTTTCGCACGGTATTCAAAATAAAAAAAAAATTTAAAAAAAGAGAAAATTAACATAGAAGAAATGGCAAAAAGAAAGGAAGAATCGAAAAGAAAAGAATAGAAAACAAATACTAAATAAAATAACATTACACTCAAATGACTTAGAAGAAACCGTCACCCGTTGGATCGTTGAGCCATGGGTAATTGTTTGGACATCTGACGCATGTTTGCAAGTTAATTGTTTCGCCTGGTACGTCTTTCGATGTAAGTTTGCATGAGTGTGGCACCCAACAGGCTGGTGTACCCTCATTTGCCGAACACTTTTCTCTCCATGGTTCGAAATTCTTAACTTCGGTGACTGTTCGTGGATTTTGAACCCATTGAATGACTTGTGTCATTGTCACAAAGTAGACATCATTATGATTTTGCAACACTTCATCGATCCAGTATAAGAATGCATCCAAATAATCTGGATTGTTCTTCAACCAAGCAGCGTGGAAGTAAAGACCTAAAGAAAACAATGCGGAAAGACAGCGAAATACCATTTTAACATCATTTTTTAAAAATCTTTTTTTAAAAGGAGTTGCGTATGTAGTACGAATTACAAAATCATATGGCATTTTACATTGTGTGTTCTGAAAAAATGCTCATTTTAGGCAACTCCTTTAATTTGGTTCATTTAAGAAAGAAAACGAAATACTCAAATTGAATTTGATTGATTTTTAAACTTACCTAGAGGTGCTCTGTTTTGTTCATAATGTCTGTCAAAGTTGTGGTTCAAAAAGTTGTAGAATTGTTCACCGGACAAGATGTTTGAGCAGGAATCAACCATAGCACAGCCTGGTAGGTATTCGTCATTGGTTGGATCTTCACGACGGTCAAGTTCGTTCATTACCATTTCCCAGACAGCATGCGAACGTGTTGGACAACTTTGTAAATTACCATGACAGCGATGTGGCATTTTGAAGTACATTGTGTATGGCCAAAGTGGTGGATTCGACAATGGAGCTGTTATGGTTGAATCATATAAGAAAGCTTGTTCTTCCATCATGGTAAATTGATTATTTCCGCCGACACGAAGGTATGGAGCCCGGACACCGACAACCGAATTATCGGTGATGTTTGCATACTTTTCAATAATAATTCTCATTCCAGCCATTTCCTTGGCCCAATCATCAACGGTGGCATTTGACCAGAAACGTTCATCATCATTGTGGCTGTTCCGTGTTTATGTATGTGTGTATGAGCGCGCGTTGAATATAGTAGTTCGAATATACGCAATAAAACATAGTGAAATCAAGCAAAAAAAAAAAACGAAAATTATTTTTTTCTTCTCGTTAACTGAATGTCTAGTTACATGGAATGGAGTGAATGCAGATCCAATGAAAAAAATTAAATCGATACGAAACGCTGCCGCATTATGACAACAATGTAAAAAAATGTAAGAAACAACACACTGAATAAGTGGTTTACTTTGATTGTGGCTGCACGTTCATATTCGCCTTTATGCTATGAACTGAATGCCCTAAATATGCAATCACATATATATTGGCTCTTGTGAACGTATTGAATCAAACGAGATACACAGCTATGAAGCTATCGAAAATGGAAAACATGTCGCCGTCTCTCGAAAACTGTATTCATCAGCGTGCTTATACATATATATAAATGTATATTTATATTTGGGTACGGCTTGTGCGATCGTTCGAAATCGACAAAAAAAATGAAATTTCATACAAGAAAAAAAAAATCAGCTATACTAGTGCTTTGGCTGGTACTTACGTAATTGAATGAACTGCAATTTCATGACCTTTGCGGTGAGTCTCTTGCACGGCTGAATAGTTTGTATATTTGTGCGATACAAAATATGTTGCCTTAATGTCACAGCCATTTGGATTTTTGCGCTTTCCATTGAAGATTTCTTTATAAAGTTCGATGTTATTGTTGTTAATAGCGTCATCGAATGTAATTGTAATCATCATTGGAACGTCTTTTGCTGGTAAATTGCCTGGAATTGTTGTGCCATCTTCTGAACAGAAACAATCGGGCAACACACAAACGGCTGGATCACATGGTGGAGCGCGGTTTGGATCATTGTCGATGTCTGGATTTTTGATTTAAAAAAAAATGAAGATAATACGAAACATAAAGAAAACCATTGATACACACGTCAACATCAATTGAAATAAGATTTGCTTTGAAAAATGTGTTTCGGTTTTATCATGACTTCATAGACACATTCAATAAATAAATAAAATTGAATATTTTCCAATGAAGCTATAAAAAGCAAAGACATGAATTAATGAAAACCATATTTGTAATAATATCTACGACGCGAAAGTTATTCAATCATAGTGAATTAGCTACAGCTAGTGTTTCTCGATATAACATGTGTATATAACAGTTGTATGATCATTTGATCATATCCAAAGCCGACGCCACCTCAACAAGTCGTCACTCTTCTTCCACAAACTAGAATCAAATTGTGTGCGTTTAAAATTTGAATTATGTACTCATATCAAATGCATCAAGTCACTTAAAAGTCATTGGCACTTAGAAGCTCATTGTTCAGTTGTTTACTCAATAGGAATACGATTTATAAAAAAATATTATTAAATTATACCTCCTCCTCCTCTCTTCCAAACATAAAAACAAGATTGAATTAAATTTTCAACGATGAGTTAGAAGTTGATGAGCATGCAAAATGGAGAACGAATTCAATTGGTCTCTTGTGTTTGAAATGAGTGAAAATTATTTGAAGGGTTTGGCGAACAAAACATTTTTAAAACACTTCAGTGCTCATTTATCGGCTCACACACTCAAAAATTGTTTAATTATTCATCACAAAAGAGTTAAGAGTTACTTCATCACATTCAGTCACGCGATCACATTCGCCAGATTTTTTTTTTCAAATGAAAAAAAAAGTACATGTTTTTTCCCCATATCTTACTTATTTTTACCAATTTGGTTTGATTATTCGTATGTTCCATCGTTTATAGAATATTATGCAAATTAAATTTGTTCTGGAAGTTGTATGAAAAGGGTAATAGTTTTTTTTTAATCATCGTTTGGATAGATCCAAGAGTAGAAATGCGTAAAGAAATATCATCAATCATAAATTAAACTGGTAACATGTATAAATAGCTAAAATTGGTCGGCTCGAGCATAAAGCAATGAAAATGAAAGAAAGAGTCACAAGAGGCAGAGAGAAAAAAGCGTAGAGTGAAATAAAAATATACGAAACACTTCAGAGAATTACAACGACGTCATTGTTCAATCAAAATAAACTGGTTTCGACTTCTTCGAATATTGCCGATTTATATTACTTTTTTTTCTTGTCCATTTTCAGGTAATTTCGTACACATTTTTGTATATTTCACGCGTGTCTGTGTTTAAAATGCACACACAAAATATCATTTGGATTGTATGTGCGAAACCAGTCAAAGTAGCGAAATACTCCAAACTTAAAATGCTATTAAATTTGCATAAAACCAAAAGTACTTTTTGAAATCTCTCTCTCTCTCTCTCTCTCTCTCTCTCTCTCTCTCTCTGTTTCTCTCTTACGCAGTCTCTGAGTTTGTGTGGATACTTAAATGACCAAAATGATATGGATAAAAATTGAGCGAAAATAACAACATAAGACGATGAAATCGGTGTTTAAGTAAGACGATTTCAATTCGAATTTTCTTTCGATTACAACAGAAAGAGCACTTTTACTCTCACACATTTTGAGCAGTATGTGAATATGTTTAATTTTTGTGTAATTCTTGACTGGGCACGGAAAAGCATTTTTTTTCCTTTTTCAACGAATCCATTTGAATTTTGAAACATTTTGTATATCGATGCGGAAAACATTTAACTTCCTTTCTGTATCTGCAAATAAAGTTCATGATCGAATAAAAAAAATATGCTAAATGACCAGCACACACATCAGCTGATTCAGTATAAAAATTTAGCACCGTTTTTTTCTTCTTTAAATAAATGCAAAAACAATTTAAGCTTGAAATATTCTCATCTTATCGGACTTTTACATTTTGCATGCGGTTACACCCACGATTGGAATTTCCTGCTCAGCAGCCAGTGCCATATACTTAAAGTCGTATGCAGTCACTTTCATTCGATTGTTTTGTAATAATGAGTTGGAATAAAAAAAAAACAAATTGAATGGCGCCAATAAACGTCAAGAAGGCGTCGCAGAGGAAAAAGCTTAAGAAGATGGAGATGATTACTGTGTATTATTCAATTTTGTTCAACAATATCGATTAACGAACAGACATGAAACTAATTCAGAAATTGATCGGAAAGTGTCTCTTATTTGTTTGGGTAATTTTATTTTTGAATGATTGTCATCATAATGATTTGCTAATAAAATACACACAAAAAAAACGATTTTCACTTTTTTTTTCAAATTCATTCATGTGATGTACAAAATGGATTTGACCACGATTTTGTTGAAAAGCATTCGTCTTTTAAAAATTCATTCAGACAACTAAACGTCAATACGTTTTGAAAGTTAATTTGAACAAAAGATAAAACAAACAACTTCTTAATCATGTTCAAAATGAGGATTCTGGAATATTTTTTTTTATTGAAAGTGACATTGAATTTTGTAAAAAAAAATTCCATTTAAATAATGGAGCGAATTCAGAAATAAAATTTGATGGAAGAGACCAAATAAAGAAAAAATATAATTAAAAATGCACATTTTTTCATGTCACTTGAAAAGAGCCCGTGACAAATATGACCGGCGGCTGTATGGGCTGTATCTATTTTTGGTATTAGGTTATACCTTGGCAATACTGTTTATCAACATCGGTGTATTCGTCAATCTCATTACTATTTTTGTTCGTGTTTTATTATTACTTAAATCAAGATCCGCAACAATGTCAAGTGTGATTTGGGTGGTTTTGTTTGTCGTTCACTTTCCCATTAAATCCAAATGAAATCCAACACGTTTCATTTAATGGTTGGTTAATTAACCAGCATAAGAAATGTCGTAGGTGACAATTAATATAATCAAATGTATCATTTTTGGGGCGATTGTTTTTATGGTCGCATTTAAAATGTAAAATGCTACATTATGAAAATTGATGAAGCGAAAAATCAATATCGATGTGATTGATTTGGTCCGCAAAATACAGAAATACAGATCTTTATTTTTTCGCTCTGTCTTCGTTTGACATATGCAAATGAATTCAATTGAAATATTATATTTGCGGACAGATTGACGTGAGTGACATATAGTAAAATTTGAAATTGAATATAAATCGTGGATGATTTATATCATATTCATCTCTTGAATATAGGTGTCATACTAAACCTTGACCTTTATAATTTTTTAATGTAAAATCGATACGAGAAAGTGTGAAGCACGACTTTTTTTTGTAAATATTTCACTCTCTCATTCTCTCAAGATAGATGGAGAGAGCGAATTTGAAAGTGAGCTTAACTCAATGTGATTTTAATTTTAAAAACACTTACCGCAGCTATTTTCATCGGAACCATCAGCACAATCCTTTTCACCGTTACAGAAAAGTCCACGTTCGATACAGTTGCCATCACCACAGGCTAGAAAACCATCTTGACACAATGGTTCGTCAGTATACAACAATGGTTTTACTTTACGTTCTTTATTCTTGAGTTTGCAATTTTTCACTGAATCTTTCCAGTCACATGTTTGTTTTTCAATGTCGAAATAAAGACCAGCCGGACAACGAATTGCTTGAAGACCCTATTGATTTCAAACGAAAAAAAAAATGCAAACAAAAAAACAAAAAAATGAATGACAAACAAAATGGGTTTTGTTTTAATTTGTAATTCGTGACCATGTCTTATGGCCAACGCTAACTTTATCTACTTCGACTATTTGATTCTCATCTCAATCGAATATTGTTGTTATTACTTAATTTGTTGTTAGTTTCTTAACACCTTCATTTGTGGTAATACACTTTCTCAATAAGATAAATTCAATTTCACTTACTGATGAGGTACATTGAATTACATCGCGACAGTTGTCACCTTCGCCAGAAACCAAACGAAACCATTCACCGGCATCTTTGCCTTTACATAATTCTTGTTCGAACGACTCATCTTTTTTCGTCGATGTTTCGTCTGATTGTCTCTTTGTTCGTGCGCCGTGTGCTGAAACGAAAAACAGTTTTTTTTGCAATCTTAGATTTGTGATGAATAAAAAAAAAAATACATTTGAATTTCTTAAGGAACCATTCTTTCATTGATGATTCAGCGCCCAACTATGATTAACAAAAATTAATGGTATCCTCAAGCGACTTGTTGCACATCTTCAGAATATTTATACCACCCAATAATGAGAATTGGTACATATTTTATATGGCATTCAACACATATCAAAATTGTATGCAAATGTGGTAACATCGACATTTCGACCGCACCTCAACATTACCTGTTTATGCCAATTATGTATTAAATTAGACGGTTATTAGATATAATTTTATTGTATTAAATATTTTTTTTTTGGATTGCTTTGTGCCTGGATCAGCCCACAAACGATGTCATATTCACAAAGGCATGTGACATTTTATCATCATTTCTGTTTTCACATTCAAATTGTGGTATTTTGAACTATTTCTAATGCTTAATTCCCATGTATACATTAACATAATGTCATTAAATGTTGTTAGTGTTATTTTTGTTTGGATGCTATGCAATCTATTCATATATTATAAACGGAATGCCTGCACATCAATGCCAAAGCACATGAAATCGATATGTTTTTTTTCTTCTGATTTTTCGATTTGATGAGTGCAAATGCAGACCATTTCCAACAACGAAATTTGTAGGTCAACACCATTTTTTTTTTTTTTGCATTGGCGACTTCTCTTCGTTTTTGGTAGATTTGGAACATGTACCGGAAACATTATGAAACTTGATTATAAGACAAGAATTCGCATCCAGTATTCGAACAAATAAATTATATAATCGTTTTCTTTCGTACTTGATTTGCATTTTAAAAGTGCTACTGATAAATTAAGATAGCACACGAATGTTTCGTTCGCACATGAAGCAACAAGTCTACATATTTTCATGTTTCGCCCGATTTCATTGTGCATTCTTTAGTCAGATTATATAAAAAAAAACTAGACGAGAATCGATTGAATTGCAGTGAAAATCCAGTTTTGGAATTTATGAAAACAACATCAATAACAACAGTAACAAAAGAAAAATAAGAGAGAAATAAATGATTAAAGCACGGCGTGTAAGCATATAAATACATTTCGCTTGTAGGAAAAGAAAACACGGGATGATAATTTACTTTGGTAATGTATTGAAAACGCGTTTCATTTTCATTTCTACAAATAGAATATTAATCGATCGTAGCATGAATTATGTGCTTCTATTGATCGTGAATTTAGCGCCATTGTAATGTACGTGTTTGCCGGAAAGAAAATGATTTACATTCATTGATTGTTGTACTTTTTCTCGTTTTATAAATACGATTAAAGTAATGATAATGTAAGGCACAACATTTTCATCTATATCATTTTGTATGTTATTTTTGACATCGAGATTTGAATAAAAAAGGAGTGTCTTCGAAATAGGCAAATGAAAATCATTATAATTTGTATGGATTTGTATGCAATGATCAGACGGAAGAAAGAGAATTTGCATGAAATATTCGTACGTCTTTTGAGGCATTCATCAATCGATGACACGCTAAAGCATAACATGAATCTTTCGTTTCCATCGATCCCATTTGGTCAAGCAATTTTACTAATATGTGCAATGTTAAAAATTAATTGTTAATGCAAAATGCGTACAAATTAGAAGCAAAAAAAAAAAACAAACACTACCACTTCTGGTGCGATTGAGTATAACGGCCTTTTTTCCGTTTGTTTTTTCTTTATTGTTTTTTAGAAACATGAAATGAATGCGCCTTCATTATGCATAATTAAGTTAATAGGTTATTATGGAAACTTTTGCATATTAAATTATGAATAATCTACTTCTTTCTTTCTTTCACATTCCATCTCTTTCATTTCTCTCTGTAACGTGGACCCGTATTGCTGTATGCTGTTTTCGTAGATAATGTTATGGGCAAACATGTTTTCTAATTCAAAATAACAACAACAGCAGCAACAACAATAAAAAACCCCATGCGCATACATACGTATTTCTATTACAAATATTGTTCAGCACTCACAACATTTATTAAATTTTCTCTAGACTTTGATTTGTTTATATGGTTTTGAACGCATACTCAATATGTACCGTAATCAATGACTCACTTGGATTGTAAATTAAAAGAGAAGCAACAAACAAATGAAAAAAAAAGAGCAACGATTGTATGAGCAAAAATTAATGGGCTGAAAGATGAAATTAAAAAAAAAAGAGTATATATGTGTATGTTGCTAAAACTCATATAACACTTACCAGAATGTGCAAGCACTGCAACCATCACACAAAATGCTATTGATTTCACCATAATTGATTATTTCCTTTTGATAATTAAGAAAAGAAAAATAAATTACTAAACAAAATGAATGTGATGCTGTAGTTTAAATAATAAAATATAAAAACGGCAACAACAATAGTAAAAACAATACATTTTCTTGTTGATTTGATGGTAAATTTTGGCAACAAAATGCCGAAATTGATTATTTTGAATTATAAATTTATCGAACACAAAGTATTTTCAATGAATTCACAAATGCCACTCTCATAAACTATCTATCAAATGTGAGTTCAATTTATCATTCCAATGAATGATAATGTTTTAAATGTCGAAAAGACATTTTTTATTTCATTTATATTCAAAATTGAATGAAGTATTTGAAAATCACAACGAACGGAACTGCGAATAAAAAAAAATTAAAATATTTATCGGTTAAAATAACGGAATATGCCGACATACTACAAAACATAGATTTGTCGGTAACAATCGAAGGTCGCACACACTTCTATTTCTTTTTATTAAATACAACTAGAAATTGTTTTGAAGACACACGGATTTTTTTGTTTTATTTATCTTTCGATATGGATTCATATCGGTTATGTGATTACAATATTCCGTATAAGTTTGAGTCTCGTTCTTGTCTGCAAATCGATATATAATTAGAATTATTATAAATATTGCTTTATTATTGTTGCCACAGCTTCTACTCTTTATATAACGTCTAAATCTTTAAATTGAAAGATTTGGTACTGATCAATGAATGCAAGCAAATGAAAAAAAAAAGCTTGCATAGAAATTTATATGTATGTGAATAATTAAATGGAAAGAAAAAGTGAACACTAACGGCGCTAATGTGATATGTGCCGACTTCCAATAAACGCAAGAACGTGTATGCATGGAAACAAGCTTTTATATGGCAACTCTTCGATGCGGAGAAATAAAAAATTGGTGGGATTTTAATGAACAGGTGGGATACACACCATTCAAAATACAAAAAAAAGGTAAGAATAAAAAAAAACAAAAACAACATAATACTCGGTTTCACTATGGCTTGTTACGTTGACTATGCTGCTGTCGCTTGATGGTGTTATGTCGCGTTCGTTTGGCATATCTATATCGTCGTCGGCCAAATGCATAACACATGCAAACACATACACACACACACAATTGCGAAAAGGAAAGAAAAAAACAACAACTAACAGGCCAAGAGAGCTCACAACAGCAACGTCAGCAACATACAACTCCTTTTCTCCTCCAAAATGCGTGCATGAAGGTGATAGAATCACAACTTTTGCGGTATCCAATTTGAATATGTTCAAATTTTTGTCATACAAACACTTGCTCACACACATACACACATATTTATATTGTTTCGATGCATTTATATGCCTAAATATTCAGGGATGGGTAGACGCATTCAATTGTTGCTTTCATTCGTTTTAATACATGTTTCAAAGAAAGGAGTGTCAAAAACGTCATCGATATGATGATATCGATATTGCACAAATTGAAAAATGTCTCAAACAAATCAATTTCAAAACTGCATGCAAACTGCTACATTTAAAAAAAAAGAAAGAAAACAACATGATGAAATTTTAAAAGCTTATGACATTTTGTTAAGGCAATTTGGAGATTCCGATGAATCAGACACTATTTAAAGTGTCATATGTGTATTATATCAGGTCATTTGGTGATAATCCCATTTTATATTACTGGTTTCTGTCACCAATTTAAACATATTGGTAATTTTTTTTTTTTGATGAAGGTATACATCCTACGATTCGCTTTCCTATTTGCCGGAGCTCAGGTGAAATTGCTGAAAATTGATTGAATAATGCAACAAAGGTAAATAACATCAATTGTTCATTAAATTTAAAATGGTTATATCTTGATCCATTGATGTGAGCAACAAAGGCAATTTGTGCGAGCACAAAACGACATACGTCACTAGGTTATCTTTGCGTACCAATACATTGAACAACATGTATATAGTGGTTTTGACCGTTTCCATGGTCTTACACATTCTTCAATTGAATTTGATGGATAATGGAGACTATTGACTGCATGTATTACAATTCCAATTCAAATGTTATGGAATCGTTAACGGTCAGACCGACGTTAACATCTTATCAAAATAATAATAATAAAAAATATATATGATTCAATGAATCTGAATTTGATATTCGTTTTAATTCAATCAATATCAGATCAACTTTTTTATAGAGTCCATCTCAATTTAATAATGGAACTACAAAATGGTTAAATACACATTTGACATATTCAAAGTAATTACTAATTAGATTTAACATAAAATTCGATTTATTTTGAATTAAGCATGTTTACAGTAGATTATTGTGGAAAACTGAATTACATATTATGATCAATGTTATAAATCAAACGGAGACGGTTTGTCGTTATCTTACTTATTCCCACTGGGTTTTTTTCGTCTTTTTGAACGTTTTTGAAATAATATATATAAAACTTACATCGCGTATTTAAAATAATACCATCTGCATGCATGGATACATCTAACGTTTAATTTTTGCCAAACAGTAGCCATTCAAATAAAGTGGAGACAAAGTGTTGATGCTCTGGATGTTTGAAAAAAAGCAAATATTCAGTTTTTTATATACATATCAGAAATGGTAACTTATTTGGCACGAAAATTGTGTCAAATGACTTTCATTCGTTCCATTTCAACTGGTGACAAAGCGCCAGAAAATTAAAAGAACGAAAAAAAAGAAACAATAAAAAGAAAACAAAAAGTTTGTTGTATAGCAAGAACTGCGGTGAACCCTTTCAGTAGTTTAAAGCATATTGTTAACGCGACACAAACATGACATTCCCCAGTGGTTAGAGAACATTATTTGTGATATTCATTTTTATGATTTGAACGCAAACCGGGCACTTAGCTATGTGAATGCGTGCTGTGTGAATGTAATGAAAAACAAAACGACAACGGTAGACGAGAGAGAAAAAAAACACAACCAGCAGCAAGTGAATTCGTATGTTCTACTTGTCCTGCTGAGTTCAGTATGTAAGCGTTAACTTGCAAACACCATACGTTAATATACATGGTATGTATCGCATTTCAAATACATAGTCGAATTGCGATATAGCATCAAATATCGTTTAAGTATGATCCAGGAATATTGCCAAAACATTTATGTAAGTGAGAAATGGATATAGCCATACAGCACAAATATATGTGGATGGAAAAAAAAGCTTGCGCATATACACAGGTCACGTGTGGATTGGCGCTTGGATATGTTGTTAAATTAGAACTTGAAAATAAATGTGCTCAACGTATTTTATGTATAATATAAGCATGTTCGTATAACATCCCCCAATGCTTCGGAACGGGATTCGCAACAGTTAGTTGGTGGATTTAAAGGCGATCAGATCTGTTTGTATCGCTCATGCAAATTCGTGTTCATTGTTTCGTGGTCAAATCTAACTCGTTTACGATTTTGAAATACTTGTGAGAAAAGTACACGAGAATAGGCATAAAGTGGCCAGTGTGGCCACACAGCAAGTTACATTTCGTGACTGGAAAAGAAAATAAAAGTTTGTGTGCTTTCATATTTCCGTTTCGGTTGTGAAATTATTTAGATTGTAATAATAGTTCCATGCCTAACGTTAAAATACAGTCCAAATAAAATTTGCGTTGTGCATATTTATTTGTTATGCAAATCGAAATTAGCGTCGTTATTACATTGAAATGAGTAATTCTTTGGTCGTTTCTTTGTTTCTTTTGCCACCATAAAAAAACTTTATCGGAAACTCGATGAATTATTTTATTTGAGCCGTTTGTTGATTTTTTGTTTCTTCACAACTTCAGTGGGTTTTCCATAGTTTATTTTATTTTATTAAAATTTATCGCTCCATTTATTGATTACGCATAGAACAATTGATTTGTGTGCACTTGTGATGGCAGTGAAATTCAAATGTGATATTTTATTGTGATGGTCGGGTCTTATAATCAATGAACTTGAAAGTATCGTGAACCATGTTGCATTGACAATAAGTCGAATGAAAAAAAAAAGAAACGGATAACATAATAACAATATAATCGACGGTAATTGCACGTGGCCTTTGGCATTTGTTTTTCGAAAGACGAAGGCATGTAAATGGTCAAATAAAAATGAAATAGAAAAGAAAATCGATACCATAAACAATGACACTGAGTCTCTAGATTAAGATCAAATCAATAGTTCTTGTTTCTATTTAATCGCAAATGCTTCCATTTTGAATGTCATGACGAAAATGAAATTTGCTGATTCGTTGAAATATCCTTCGGATAGTTCGTGTGCAGATTAACCAAATGAGCAATGTAAGCGGCCTTTGTCCATTTTCGGTGTGTCCTTCCAAAAGTGCACTCTTACATTTTGTATTGCACCGAGCATTACAGAACAGCAGAGCATAATGTATGGCATATCACATGCATCGCAGATCCTATAATTATAATGTGGAAACATGCTGTATAAATTATCCATCGGAAAAGATTGGCCGCTGATTGCCATTGAATGTGCATTTTCATTGTGTTCTTTTTTCTCTTCTTCTTTTTCATTCCAAAGTTGCATGTCTGCGATCAACAGAGAGCTGCCCTCTGGCTGCGCTTAATGCAGTTCAAATAAAGGTTGAATGCTAACCTTTCTATTGAAAAAGAAAGTTTTTCCCGAGTCCTTGATATTGAACATTGCCAGCAAACCGAATTCTTTACCGTACGATTTCTTGACGTCGATTTCTAGTGCGCACAACCATTCTTGCATTTTCAAATATCCTTTTGATGTAAATAATTAATATTCGATTTGTCTTATGAAAATTGTGTAAAGCTCTTTATCTCTTCACGTTTTTCTTATTTCTCTCTGGCTTTCGCTCTTTCTTTCTCATTTCATTTTCACATGTGTATATAGTATGTGTAATTTTTTATACAACACGCAACCATCCACATACCTAATACTTTCCATCATGTTATTTACGTTTTCTCCGTATCTTAAAATTTGTATTTACAAATCACCGATACACTGCTCACCAACAATTGCTGTTTCCATTCAATCCACACAATCAAACCAACAAGAAAATATCACATTAATAATTGTTTGTATTTCGAATTGTGTTTGTGTGTGTGTTGAACATAGATATTATTGTGTGCATTTTCTTCGATTAGCGCGCCTTTATTTCAATTTCATTCGCATTCACTTTCGACCATTCGATTGGTCACACACAATATCATATGCCGGAATCGAATATAAAACGAAACGAAATGATACATTGTAAATGGCTAGAACAGACAATGTAATGCATTAAAAACACGCACTCATATACCATAGACATAGACACCGTCACCGACACAGACGTATACCAAAAAAATGCTCGCGGCAAAATAGTGAAAATACACCAAACCAAAGTTCAAAGAAAAAGTGTCTCGCTTTCAAGGTCTCATTCAGTAATCAAAGCTTTTGCGTGTAAACAAAACCGCTACACTCGAATTGGAAAGGAGAAAGAGATTCGCTTTTTGTTTGTATGGTAATTTAACCATTGGTGGCGTGTGCACATATGGCACATACATATTGCATACATCTTTATATGTACAGAATACATACACGCCATTTCCATCACTACACACAATATACAGACTTCTACATAATAAATCTAATATCAACAATGTTTTATGTGGATTTTTCATGAAAAATGCATGATCGTTAAATTGTAACGCAGAATGAATTAATTTTGAATGCAATCGCATTCAACATCCGTACACAATTCGGTTCAAAGCAAATGGTGCTGGCATTCGAAATGGAGCAAAATTGCTGAAGCATTCATATAAGATTTTCTTAATTATGCATTAAATTGTTTCGTTGCTCTTTGAATAAAAGAAAAAGAATCGTTTGCCTCCACACTTAACTTTACCATCAATTCTCTCTAGATCTGAATTGCTGGCGTCAGTATTGTTTCAGGAAAATGTTGCCTTTTTAGTTAGAAAAAATTGACGCTCACTCGAACGCAAGTGAAATTAAAGCATACTTCGACTTTTGGAATGATATCAAGTGAAAAAAGAACGTTAAATCTCATACAAAATGCAGGTAAGTGCAAACATTAACGTCATCAAAATGATTTTATTAGAGTCAAGGCTAATGTAAGTATTTCGATTTTGCGAACAGAAGCCCGAGAAACGACATGAATCGCGACTGAAAAATTTTTGGCGCTCACCAAAGACAACATCTACATCTGATGAATCTACCGGAGCCGAGAGCCCAACACATTTAAAAGGTCAAAAATTACAACAGCTCCAGCTGAGCCCCGTTCACAATAAACCCGCCTGTTCATTACCACTGCTGACCATTTGGCCCAGCCAAGTGAGAGATCATTTATTATTTACTAGATTTGATTGGATTAATTCAATTTATTGTACACACTACTTGATTGTTTGTTTCATTCCTTTCTTCTTTATTCGTCGGTATTTTTATTTGTTTGTTTGTGCTGTGGACAAAGGACTCACCGAACAATGTACGTGGTGAAGCAGATGGGCAAAGTTACGTTTTTGGAAGTTATGTGGACGAAAGCATTGAAAATGAGCGACGAGATTCTTCATTCAGCGATCATATGCATCGTGATTCGGGCATTGATTCGAGTCAGGCATCACCATCACCAAACACAGTCACATATCCGCGCTCACCAAGCGGATCACCAACACCATCATTAAACAATGGCAATAAGCCACGGCGACCTTCAAGTGCTCTTTTGCATCCAGACCATGCACGATTATTGCCGATTTTAAGTCGCAGCCCAAATTCACCAGATCAATCATCAACTGAAGATTTAACGGAGTATCGTGCCGAACTCAATCAACAATTTTATTTGGCCAGCCCAAGTATAACATCGTCAACAACATCAATAGCTGGATCCAGCAAGAGTCATCGGTAAATAGTATATTACAGACTAATTTCAATTCAATTGATTGAAATGTGATGGCATTTCTTTTAGGTATTGTGATGCATGGCTTCAACAAGAAAAAGATCCAAACCAAAGAAGACGATCTTCAACAATGACAAACCGTTATTCATTATTCGATGCATTGGACTTAGAATGTGCACTGTTGCGTGCGGCTGCTCGTGGTTCTGTTGGCCCATATTCGCTTAGCGAATCATTGCACAAATTAACATTCACTCAATCGCTTGCGTTTCCAGCATTGGCACGTGGCTTGGCCACAAAACAACGACGAACCGGCCAACAAAGCTCATCGAATCGGCCATCAAATTCGCATGAATCGTTGTTGAACACATTCGCCAAAGTTATAACGGCTCTAGTGCTTTTTGTAGTTAGCATTTTGGTCTTTCTCATTGTGTACAAGTTTGTGAGAACGTGAGGGTTACTTTTAACCCAAAAAAATGGGTTTATGTCATCGAATAACAATACATCAATAAGTTTTAATAATCTTTATCCTTTAAATAGTTCGTCATCAATAAATACATTTGAATGGCCACCATCCCGACCCTATGACACACAACTGAATTTGACTGAATCGCAAAATTATCGAAGTCCATTTCACGCATCCGCATTTTTGGCCAATGGAAAAATCACACACGGCTTTAATTTAAGGCATTTTAATTCAACACATCGTAAAATTAAGAGGTCATCGAAATGAACTGCAACAATAAGTATACAAAATTAGCCACTTTTTGGATCATCGATTGATTTTATAGTAGGTGTAACAAACACACATACACACACAGAGACACACACATTTTTATTCAACAATTTCGCACATTTTATGTGATGCGGTTTGAGCTGATTAACATGATACTTGAACGCTTTGTAATGCATCAATTTATGATGGCAGCGGAAATTCAATGGATTTGTGGCAGAAATTGTATTAAATGTCGAATTAAAATATAAAATTTAATACTTAACAAGAGACAAACACATATATAACCACAAGTTCGTTGAAAGAAAAATAATTTACAATACAAAAAAAAAAAACAAATTGAAAAAGATTGCTCTCCTAAAATGAATAAGGCCTCTTAACATATCGAAAACAGCGAATGTGTAATCAGTGCAGCCAGTGAATTTATTGAGTCAAAAACTATTTTATTGATAGTTTTAAAAATGCTTTTCTTTTATTAATGGATCTTTTTTTTTCTAAATCTTTTGAATTTGCCTCATGTCGATGGCACATCGGCATGTAAACGCTATTTTCTGCCTAATAGAATCAGCAGGAGGAAAAAATATTTATATTTAAATTTGTAACATATTGCATTTTAATGAAGTTGTGAATGCTTTAGCGAAGCATTTAGTTGGAAATTTTTGTACGAAGCCACAATTGCTTTATTCAATGCGCCATAAAGATTTTCTGATATTTGGTTTCAGTTTTTGAATAGTTCACAATTTCCATAATAAATGACGGTTATTTTAATGCTGCAATTTTAAATTTTAGACGCTGATGATTTTGGTTTTCGATATATAAAACTAACGTTACATTAATCAAATATTGAATAAGGTTAAAACAAAATTGTGATGCGGCCAAAATGATTAAGATAAATAAGAATTAAATAAAACTACAAAAAAAATTATATTACCTAAAAATAAGAAAATCTACTGCACAGCATATACGTATTAAATAAGAAATCAAACACTTCGCTTGGTTTATCAAACATATATATATTAATCACAACAAGCATTTTGTTTCTTCTCGCCTTAATATATTGACGCATTTTCTTTTTCAATTGGAAATATTTGTAAACATAAAAATAACCAATAGAGAAACAAAATTGAAATCAACATAGTATTACATTACACCGACAATCATTTTATGTGACTTACTCTCGTTCAGCAACATGGTTCAAATATGTTCGAACAAATTCTAGAATGAATCGCAATATGTCATCTGTTTATGAAGCAGTTGAAACTCATACAACATTCAGAACATGAGCTGCATGCACACATTTCAATGTTGTATTGTATGCGTTGCACGCGTAAGTTTCAATGTATTTATTCAAACCATGAAGTTTCAAGTTGGTGTTCAGCAAATAGTTCAATAAGATATACATAACTTGATCGTTATGAAAACAAACATGAACACAATGACATAAAAAAAGAATAGAAATTGCAAACTAACGAATCGATTCTAACTTTCAATTTTCAGTGCCTTCTTCTTTCCTTACAATTCAATATTCATTCAAATCAAAGAATTCGATTATCACCTTCTCAGAAGTGCTTTTATATTTGATGCCATTCAACGATGTTTGCCCATTAATAAAAAAGACAAACATTTCTAAGAAAGCGAAAAAGCATTCCTTTGATTTGAATCAATGTTTTGCAAGTAAAAACGCATCTCTGATATCTTTGACAATTTCCGATAAATTTTTTTTTGGTCTAAATTCTTTTATATATTCATAATTGGTGACTTTTTTAATAACTGTTTTCTAGTTTCTTATTTCTCATTCATAAGCTCAATAAAATCACTGTAACGAATGAATGTCGACACTAATTTTAGGGTTATGTATAAGTTTGAAACTTGAACCAAAACAACCAATTGAAGAAGACGATTATTTTTGTTATATATGATGTTTATTAACATCTTCTAACTGTGTTTTAATCGCCTTGTAACAAAGAATCGACTTGAATTAATACCTAATCTAAGTACATTCGATTGATACTATTCGAAATTAAACAGATTTTCGCTATCAATTTATGCAAATCTAATGAAGTTATTTAAACAACAACAACAACAAAACAATAAAGATAAAGAAAAACAAATTCACTCACCATATACTGCACGGCACTTGTAACAAAGAAAGAGTACAAACCGAAATTACCGTAGAATGGTTTATAATCAATTCAATATCGCAGACAATATTATTAATTGCCTATTTGAACAGAAATAGATATATTTTACATGTAGTAAGTTTAAATATGAGAAATAAAGTGAATTGTCACTCTCCTTGATTCAGCATTGATCGTTTTCATTCGAAATGCAACTATTTAATTTACTTATTTATAGAATGATGTACTTTATTTATCAAAAAAAAAATGTTTGGTACATTCTTATGCATAAATTTTTTTTAATTCTTTTTCTTTGTAGTGTGTGTTTCTTCTTTATATGATTTTATGTATGTTCGGGTTATTGTGAATGTATGTATGGAACAACAAGTTCGCATTTATTTAATTTTTCCTTATCAATCAGGATATGAATTAGAAGCGTGAATTGTATGGACGACGCATACGGCGTTTCGGGCCACCACGTTGTTGCTGCACTGGAGCTTGTTGTTGCGGAATAAAACCGCGATTTGGTGAACCAGAATTTTGCTGTTGCTGATAGTCTGGTTGATTCATTGAGCCTATAATAAATGTTGAATGTGTTGTATGAATAAAATGCTATTGGATTTTTCAACGGTTTTATTTGTTTGACGTACCATCTTGCCATACAATTGGTTGTGGTCTTCCGCGAATGGAACGACGACCGCGTTGATATGGTGATGGTGTACCTCGTCCTCGTGAGCTCCTATTTATAATAAATGGAAAGTAAAAATATTAATTAATCTCAATTTTTTTGGTTTAATTTTCAACACTATGGTCTACATACTTGAATATCTATGAAATGTTTAATATATAAAAAAAATATATATACCTGGTTTGATAGGTTGTGGCTACCTCGGCTTCACGACCTTCTTCTTCAGTCTAAAATAACACAAAAGTTATAAAAATTAATATTATTCAACAGAAAAAAATGCAGCAATTTGATTCGGCCATTTTGTTGAATGAATTTACCGCAACTGTTTCCGTGCCACCAGAGGTTTTTTCGCCTTCTGATGAAACACCATCAATTCCTTCCTCATTTTCAATGTCTTCTATTTCTTCAGACCCCTTATTTTCATCGGTTTCGGTAGTGGATGCATTGTCATCAGCAAATTCGGACACTTCTGAAAAAATAAAACAAATAAATATCATTTTGAAGTAAAGATATAATTGAAGCAGCATAGCAAAATATTTTGAGTGAGAGCGAGGACATGAATGCGAATGAAGAAAGAAGATATTTAGGTTTTGAGCGGTGTGGAATGGACTTTATTTCAAATGAAACAAAATACCGAATGATCGATAGAAAGACCAAAAGGAACTTCAACTGCATAAGACCGTCTGAAGACGGAATTTCAAAATAATTTTTTTTCTCGAAGCGACCAATCTTTGAAAAATACATAAATTGGATGCCAATCTTCAATTTGGAACAGTATGATCACATGAAAAATGTTGAAATTTTTTTTGGAAAATTTGAAATGTACAAATATGAATTTTCATTTTCTTATTACACTAAATGGAGCAGTAGAAGTGATAAATATTGAATAAATAAAATTACCTTCGGCGTCATCTGTAACCAATACTTGTGGAACGCTAGCCTCTGGAGCCGAACTTGTGCCAGCAATCGGTTCAACTTGAGCAACGGCTGGTGTTGCCGATGTACTGCTCGTTTCATTTGCAGATCCTGTATCACGTGGCGATTGTGATGGAATGGTAGAAACACTTCTTCCCGATTCATCCAATTGCGTTAGATCGATACGTGTGTCATCGATGCCATCGGTTGGTCGAGTTGCTGACTCGGCAAATGTGAAACGTGCTGCTGGCTGCTGATGTGCTTGATGCTATCAAGTATTAATAACATACATAAATTTTAATTAATTGTCTTTATCATTCACATATATTTAGTGATGAAATTTAAAAAAAAATTTTTTTGTAAAAGCGAACAATAAAATTGGTTTTGTGAATGTGTATGTGTGTGTGTGCCAAATGTTGATTAGAGAATTAAATGATCACTCACGTGTGGCTGTGGTGAACTAACAGCCTCACTAAAACCATCAGCTCTTCGTGGAACGTATAAAGTTGGTGTGCTTGGCACAATACTATCATCACCGGATTCTTCAAAACTAAGTATGATTGGTTGCTGTGGCTGTTGTTGGGGAGTGTTTTGTGTTGTTGCTTGTGACTGAGAATTCTGTTGAACGGGAGTTACTGGTGTCGATGCCTATTGAATAGAATGTCAACCAATTAAAATATGGTACTCAAAAGTGTATTTTATTCACAAACAAAAGAATCTAAACTACCTGCTGTTGACGTGATGGAGTTTGTGCAGCTTGACCTCTCCATGTTGATTGTGTTGAAGAACCGCTTGATCCAGCATCACTGGCGCTTATTGTTTGGATTTGTTGTGTCTCTTGTGGTTGAGATGTATTATCAGTATTCGCTAGATCAATCACGTTTTGCGCACTAGCTGCCGATGTTGAAGCATTCGGATTTGACTGATTTGGTTCGCTAGTTTCATCGACATCGACTTCATTGTTGTCCGATTGAAGAGTTTCAGCATACATATCGGTCGATTCACCTGTTATCGACAGATGATTTCCCAATAAATTAACTATTGTTAAAATAACCTAACAATTTGATGAAATTACGAAAATTACCTTGAGCCTCTTCAAATGGTTCAACATTATCACTTTCGTCTTCGAATTGAATTGTATCATCCGGTTCAACAGGGCCATCATCTGGCATTTCTTCGTCAGATTCCGAATCAACAATTAGTATATTTTCGTCATCTTGATCACGTTGAGATGATGTGGTCACCTATAAATAATGATTTTTTATAAAAAAAACTGTTTTTTTTTTTAATATTTTAATTTGATTTTACCTGATAGTCAACATCTAAGCATGACGATTCACTAACGCCTTGCGATGTGCTAGAACCAATTTGTATGCGAGTACGTTTGATTAGTGGTTTCTTTTGGCCATGATCCGATGAAATTTCATCGGTTGAATCGGTTTCATTGTCGCGTGGTCGCTTGTGTCCAGCTTGCGATGTGGTTACTGTATTACTTGTTGAAGTGGCACGATTGTGTGTACTCATGGTAATCGATTGACTTTGACTACTGGCCGATGTTGATGACGATGCAGACGTGCTGGCAGCGTGTAATTGATCGATAACCTGTTGTGGAGCAACAATATTTTGCGGAGCATTTTCATGTTGCCGAGGTGAAACTAATGCGACAGCTTGCTGTTGTACCGTCACTTGTGTGCTGGATGAAGAAGATGAGTCTTCAACACTTTCAGCTTCTTGCATATTTTCCGATGAATTTGATGCAACGGATTGTGTTGGATCGGACTTATCAATATTAGCACCTATAAATACCAAAATAAGAAATAAATAAATTTGCAATGAGCAGAGTAAACATGTGTGAACCAGAACAACACATTTATATGAAAATTTTGGAATTTGGGAAATGGAACAGTGTACACATTGTCTAATGCACACCAACTACACCAAATAAATACTCAAAAATAATTTGGTATAAAAAATTATTTCGTTTGCAAATCAACCTAATGAAAAGTGTACCACAATTTTGCCACATTGCAATTACGTTCGAAATGTCGAACTTACCCATTGGTGATACGGCAGCAACGACAATGGAAGCTGCTGAGCTGGTGGCGGGCATATAATCTGTGTGTGAGCTTGTTGTAGACATCACTTCACCGGCCATTCCACCACTGGCGCTGTGCACTTGTTGTGGTGGAACTAATGCTGTGACAGCACTACCGGATGAAGTTGATGAGCTACCATGAATCGAAGCTACGTTTGTTGTTTGGCTGGTGGGCAAAACGGCAACTGTGCGACTATTCTGAACAGACATTGGTCGAATGCTTGCCAAAGGTGTGTCTCCACCACGTGGTCGTGGTGTAACAGTGGCTGACTGGTTGCTCGGACCTGCCATGCCTGCTAACAAGATCGAGATAAATTGATTTCACTCATCGAAATCGATTCGGTTTAACCGAACACAGTTCAGTTTTTGAAAAAAAAAAAATAGAAAATAATTTTGTGTATAACATACCTGCCATCGGTTTAACGTTGGCTGTACGGGCCGCATCTGATGGACTCTTTTCAATCGCACCGCTGCTGGTTGTTGGTTTAGTCGCTTGTTGACCGCCAAATTGTCGATGTAATTGTGCCAGGCGTCCTTGCAATGTTTCATTTTCACGTGTTAAACGAGCAATTGTTTCTTTATTCTCTTTATCTTGATCGGCCAAATCTTTCATTCGATTATCATTTTGCGATTTTAAACTATCATTTTCGGTGCGAACCTGTTCAGAATTCACCAATTGTGTTTTTGTTGTCGTCAATTCACGTGCAATGTGTTTCTTCTCTTCCGTCAACGTTTGAATTGTATTGTTCAATTCACGAAGCGTATTTGAATGTTTTGTGTCCAATTCACCCAATTGTTTGGTGAGCGTATCGTTTTCACCGCGCAGTAATTCGTTTTGTTCTTGTTTTTCTGTAATCGATAGTTCAAGCTCTTTAATTGTATCGTTGAGTGTTTTATCGGTTTGCGATAGATTCGTATCACACAAGTCGGCTGCTTGTTGTTCAAGCGGACGTGCAGCTCTTTCAGCTAGAAGTGCATCGTGTTTTTGTTGTAATTCAAAGAATGAATCTTTGTATTTCTTGGCAATCTTACGGATTTGCATTTCATTGTACTTTGCTTTATTAAATTGAGCCTCTTTGTTGGTCAATTCTTCGACCATTTTCTTAATTTCATCGTCACGTTGCAGCAATGTATTCTTAATCTCAATAATTTCATTGGACATACGAGCATTGCTCTGTTTTACCGTCAAAATATCATCGGCCAGTTTCTTCTTTTCTTCGGTTACGCTGTGGTTGTTCTTTTGCAAGCTGGCCAATTCAATTTCGATGCGATTCTTTTCTTGTTTGATTTGCGTAAGTTCAGCATCGGCCTTTTCGATTTTTTCCTTTTCGGCCGTCAACATCTTTGCCAAATTTTCACGCTCATTTTGCATACGCTTGAATTCTTCGGGATTTTTATTGGAACGTTCAACCAAAGCATTGGCACGTTGACGCCACTGTAGCACTTCATTGCGCAATTTGGTATTTTCGCCAGTCAACTCCTCCGTTTTAGTTGTCAGTTCGCGGTTTTGCTCTTGCAATGGGAACACCTCGTTTTCGACTTTGTCATTGCGATCGGTTAAGTCTTTGATGCGATTCAACAATGAGTCACGTTCGTCACGTAGCATTCGATTACTATCTTGCATAGCGGTAAATGTTTCCAATTTACGTAGCACCTCCGTATATTTTGCCATTGTTAGTGGATTTTCCTCTTTGGTCGAAACATCTTTGCTCTTGGCATCAACTAGTTGCTTGACTTTATCTGAAATTATACCGTTACCATATTAGAGAAATGATGTTTGTGTAGATTCAAAAACAAAAAATATAAAAATGCTTACCGTTCAATAGCTTCAATTCGGCGGAGAGTCGAATGTTTTCGTTTCTCAATACGTCGACGTTGGCCAATGCCACATCCTTTTCAGCTCGCAAATATTTGATAATTGACATTAATTTTTCACGGCCATCATTATCAGTGATGGATCGATTGATGATTGAGTCATTTTGAGATTCATTCATGCTCACATCTTCGGCATTCGAGTCGTTTGCAGATTTGGCTGCAGTCAATGTGGAACTTAGCAATTGCAATTGGTCGTGCAATGCAACATTCTGTGAATTTAAGTCGTCCAATCGTTTTTCCAGCTCATGTTTGTCTTTTTCGAGTAGAGCACGTGCTGTTTCGTTGCCACTTTGCAGTTCTTGAAGTGCAGCAATTGCATCATCACGCTCGGCCGTCAATTTACTAATTTGGCACTCAACGTTGCTCAATTTTTGCTTGCATTCGGTGAACAAATGCAAATCGGATGTGTGCATTGTAATTGCTTGCGTGTACTTATCGTTGGTGGTCTTCAATTCGGCATTCAATGTGTTGACCTGATCACGTAGATCCCGCAATGCAATATTGCTCTTACTAATTTTTTCGTATGCTTCTTTGAGCTCTTGTTGAGTTTTTTTCAATTGATCAGAGCTATCAGTGTTGGTGAGTTGAGCATCAGTAATTTGTAGTTTAATTTCGGTTTCCAATTCTTCAACGCGTGATACAAGCTCTGACTCACGAGCTTTGGCCTCTTGTAGTTCTTGTTCGGTTTTGGTGCGATATTCATGGTATCGATCGCTTATCTCTTTGTGTTGAATTTCACTTTCTTTTGCAATTTTGGTGTATTGTTCGATGGTTTCATGGCAAGAATCAGCTTGAGCCTTCAAATGTTCGACTTCAATCAGGGCCATGTCCAATTTCACTTGCAAATCCTTGGCACGCTTGTTGGCCTTGGCAACCGGATTATCTTTAACATTCGGTGTAAGTGCTTCTTGTAATTTCTTACTCAATGTTTCCATTTGTTCGGTTTTTTGTGCCAATTGATCGCGCAAGTTTTTCAATTCGGTTTGTAATCGTTCAACTTCGGCCTTTTCTTCGGCAGCCTTTTCCAGTGCCGATTTGGTTTTACGCTCAAGGTCAGCAGTCAATTCACGGAAATGATCTTTTTCTTCTTGTAAATGACGACGCAATGCAGAACATTCACGAACCGTTTCATCTAGTCGCTGTTCAGCCCGAGCACGACCATCATTTTCCGATCGTTCAAGTTGACATTTCAATAATTCCAAATTATTCAAAACGATGTTTTGCTTTTGACGCTCATTGTACAATGCTTCGCGTTCCGATTGTAGGCGACTTTCGGTGTCACGAATTATTTCATATTGTTGCTTTAGATTTTTATTGCTCACCTCGGCAATCGACAATTTTTTCTGTGTATTGAACAGTTCTTCGCGTAAATATGCAATTGTTTGCTCTTGTTTTGAAATTGTGCTGTCGTAGACCTTATTACGCTCTTCGAGAGCCGATATTTGCTTCTTAAAATCGGACACATCGTTTTCGAGACTCTTGATTTTCTCCAGCTTAAATTCGTAATTGTTCTTGAGTTTGCAATTTGTTGTTGTCAATTCGCGCAATTCGTTACGCATCGAATTAAATTGATCGTTCATAATTTTATCGTTGGCCATTTTCTCTTTGCGATATTCATCATGTTCTTCTTTGTACGTTTGCAATTGTTTGGCTGATTCTTTAAGTTTTTCTTGAAATTCTAGCACCTATAGTTGCGTAGATTTATTTTGAGCGAGAAAGAGAAGAGAAGAGAAGAGAACAGAAAAGAGAAGAGTAAGTTTAATGTATGCATAAATAATAATTTTATATTCAATTTCAAAATGTCGTCGATTTACCTTTTTGTCAACATTCGGTGATTGAGCTTGTGTTCCGCTTGCCGATGATGCACTACTTGTTGAAGCTAACGGTGTTTCTTCGTCGTTGGTTTCCATATTTTCGGCGATTGAACCATCCATGCTAATGTTGAGAATTGGTTTGCCGACATCTTTCATAATTTCAAAGTACAACAACTTGTAGCGATCGCGTTGCTGGATATATTGTTGGATCATTTGGGCTTGGTGTCGTTGCTGGATTTCCATGTGTTCCAGTCGTTTTGTATAATCAGCAATCTTCGATTCATACGATGATTGATCGAAATTACTTTGTGTTTCTTCGATTTCTTCCAATTTGGTGCTCAAATCTCGTACCAACAACAATAATTTTTGGTTATTTTCTTGTAGCTCATCCATATTACCGAATGTAACCAATTTTTTGCTTATAACCTCGGCCGCTGACATATCAGAGCCAATGGATTGATCCGGTGCATCGGATACAATGCCACCACGAAGTTGTTCAACTTCTTTCAATAGGAAGCATACTTGTCGCGAGAGATCTGCTTGACCCGTTTTCAATCGCTTATTTTCACGTTCCAAATATGAATATTTGGATGTGACTTCTTGCAATTTCTCACGTTCGACTACACGTTCGGTGATCATATTGTCGAGTTGTTCACGAATCTGTGCATTTGCCTCAATCAATTTATCGTTTTCGATTTGTTGTTTATTGATGGCTGGTGCACGTTCTTCAATTTCTTGCAAAATCTCTTTCATTTGTATTTTCAATTTGGCATTTTCACGTCGCTCAGAGAGCAAACTTTCATTGGCTTTCACATATTCGGTGTAGATTTCGGTGAGTGTCATATTCGATTTAAGAATTTTGGATGTGGCCGCAGCTGATGGTGCAACACGTTCGATGACATGCTCAAGATTTTCTTCTTGTGCCGTTTTCAATAGATCGTTGGCATTCTTGAGTTCCGTGCGCAAATTTTCAATAATACTGTCCTTCTCTTTGAGCTCTTCACTGTGTTGTAGTGCATCTTCTTTGCATCTGGTTTCGAGCGTGCCATACTCTTCAACCGAATCAGATAACATTTTCTTCAAATCGGAAACGGCATTTGTTAATTCGTTCAAATGCTTCTTTGTATCTTCATTGTCATTCTTATAAATGTCAGCCAATTTGCTCTTGGCCAACAATTCGTTTTTATAACAATCGGCCATTTTCATGGCTTCATCAGCCTCTTCTTTACGTTTGGCCGACAACTCTTCAAGGCGATTCTGTAGCGTCTGATTGGATTCTTTTAAATGTGCAATCGAACTGTTACAAATGTTCAACTCTTCGATGCGTTCATTTAATTTTGCTTCGAGATCGAGTCGGGTGAATTGTTTTTCACGACGAATTGCCATCAATTCTTCCAAATTGCTCTGGTATGTTTCCGTTAGGCTGGCCAATTGTGATTGTAAAATGTTTTTGTCTTGTTCCATGCGTCGCTCTTTGTATTCAAGGCTTGCCTCTTTCGACTGAATTTCATCATATTTTGCAATTGCATCATATTTTGCATTGATGGCCGCTTGTAGTTGTTTTTCCAATTCACGGACATCACCTTTCAATCGGTCCGTTTCGGCCATTCGACTTTCCAAATTACTTTGCAACGCATCACGTTCATTGATTAAATTTTCCCGTTGTCGCTTATACTCGATGTTCTCAGTTTCAAATTTGGCAATCGACTTTTGCAAACGGGATACTTCAGCGCGGACTTCGTCCAATTGTTGGCGTAATTCAAGCGCATTTTGTTGGGACTTATCCAATTTGACTTCGTTGTCTTCATTTTTTGTAGTCAAATCTTGCACCAATTTTTCATATTCAACGGTCTTTTGAGCTGCCACAGAGAAAAACACAAGTAAAAAATTAAAAAAAAAACTCAAACCAAACCACACAGCCCTATTGAGTGCCCAATTCAATTTGGGTTATGTTAAATGTCATAAGAAAAAAAAAATGAAAATTGTAATCAAAAAATGTCATTCTATCTCCGCATACATTTGATGTTTAGAATGTTTCATTCCAATGGAAGAATGTAAAATGTGTTTTGAAATCAGAATTTTTATGAAGAAAAACATTTTAAGCAACATCTTGTTTGCTGTAATTTTATGATTTTTTTTTTGTTCATGCATTGGGTCACAACAAAAATGTCATTACTCTAGCAAAAATGTATGTGTGATATATGAACTAAATGACGACAGAAAAAAAAACACTTACAGTGTGTTCGTTGTAATGTTTCGTACAGTGCTTGTGTTGTCATAAATTCATCGAAACGATCTTCGAAGAATTTTTCGATTTTCTTCACTGTGTCTGGGGCAACTTTGTCAAGTTCCCGACGATTCAGTATTCTCGATAGAATTTTATTCGTCTCCCATTCCGGTTTGTCCATTTTGCTGGTTTCCAATGTTCTGTTCTCGATTGTATGAGAATTGGTTCGCCTTTTCAAGATGTATCACTTTTTTTCGTATCAAAAAAAATGTGTAAGATCTCTGGTTTTCCCAAAAATATGCTCGGAATGCACATCAAATTTCATTCCATTCGTTTAGATCGATACTCACTTTAATTTTATGCTCCGTTCAATAAAAATTCGTATCGCCCAAAATACTGTGTTGTTCGCACGAAACACACTTAACTCTCTACTTAGTTGCTTATTGAAATGCTCTTTTGTAAATGGCGACCGGCGGTAAAATGAAGTTAGCTAAAAAAAAACACCGACACACTGTCGCTTATTTTTGCATGTGTTGAAATGTTTTGTTTTCGCATGCACAGCATCGACAGATAGAGCCTGATGCAAACATTCACGCTTTGCGTCGGTAAGTGTGCGGCATATCTATTGCAAAAATTCCATAATAGCGTCTCGTTCACACGACGCAATGCAACAAAATAATACTATTTATTTAATGTATAAGCCTTATGTTTATCACTTTTCAAAAAATAATTCGCATCCAATTTTTTGTTTCGATTCACGAATATCATTTTTTAACAAAAAAATATTCGCTTTATTGGATTTTAGGTAATCATTTGGATATGTGTCGACCTCTATTTACTCAAATGTGAAAACACTTGACTGTGTGAAGGCTGGTTAAATAGACCACATTTTATTTGGTGTGTGAATTTATTGGTTTTACCAAAGAGGGCGCTTATCACACGGATATTTGAATAAGTTCAAAATTATATGTTTTATATTCAAAATAAATATGTTAAAATCCGATTTTTTATGTAATTTGCATCATTTTCCAAACAATATTTGAAATATTTTTCCCAAACGAAAATATTCCGGGAATTCTTAAAAAAAAAAGATTTACGTTTGTCTATCAATTAACAAAATTATTTGATTTAAAGAGGATTTAATGCTTTTTTCAAAATATATGGAACACATTTCATATATAATCGAATCGTAATGAATTGAGATATTCATGACATAAAAAATAAAACTGCACAATAACTTTAGAACGATTCTGTTGTTAAGCATTAATTTGATCAAACATGATGTTCCATTTCGAATCAACAGTGGTACCCCTCCGTTTACAAATCTATGACATAGAACAAGTATATGACATATGATGCGTTTATTTCAAGTGTGCTGTCAATCTTCGACAACAAAGTATTGTCGTGTGTGAGCGTCTGTGATATGTCATGTACAGGCATTTTTTGTTGTCTGTGTATCTGTATGGTGCACTATGAGCAATTGAATAACTTGTTTGCTCCTTTAGACAGCTTGGTCAACGGCTCTCTTTCTTCGTTCATGTTTTGTAGTATCCATTCGTTCGTCTTCTATACATTATAATTAGTTTCTTTTCGTTTAGTATTTTAGTAGAAATTGTGTTTTCGTTTTGAGGAGTTGTTGCTGTTCCCCCTCCTCAAAAATTTCAGTGTTCGCATTTTCGGTGTAAAAAGAATCTTTGTTTTCTCCGCTGAACACTTCTTCAATTCAAAAATTTTGCATGGATTCGATTAAATTTGTGATCATTCTATTTGAAAAAAAAGAACCATATAACATAACACTTTCAATCTGAAGAAGACGCGAGAGAAAGGGAGAGAGAGAGAGTGCGTGAAAAAATACAAACAATAGAATTCCCAGCAGTCGCACAAATAAACAAACCACAAAATGACAAAAGAAATTTATCACGAAGGATGGCTGATAAAGTCTCCACCAACAAAGCGCATATGGCGAGCTGTGAGTCACTATTATCGTTTTTTTCCCAAATACATATTCCATGTTTTTTTATTTTGCACATAACAAGCATACACACGACACATATATGTATGTAAAATATACATATATTTGGACTTTTGTTCTTCCGTTTTGTGTGCTCATTTAAATAACTAAATAATAAACGTACTGTACAATTAGCAAATGCTATCACATTAATTGCACAGTTTCTACGAATAAAATGGATTTTGAATAAGTGTGTTGGGTGTTTGTTCGGTTGATTTCAAGGTCTTTTTCTTTGCTATGCCATTTATTCTGCGAAAATTGTGTATGGAAATTTATGTTTGTTTATTTCTTTTTTTTTTTTTTTGCTTTCTCTCTTTTTCATGAATTTTAATCTAGGGGGTTAGACACAATGAATTCCAATGAATTGTCATATTACTAGATAGATTACTTGTACTAAAAATGTGAATACCGTGATTTCACTCCATATCATCGCCTAACGTTATCCAGATGAGCTGAAATATCCAGACGACAAAATCCAAATATATTGTCTGGTTAAAACGAAATGGAAAAAACTTAAAATCTTTATTACCGATATCAATTTGACATAATCTATCAAGTATTATGATAATTCATTGGAATTCATTCATTCTCTATTGTGTCTACCCCCTAGATTTGAATCAATGAATGCATTCAATGTATGTTCGTCTTAATTTCCTTATGTTTTCTTTACTTAATTTCTGTTTTTCCATTTCAAAAGCGTTGGAGAAGACGTTGGTTTACTCTAAAACAAGGCGAAATACCCGAACAATTTTGCCTCGAATATTACAAAGATCGTAGCTGTCGAAAATTAAAAGGTGTCATCGATTTAGATCAATGTGAACAAGTCGATTCAGGCTTGCAACTTGAACATCGTAAGCAAAAATTTCAATATATGTTTGATGTGAAAACACCACTGCGCACATATTATTTGGCGGCCAATTCGGAGGAAGACATGAACGCATGGGTCAATTGTATTTGTGAGGTGTGCAATTTGCAGGATTTATCAAAACCACAACAACAGGATACCGGCGACAATCGACATTGTAAGTTTTATATCATCTTTTTTTTACTCTCTTAAATATCGTCGAATTGGATAATTTAGTGTGAATTATTGTACGTAAAATAGATTATAATGTGACGTCGGAAGTAAGTGACAGTCAAGGCGCGACCAATCAATCATTGATGGTCAATTTGAAAACAACAAATTTATCTCCGATTAAATCATCAAATGCATCGGATCAAATTGCACTATTACACACAGCCGAACCGATCGACAATAATAATTCTGTTTATCAGAACTACGATCCAAAATGTCGTCATTCAACCTATGGCAATCGAGAGACATTAATTTGTGATGCACCATTGAACAAAAGTGGCGGCCATGGTCCAAAAGAAGATTATTATAATTTTACGGTAATAAAATGATGAAATGTTATACTAATCATAATAAGGTGAAATTCTAATCGAAATTACTTTCATATGGTTTGTAGGCAATTGCGAAAACAAGTCGCAATAAAAATTCAGATGAACCAGGACTATTTCGAAATCTATCGGCAAATCGTAAAATACCAGAAAATTTAAAATTGAGCAGCGTTTCTGATTTACAACCATCACAAACAAGTGGTTCGTCCGGACCGTATATTGCAATTGCTGATTGTATATCGGGCAGTCCCACAACACCACTTAATTCTCTCGATTCCAAATCATGTGATTCACGGCGAATTAATGCAAATATTCGATTGAATGTGGCCAACGAACAACCATACTCACCTAAACGCAATAACATTCAAACGGTATTGACATAGTTTTGTTTTTTTATTAACATATGAAATATGCGCTCAATTGTCAAAATTTTAAAAGATAAATAATTTCAATTGAGATATTTATTTCATTTCATCCAATATGTAATTTTATGCATTTTAACTGATTTTTTGTGCTTTCGACTTCACATTCGACCATCAATAAATGGTCGATAATGAATGAATTTGACCCAACAATTATTACCAGACACCACAAACACCGCAAAGCGGTAAATCTAGTCCAACCGATTCTGAAAGTGTTTTTACCGATGATGAAGATTGGATGCCGGCCAATCCGAATGATTCCACAAATGGCGGTAAATATTTATAGAGAAAAGAGGTTTTTTTATAAAAATGAATTTAAATTATTTATTAATGATTTTTTAAAAATGTTTTAGAACGTTGTATGAGACCATCGGAGAGTTCCGTCGAAAATGATTCGATCGTATTTACGTATGCTCAACGATTTTCAAAGTTGCCGGATGATGAAAGTTTGTCATGTAAACGTGGTAACTCCAAGAGGCCACTTCCAGTCGCCGGGCTTTTGTTGGAGAAAACCGATTCTGAGGAACAGAACAAAGAAGTGAATTCTTCAGACACAGAAAATGCATCACCAGCCATTGCCTATGGCCCGAAGGATATCAATTCGGTACGGTTTCTCTTCTTTTTTTTCGTAGCATAAGTGAATCTAAAAAGAAATGATTTCTGTTGAAAAATCTAATTGGATTTTGTATGTGTTTTGTACTCTAGTACGTTGACGAAAGTTATGATATTCCTCGTTCGCATCAATTGCGATACACAAAGCACAAGGAGAGCAATAATTATGAAAACTCCATGGATTTATGTTCAGGCGGTACAAGTGCGTCTATGCTTGAATTGGATGAAGGACGTTCGGGTGATAAAGTGGCCTTAAATACAGAGTTCATGTCATCGACCATGCCCAAGAAGCGTTCACATTTCTACACAAATGCTGCACCTGTCAAAGTCGAAGGCAACGTTTTTCGTTACGATTTTCATGAACAAGTAACTATACCATGACCATTTTCATAGAAAATTGTTGTTCATTGATATATATCTATATTTCAAAAAATAAGCAACCAGATGCTCCAGCAGTTGATCGAAAACTTAAACCCAAATTAAATCATGACGATAATGAGCCAAAAGTGGCAACTCCAAATATGATAAAAAGTGTGCCATCCATTGTTAAGTTATCACCAAATAAATCGAATGATTTAATACCGCCATGTATAGATCGCAAATTGAAGCCATCACCAACTCCGATCAAAGTAATTTAAAACGATTTATTTGACATTCAAACATTCATAATTATAATTTGATGTAATTTATTTACAGCTCGAAACGAGTACATTGCAACGACGAGGTGTTATGTCGGCAGCAACTGATGCCGAATTTCAGGGTGCATATAACAATGATCAGGTATCGAAAACACTTCCACGAAATTACAACAATTCATCATCATCATCATTATTGTCAACGGCGACCGTATCAGCAACGATGGTAACAAATCCAGCACCCGTGTCATCACCACAATGTGGCGGAGCCAATAGTCGCCAAACGGGTGTTCTTGAGTATTTCGATTTGGATCATTCGAATCCACCACCAATTTGTAACAATTCAAATACATCGGCAAGCACATCGAATCTCAATTCGCAGCCCATCGGTTCGGCATGGTCAAATAATCTATCGAATCGATTGAGCACCGTTAGTATTTCATCATCATCAGTATTTGGAAATCAAACTAATGCAAACGATGTAAATGTCGGTGGAAATACATTAAGTATTACATCAATTGGTGTTGGCGTGAATAATCCGCCAACGTCCAGTGGAATTGTTTATAAATCGGTGGACTTTATTAAAACAGAAGCATTTATGCGCACGAGACAGGATGCCGAAATGGCACGCGCCAAAAATCGATCAAAAGAATGAGAAGCGATTTTTATTTTTAGTTTTTATGTTTGCAAAACAGATTTTAGTGCATTAAATATTTTATAGCAGTGATCATACATAAATTGAATTTGGGTGCCTTGCAAGAAGATATATACATTTATAAATGTGTGTGTTTTATTCCAATTGAAAAATTTATCTTTTTAAGGAATATTTGATTCATAAATCATTTGATACAATGTTATTTTTTTACACTAATTTCCCAGATTTGAGTATTTTTTCGGTATTAAGCTTGAAATTGAATAGATAGCAAATTGATTGGACTGTCACAAGAAATGGACACCAATTTATTTTATATTCTTCCATACATTAAACATATATTTTATGCCTGTGAAAGATGAGCGATTATCAAATAAACGGAACATACATATAGATTGTATTTGTTTTTTTTTTATTCTTTAAACTATTTTTTTTATTGTCTGTGCATTATGTATACTGTCAATGAATCTGTGACTCTATAGTAATACTAAAAATGAATGCATCCCAAAGCAAACTAAATAGTTTCCAAAGTTATGCATTTTCGATTTGGTGGCATGGAAAATGTGGTTGATACTTTTGCACGATGTACAAATATATCTATAGTCGCAGAAAGGAATAACTGGGCGCGGTGATGTATATACTTGTAAAAACTACAATGCTTTTCGCGCACATTCCATTCATACAAAGATTTAACTACATACATTTATTTGCCGAGCAATGTTCGTAAGTGTTGGATTGTTAGCGAAAGGGGTAGTTGCACATAATCCATTCATTTCCTATTGCATCGTTTACCGTTGTGAAAGTGTGTTCGACTATCCATAGCGGCATCAAATATTTTTCAAGAAAAACTGGAAGTTAAAACATTCGTGCTCAAAGTAAGTTAAATATTTAAAAATAAAAATCCTTTCTGTTGTTGTTTATTTTCCTTCTAAATAGTATTTATTTTATATAAGATTAAAGTCGTTTCCAACAAATTTGCAATCGGTGTTAAATTTTACAAACTGTAGTTCATATAACAACACATTAGTAAATAGAAAATAGTAAAATCGCTCAATAAATGAGCCGGTGAATTGGTTTAGAATTGCAGCATTATAAAATATAACGTAGTGTATTACTCACATGTCGAGAGTCTCGAGACTCATGCACTCGACCCTTCACAATCCCGATTTTGTTGTGTTGATGGTTCGTTTTATTGATTTTATGTAGTAAACGTTTGCATAGCATTCGTTAGGATATTGAACTTTGTAATTCAATTATTTTGATTGTACACAGACGTCTAATATGGAAATCAGCGGTAAAGTTGCTCTTGTAACAGGTGGTGCAACGGGTCTTGGTCGTGCATTTTCGGAAGAATTACTACGTTATGGTGCAAAAGTGAGCATAAAGTTTTAACAAATAGTTAAAACATTTGAGAAATTGACTAATTTCAATGTTTCACCTTAATTTGTTTAGGTGTCAATTTGCGATTTGGATTCGGATGCCGGAGAGAATGCATGCGAAGAACTGGGCCAAAAGTATGGCAAAGATCGTGTACTATTTTGTCACGTCGATGTCACCGACTACGTACAATTCGAAGAGGGATTCCAAATGACAATTAGTGAATTTGATCGATTGGACATTGTGGTGAACAATGCCGAAATTATGAATGACAAATTTTGGGAGCTTGAGGTCGATGTTAATTTGGTGCGTATTATTTTCAAACATTTTCATGGTAATTAATGGCCAACTATTCGTTGATTTTATGTTAGAATGGAACCATACGCGGAATGTTGCTTGCATTACAATATTTGGGGAAAAATAAAGAAGGACATGGTGGCGTTGTTATTAATATTGGATCGGCACAATCCTTTCGGCCATCCATCTCTTTTTCCATTTATTGTGCTTCAAAGCACGCGATACTAGCGTTGTCGAAGTCTTGTGGCGTATGTATAAATTATCAAACATTTGATTAGACACTTGTTTTTTGTTTTGCGGTTTGATTTTTTTTTTGTTTTCATTCATTTTATAGGATGCATATCACTATAATATGACTGGAGTTCGTGTTATTGCACTGTGTCCAGGAATTTTGCATGATGCATCATCATCCACGTTTGCAGATCGATTCAAATCACCCAGCCATGAAAAGGCATGGCAACTTGACATGAAAGGACAAAGTCCACAAAAGTAGGGGATCAATTTGTTTTTTTTTTTTTTAATTTTTCGATTGAATCAGTCGTTCGTACAATATATGTATACTTTGAAACAATTCTAGATGTGAGCACGTAGCCAAAGGCTTGATCTCGATTATCAAAGATGGCAAAAGTGGTTCAGTTTGGTAAACATTAAACATTAAACACCAGTAAATATTATAATTATGAATAATTATTTGTAGGTTAATTGCCAATGAGAAACCACCAAAAGAAGTTCCTTATTCAAGTGTAACAATATGAATTCAAGAGAAATCAATATCACTATCATAATGTATCGAAACCGCATCCATTCATGTAACACCCTTGTCATTCAGCATGTGCATTTCATATCGTGGAATTGATAAAACAACTGGCGCGTTAATTCCGCTTTTTAATCAAAATAATTTCGCGCTAAATTGCTATACTAAATAGAAGTAAATTAATGTGTTTTTAAACATAAACATCAATGCAGCTATCTATACTTTGAATTCACTCATGTAGATAAATAAAAACAAAACTATCCAATCATAGAATTTCATTGATTTTATATTGAACATATTTGATTTTTTTTTTTCATAGACAATTTTATCATTTTGATTTTCGAAATTGTTATAATCAATTTACTTAGTTCTCTTATGATTTTTTTTTTTTTTGCATTTTGAGTCAGAGAAACGGAACAATAAAAGTCTATATTAAAATACATTTGTGTGTGGTGTACTTTCTTGTTTTGTAATAAATGTCACTTTTTTCATTGCTGGGCAAAATACACTTCTTTTTATATTCCTGCCTTTCATTTCCAACTTTTTTATATATCGTTTATTTTCTTTTGTTTTTTTTTTTTTTTTTTTTTTTTGTTTCAGTACAGATTATTTATCTTCTAAAATTAGCAAAAGAAATAAAGATCAAAATCATTTTTTAATGTACAATTTAAATCAAAGAAAAATGGTCTACCACATTGTGTAGATTTTATGTGCTTAAGAAAATTGGACAAAAAAAAATAATAATAATAAAGAGAATAAATTTGCAAGTAAGGGAGTTATAACATTGTTGGATATGATTTATCGAGAGAATTCTGGTCAATTCTATTGGAATTATCATGTGTATAGTTGTCAATGAGTTTATATGTTTTGTGTTTGTGTGTGTTTCCTTATTTTATGTGTGTTTAGTTGTTGACGCAATCTGTTTGGGCCTCTTCCACTTATATAACTAAACCGAAACTTGTTATAGCTCACAATTGGTTGCAATTGACGATGGCTTTTTATGTTGAAATCAACTGAACCACAAAAAAAAAATGACAAAGTAATGAATAAGTAATTTCAATTTTGAAAATTTTCGTAGCTAATACATACCGATTTCACCGTCGTTTTGATGAATTCTTTTTTGTGTGACAGATCAAAGTCGGGATATTTTGAATACACATGTCGGCAAACTGTTTTCATTGTGATCTCTTCTAAATTCGCTTTGTCCAGGATTTCTTTGACGATTTTCTTTATTTCATCATCCTAACGGCATGGAAATACACATCGAAAGAAACGTTGTAAATATTTGGGTAAATTGTTAATAATAGTTATAAATAATACCGTTGGCGGCGATGGCTTCGCTTTCTTCGACAATGGTTCATCGTCTTCAGATTCATTCTCTCCGCTACTTTCTTCTTTTAGCGTCTTTGTTGCGGCCGCTGCGCGTTTTGAACGTTGCGGTGTGCTTTTATTATTAGCATTATTCTTTGTGGGCGCTTTTCGTTTTGGCGACTCCTAATGCGACACAATTCAATTTCAAAATTATCAATTTTATGTAAGAAACTAATTTGAATTAAATACAATAATATTCTATGAATATTAATTTGAACACTAACCTCACTTTGGTCGCTTTCAGGTTCAGACGCTTCCTCTTCTTCATCTTCACTCACTTCCGATTCAGTTTCCTTTGCTTTGCGACCTCGACCACGTGTTGGTGCACTACGACCACGTGGTGGTGGTGGTGCCACTTTCTTTTTCTTCGGCTCATCGCTGTAATCATCGTCCGATGTCGGCGATGATTCTTCTTCTTCTGAAGTGGATCGGCGACGACGTGCACTGCGTCGGCTTCCTGGTCGACCGCGTGCAGAAAATCGTGCACCTTTCTTTCCTGCATCCGAATCACCCGATCCAGATGGATTATACTAAAAATGTGACGAGCAAAATTTATAATTTTATTTAAAAATATATATATATATATATATGATTTATTTTATTATTAAATGTTTTATGAATATGCATATCTTGTCACTCACATCAGATCCACTATCAGAATCATCACGTCTACGTTTCACTGGTTTACTACGATTCACCGATTTTTCCTCTTCGTCCGAGCTACTAGAATACTCGACATACGTTGCCGAAGTATCTAAAAGCAAAGATTATGAACACGGATTTGTCATCATCACATAATATACACCAAAGTAAAAAAATAAAAATAAAAAATGTATACCTTTGCCACGTCCAGCTGTTGATCGACGTGGTCGACCAGTTTTTGAAACATTTCGAGAAGTACCACGTCCTTTCGGCCTTGGTTTTTCTGGTTCCTCGTCTTCCTCTTCTGTTCCATTCGAGATGAAATTTTTTGGACAAAACATATTGATTGATTAGTCCATTGTCCGAAATATTAGACATATTAAAATGCATTTACCTTCTTCAACCTCTTCTTCCTCGTCATCTTCATCTTCGTCATCAGTTGGCGCATCAATTTTGTGTGGTGCAATCAGAAATTCGCATATCCGCTGACAAATGGCATCTTTTGGTCCTTTTTTATCCAATTGTAGACCTTCACATACAGCTTTTAATTTGGCCAGCTCAAGCTTTTGTGTGGAATCCAAACGCTTTTTGAAATCAGTGGAATCAATGTCAAAATCGAAACCATCAAATTGCCGGAGATTTTTCTTCAGCACATTCGTTTTACCAACTGATTGAAAGCAAATCTATCGGAGATAATTTAGATAGATTGCCATTAATTTATGTCATATCTTGTACATATGCTTAGAGGTATTTATTAAATAAAAAAACAATTGATGTGTCGAAATTTTGAGAACGAAGCCAAATATATGAATCAATAAAATCAAGCAAATGTAGAGAGTGCACACAAACATACCTGGTATAGAGTTTGCAATCCATCTATTCGTGTGTTGGTAATGTATTTTTCAATTTTTGGAATTTCACCCAATGGGGTTCCATCTTTTCCGGCATCGGCCGAATCATCGTTGGACTTTTTTGCATTCTTATCCGTATCATCATTCGGCTTGGATGAATTCACTGTTGCTTTTGTATTCCCTGCGAAAAGCACGAATAAAACACGGTAAACAATAAACGATAATTTTATGAAATCCGAAAATTAAAACGAAATGTCCAGAAATATTGGTACGAACCTGCTTTTTCAGATTTGTTATTGACCGAATTATTTTCAACGCTGCTTGCGTTGGACTTATCATTTTCAGTGGCATCGGCCTTCTTATCGTCCACCTACGGAACACCAAAATCATTCATGATTAATCAATGCAAAAACGGACAACAAAACAAAATACACAAACAATAGGGACTACAATCAAATTGCAATACCATTTTCATATTGATATGACTGTTGTTTATTTGTTTATTTTTTTTTTTTTTTGTAAATATATATTCTCAAACACATTCCACCACATTCAAGACTGAATGAAAGCGTTAAAACATTTTTAAACATAAATTATTAAGAATTACATTGTTGCATAGATGCAACATAGCAAGCTATTTGTGCGGCATTTTTTTTATCGAATTGCAAATCACATCAATGCTTCTGAGCATAAGTTTAATTCTTCAACCGAATTTGTAATAATAACTCTTGTTGATACTGTCCGTGTGTATGGCGCTAATGCGTGTGCAAATGGCCGTGTATATGTGAAATGGGAACTATATTTTTTCTTTTTCGATTTGTTTTCTGTTTAATTAAATCACATAAACATAAAAATAAACGCCATATTGTTATGAGATATAGATATGCGTATAGTTACAGTGAAAAGCCGCGTCAAAAATTTGTTTTTGATTTCTTAAAAATGTCTACATTAACTTAGTCGAAAATTATTAAGAAAAAAATGTCGATAAAAAAAATGGCACTTCAAACAAATGCTAATGAATTTTTAGATATTTTTCGTTCATATTATTACATCGGCTACACACTCCAACAGGAGTAGAAACAGCGGGAACATTGCATTCGCGCGAAGAATTTGAACCGCAATGGTACACGTATACAAAAAAAATTCTGCGCCGCAAAAAAGGACATGCTGAGATTTTTTCTCACAAATTCATTCTTATCCGGCAAATAGAAGCGTTCGACTCTGACGCTTAATATTTACTTCGTGGAAATTGTCATTTTCAATTAAATGTCATGTTTTTCTTAAATTTTGATAAATTTTTTGGAAATTCAATTGATACTTTAAAATAATGATTATTGTTATACATACCACCGTTTCGTCTGAATTCTTTGCATTTTCCGACATATTTTATTTCTTCTCTTTTATCGTACGCAATTGTATTTGACTTTATGCACACACACTTTTATTGTTTTTTTTTCTTTGCTCTTGTAATTTCTAACACAATTGATATTTCACAGAAATTCTGCGTTTCAATCGATTTTTGGAAAAAAAATTCCAACCGAAAAAAAATGTTTTGTGGAAAAACAACCAATTTACACCGAAAATGTTGTGTGTATTTTTTTTTTTCGTTTGGTTTTGTCGTTTGCCTACTTCTCTCCACCTCTTGTATTTATTTTCAATTTGCGACTCTCTCTATTTTGTATTATGTGTATGTCGCTTGTCACCGCATTTACTTCGTTCGCCGCTGACTTTAAGCCAACATTTTACACACCGACGTACATAAATGCGACACACAACTCTTGATGATGATGTTAAATACACATAAAGCAGCCCAAGCGTGTATACACACAATTCCTAATAGAATATGGCTCTCTCTCTCTTAATAACGCGCGTCTAATGCACGGTACTGGACGTCAGACGTCTGTCTTTTTTCTATGGTAATGAGGCAAAACAAACACATTTCAGACGAATTTGAATTCTGACATTGCAGTCCATCGCAAAGCATTGCATACAATTTTAATAATGAAATGAGTTTTCAAATTTTTTATTTCGAATTTTTTTCAAATTATTGATTTAATTTGGAGATATCTTTTTTTTCATTGTCTCAATCAATTTGTTTATTCCGAATTAAATTTTTCCAGTCAATAACGTTTGATATTTAAGCATCGTTTCGATTGATAGTGAGGCATTTGTGAGAAGCACTGTCACGCGCCATTTTTCTCACTCTCACATCTTACATATGAGCGTGTATGTGTGAGTTTATATGTGTATGTGATACATGTTGAAGTGTTGCCGCCGAAAAAAAAAACACACACACACATACATCTCAATGCTAATGAGTTGGTATCTTTTGGTTGCTGTTGTGATATGATTTAGAAATAGCAAAGACTTTTCATATACACGCGTATGTACGCACACCAGACCGAATAAAAGGGAAAAAAGTCGGTCGGCCATATTGTACTTGGTAGTTCTTCTTCTTTTTCTAAAACTTGAACAAAGTTACTCTACAGCAAGAGAGCAGTGAAAAAAAACAGTGGCAAAAGTTGTAAAAGCCGTGTGTCAGCAATCTCAACGTACAATCAATTGAAACAAATCAAAATTCAAATTGAATTCAATTGAAATTATATTCAATAAAACAAGTGTATTTTATACATTCCAAATAAGTGAAAATCTATAAAAAAAAATTGAGAAGTAATCCGAACGGGTAGGTGTCAGTGAACTCGTTTTTTTCACATAATTAATTGATCAGACCTTTTCTAAAGAAAATCACGCTATACATTTTGAATAGGCAACAGTTTTTTTTAACATAAAATCATTAAAAATGGGTGACTATTCATCTCTCGGACAACAATCACAGAACTTTAGCCAATCGACAGCATTTGCTGCTGCGCTACAACGAGCAAAACAGGTATGACATTTTTAACTCATTAGTTATTAATATGTACAAAATTGGATTTGAAAGCCATCAAGACATTTCGTAGCATTAAAAACAGACACGAAATATTGAAGAAAAAAACACTGATTCTTAATTATGCAAGGTGCTATTGAATAATATCTTATTTAAACGATTTTACGATTACAAAAGATTGCAGCCAAAATTCATCCCAGTGCTGGTGGAAATGCGAATAATAATATGGGAAGTGGTGGTGGTGGCGGCGGCGGCGGTGGTATGGTCGGTCTAGGAAAACGTTCTATTGACTCAGATGGATCAGGTAATTTCAATGCTCATTTTCAACAAAATTAAAACTTGAGAAATAATGCATATTTTCATGTCATGTAGAGCCCGAATGTAAGAAGATAAACACCGGATACCAGTCGCCAAACTCAAATATGCCAGCAATGCAGGCCGTCCAACAAGTAAGTGTGAGGACATTTTCTATTATTTATGATTTTGACAATAGAAACTGAATGAATTTATTTGGGTGTAAACTTCGAACTGTGTTTATTAGTTTACGATTGAACGCATTCATTCGTTCAAAACGAAGAGAAAATTAAATTCAGATCACAATCTAAATGACTTGCTTGATGATATTTAAAAAAAATAAAATATAGGCTGCAGCAGTGGCGGCAAGACTTGCACAAAGTATTGGACATTCGGTCAATGAAGAAGTTAAAGTTCCAGAAAAAGTGGCACCAATTCTTAGCGGACGATGTGGCAACGATGACGATTTGAAAAACATCCAAGCACAATCAAACTGCAAAATCACATTCTCCAGAGATTCAGGTTCATATTATAAACAAAAATGATTTCACATTGATTGCAATTGGATAAAATTTTATTTTTTTTTAAACCAAATGTTCGATACTCTAGATCGAATTTGCACTTTGAATGGTCAAAAGGAATCGGTGAACCATGCCAAAGATTTAATAAATAAATTATGCAACGAACACAATGCTGGTGGCAGTGTTGAAACGATTAGTTGTATTTTGGTGCCACCAGCTGGCGCAAATGGCTATCCACCGTATCAAGAAATTATGGTTCCAGGCTCAAAAGTCGGTTTGGTCATTGGCAAAGGTGGCGAAACAATAAAAATGCTTCAAGAGAAAACCGGCGCAAAAATGGTCATCATTCAGGATGGTCCCGGACAAGAACTCGTAATAAATAGATTTCAATAAAAAATATAATTCCAAATGAAAAATGTCAAAAATTCTCACAATCACTTCTTATCTTCTTCGTTGTTGTCTGTGCACAGGAAAAACCATTAAGGATCTCCGGCGAACCGGCAAAAGTTGATCATGCCAAACAGCTTGTGTTTGACTTGATTTTAGATAAAGATGCATTCAACAGTAATAGTCGTCCAAATTTCAATTCGGGTAATGGCGCACCGGCGGGCGGTGAACAAGCCGAAGTGTTTGTGCCAAAAACGGCTGTTGGTGTGGTAATTGGCAAAGGTGGCGAAATGATTAAGAAAATACAAGGCGAAACTGGCTGCAAATTGCAGTTCATTCAAGGCAAAGGCGACGGACCCGGCGATCGTCGTTGTATTATTTCAGGTACAAAACAACAAGTTGAAGACGCAAAGCGAACAATTGAAGAGCTTATCGAAAGTGTTATGGTAAGTTAATTTGGTTTCTAGATCCACATTTCCAAAAAAAAGTCGAATTAAAAATGAGGTTTAAAGAGGAAATGAAATCAATTTTCAAATGTTATCAATTTTTTTGTACGCTCAATAGCGAAGTAATCAAAACAACCAGAATCGCAACAATCCAAATCAAAATATGACAAACAGTAACTATGGATATGGTACAGATGCAAGTCAACAGCCAATGCGCGAAGAGGTATCATTTGCCGTTCCGGCATCAAAATGTGGCATTGTCATTGGACGTGGTGGCGAAACAATTAAATTAATCAATCAACAATCGGGTGCATTCTGTGAAATGGACCGAAGCGCAATCAATCCACCAAATGAAAAAATGTTTAAAATGCGCGGCACAGCTGAACAAATTGAGCACGCTCGCCAATTAATTTCCGAAAAAATCGGCGTTGAAATTAATATTTTGAGTACACGACAAATTGGTGGTGGCGGAGCCGGTGGTAATTCAGGACAATATGGAATGCAACCAAATAATCCAGCAAATATGTACAATCAACAACAGCAGCAGCAACAACAACAACAGCAATGGGGTGGCTATCAACAGATGTGGGATCAATCTCAACAACAAATGGCAGTTGGCGCAGGTGCACCAGACTATTCAGCACAATGGATCGAATATTATAAGTGAGTTTAAATAAAATATTATATCCAAATGCAAATGCAAATATATGTAATGTGTCATTTAAAATACAGGTCAATTGGGCTACATCGTGAGGCCGAAATGATTGAATCACAATTGAAAATGAAACAAGGTGGTGGTCAAATGGCTATGCCATCAGGTAATTCAATAAATTGATTTATAATCAGAGCCGCACTTCTGCTTCTACTGATAATTGAAAGACGTGATTTCGTTCAACAATAAAATCGTATCAATATTATTAATTTAGCAAATGGCAATGCTCAGTCAATGGCCGTGGCTTCGGCACAGCAACAAGCTCAAGTTGGTAGCGGTCAGCAAGACTACAGCAAACAATGGGCTGAATATTACAGAAGCATTGGTAAAATGGATGAAGCCGAAGCTATTGAAAACCAGATTAAAACAAAGGTAAAATAATGAGAATTTTCGAGAAAAACACAGCAATCGATGTTTTAAATACAATTTTACGAATTGTAAATTGGTTTGATTTTTGTGCTGTCTACAGGGCCCAACTGGACAATCACCATCAAATGTACCAGGACAAAATGCTACATCAAATAGCGTGCCCAATTATCCGGGGGCTCAACAACCGATGGCAGGAAACTATAATCAATATGCTCAATACTATGCTGGAGCGACGGCAAATCAAGGTAATTATGGTGCTGGCCAGCCATACAATGCATATGGAGCCGCTTATCCGGGTCAACAGCAGCCACCAAATCAGGCACAGTCTCAACCTACCAACGAAAAGAAATAAATATTCTCTACTCAACTCTCCGGTCGCATGCTGTGCTCATCATCAATTGGGCTTATTGGCGTACACAACATACGAGTGAGTACACAATATCATCTAAATTTATCGAAATTTCTGTTTGCTTGGCCAAATTTGTTTCTCTATTTCAATTTATCTTTATTTATTCGTGAAATATCTACAAATACAATGTTGGTTTGCGCATTTACCCTTTCAAATAAAACAAAAACAACAACAAAATATACATTATAAAGTGTATTGATACATTTATTTAAACAAAATCGTATATTTTAACTGTGAAAATAATTTGGTTTTATTTTGATTACACTCAATTTTCATTCCACATAATATATCATAAACAACAAATTATTTGCCCTTTTAAAGGATAATCACATTTACACTCTTAGATATATTACAATATTGCATCGAACAAACAAATTTTTCTTATTTTTGAAAAAACAGCAAATTACAATTTACATTCAAGTAGCATTTTCTTACACTAAATCAATCTCTTTTTTTTTTTAATTACATTTGCATAATTGATTTGAAGAACAAATATTTCAACAAAAAAGACAAAATTTAAAATTTATCTCTTTGACAGCACTTTGTTTGGAACGAAGACCAGGTGCTTACCACTTTTTATTTTCTTCTCTTCATTTTATTGAACAAAATGTTGTCATTGAGACTTATTTTATGCACTTACACCAAAAAAAAAAAATCACTCATATATAAATCATTTATTTCTTACTTCTCTTATTTATTTTATTTTTATTACTATTTTTTTTGCAAACCAAAAAAAATTCACTTGAATAACCAACATATATATTGCTTTTATTCACGCTATCAGCATCCATATGAATAAATAATATAAGATTGTTTTTTTTTTTCATTTGTCAACTTTTTTTTTTATTTGATCTCACTTTGCCATTTTACTACATTATTTGGACTTAAGCATTTATGAAATATTCAATCATAACATTCTTTTTTATTTAACCAAAAATGAATTTGTCTCGTTAACTTTTCTTTTTGCAGAAATACTTTACGATCTATATTATCTGTGTAATCAAAGCAAAAAAAAAATATCATATGAAATAAAATATAAAAATGTGGACGATTTTAGTGAGAAAAAAATGAAATCTGACGGAAATGAATGAAATGATAATCTACGATTTTTAAATTTCGTGTGTATATGTGTACGTGTAGCATACAATTTTATAAAATATAATAGAGTAAAAAAATACAAATAAAAACGATGCGAGCAAGTAACGGGGAGAGAAAGGGAGAATGAAAGATGTCAAGGAGGCGATATAACGTATTCAATAATAAAATTTAAAAAAAAATCTATTGAGAAAATGAAACTATGAAATGTAAATCTCAAAACTAATGGAATTTAATTGGCAAATTAGTGTTTCGCGCAAACATTTAATCAAATTCACATACACGGTGAACATTTATTTTTGTTCGTATTTCTCTTCATGAACAGTGTGTTTTTTTTGCGAAATACTGATGAAATCTTGAATTATCCAAATGTCCATTATGTTGTGTAGATATTATAAATATACACCGTATTCAATTCATCTCATGTGTTTAGCACTAGTTTAATAAGAACAAATTTTAGTCGAATTTCCCACACTGACATACTACATTGAAACAAATAACTCATTCTATTTCACCATTCTTTTTTCTTAATTTTTGTTTTTGGCTTAAAAAGAAGATATTTTACATTTTTATGTTTCTATTTTCGTTGCATTTTCAATTATGAACAAATGGTTTTGAATTGGTCTCACACAAATTATTTACTCAAATCCAGTAAATTACTAGCCCGTATTTAACACAACAACACTGGTTTGAAATGAAGTGATTTTGGATGAAAACATATTTCCTTCAATCACGCAAAAAAAAATGTTAATTAGCAAGCGTTAAATAGCTATGTGTTCGAAGTCTATTCTCTCTTTTTTTTTTTCATTCGTTCACTTTGTGCACCAGAGATCTTTATGTAACCGTGAATTATAAAAAGATTTGTGTATGAGAAGAGCCACACACGTTGGGGTTTAACAGGTTTTGTGTATTTGACCGAAGCAAAAGTGAAAACTGAATGACACAGAGGTACTTGAATTGAATAACAACTAAAACATTTTGAATACATTTAAAGAGAATTTAATGTTTTCTTTTTTTTTCGTTTTAAATATTATTTTCATTTTATCTAAAATTATTTCAATTTTCCACCATATTATTTATCAAAGAAAATGAATTGAATATCGAATTACATTTTTAAATAATTATAAATAATATATACATTTATATCATAGAATTAATCTAAACAATATAATTATTATTTCGCATTGCGATTTTGTGTCGAGGATATTTTGAATACAATCAAATATACATTTCCTTCTTTTTTGTAGTGTTCTAAGAATGTTTTTCGTTTGCACATACAAACAAAATTCAAATAACAAGAACAATTTTCAGTTGCTATATTTTATTTACCACACACGCCTACACATACATTTGAATAAAATGCTTACCATTTTTTTTCTTCATTTTCTTAACAGAAGGTACGGTAAATTATACGCACACTCATATAGAATTCTATTTTTTTATTATATAACTTTAATTTTCCTCCCCCTCCCACCATTTCATCTCCAAATGCATCCTACATGCAAATGATTTTAAAAAAGAATAATACAACAACAAATATACATATATATATATTGATGATTTACTGAATTTCTCACTAAATTAGATGAAACAAACAAACCAAAATATAAACACGACACACACATGCATTATTTAATCTATCTTTTTTCCACTTTCTTTATAACCGATTAAATAATACACATAAAATAATTTGATTGAAAAAAAAAAACAATATCTATTTCTTTATTGATATTTGAACATTTTTAATGATGATATTTATATGAGATATATAATACCAAGAGATTTTTGTATGTTGCAAAACAAAGCAAGAAATGAATTTCGTTGAATATCATAAATCGTATTAAAATCGCTGTTAAAACAGTCGCTACACAAACACATTAGCATCCGTGCACATAAAACATTTCATCTGAATAGCGCGACATTAGACAATAATCTCTGAGCCACAGATAGATCGTGACATATGCGAAGGGATGGTTAGATCACGGAGCGAGTATTCTGCGTTGCGGACAGCACACACACACACACACACACACATCTACATCCATTTTTTCTAAATCCCGGTAAGCATATATTTTCGTTCATATAAAATTTAAAATTTTAAAAGAAAAACACACAAATCTTCACAGAACAACAAAAAAAAGCAACAAATAACAAAAAATGACGAATTAAATATCGTTCCCATTACATACATACTATTTAACAATAATTCAAAATGTTTAAAACGGTTAATATAATTGTCATCTTTCTCACTACGAAGCTAAAAAAGAACACAATTGTTGTAGAAAACGACCAATAAAACCAGTAGATGCAAACAGATAAGGATTTTCCATTAATATTTAGGTCGAAACTAGAGCGTATTCAAAAAAGCATTTATGTACTCGTGAACAAAAAAAAACACAATTTTTGAGGTAAAAAAAATACAAATCCAAACGCAAATGTTTGCTAAACAAGATATACATAGATAAATGTATATATCTTTGATGTGTTTACAACGCTCGAAATCAACACCCATATATATATTTAAGACTGTAAATTAAAATAATAAAGCTTTTTCCGTTTGGGTTTAACTTACTTATTTACTTACAAAACTTGCACTGCTCCATTGTGTGGGGGGTGCTGTATACGTCGTACGGTATCACGACGTATTTATTTGGTGAAAAAAAAATGTTCCTTGTGTTTCTCTTAAATCTCCTTAAATTTTTTTGTGTTTCGGTAATTTTCATTCCATTTCCGTTTTCATTCTGTACCTTATAAATACAATCAGTTCCGTTACAGTAAACTTTTCATCGTCTGGCATCGAACAGCCAAATTTGTCAGGTACTTTATATTTATGAGTTGAGTTTCTTCCATATTTATATACATATATTCATAAATATATTTATTTTGATTTGTTTTTGTAGACATATTCAAGATTTTCAAGATTTAATTCTAATCGTTTCATACAATTTTTTTCATTCTAACTTAGTTGGTGATTTCTAAAATAATAACCAAATTGACTGATATGATGCACGACTTTTTTGACTTTTTTTAAGTTTGACAATTCGCCAATATTTAATTTAAATTGATTTTCGTTCCCTTGTTTTCGATGTACGTATTTTGTCTTTATATTTCATTGCAGATATTGGTCATTTTATCCCGCATATCGTGTTCGGTATGTAAAACAATTCCATCGAAATGATTTTAAACGTATTTTGTGTTGAAACAAAATGTAATGGGAAAAATTTAGTTTGATTTTTTCACCCCATTTAGATTTATTGTGAATTTAAAATTGAGTACAGCAAAAAACAAAATAATAATAATGGTTTTATATGAGGATGAGAACAATTTTTAAATTGATATTTGTGTTTGCCTAGGTTTTCACTGAATTTTAATGTTCAATCTATTATTGCATTTCAAATATTTTCTTCTTTTCTTTGCATTCATTTTTTCTAGGTTCATTTGTCACAATATCGAAAAAATGTTACACAGTTTAAAAAAAAAAAAAATAATTATATCTATATCGATCATTAAAAATCTCCAAAGATTTCCCATAAATCAAATATTATATAAAAACATAAAACAAAAGATGATTTTGGGAAAAGTCATTTTTTTATTTTCCATCAAATAGCTGAATTTATGCATATATTTATTTTTATTCATTTTTACCAAATTCCAATTGAAATGAATTGATCTGAATAAATGCCATTGCAAAACTTCAATTTCGTTTGTTTCCATTCCGATAAAACTTCGAATCTTTACTGCTATCTATTTCTTGTTGTTAATCTGAGAGTTTTTGATCGCTTTGCAATAGAGTTCTTTGCTGTATCTGGCTATGTGTATCTTTTTTGTTGAAAAGAGAGAGAGAGAAAAAATGGATTGTAGCGGAAATATACATATAAGACTAATAAATTTCGATTTACCTTTAGCATTTTGAAAAATGACAAAATACATGTCGTCCAAGTCCTTTGAGATGAATAATTCGAATTTGTGGGTTCGTAGACGGATCGAAATGAATTGATCATCTGTGCTAATTAGTTGAATGGCACGTCTCACTTTTTGAATGAGGTCGTCGAATAATCCAATCGAACGAATTGTTTCTTCACTTTCGAATGTACTGTGAATTGGAATCCCAAGATTATTGAAAACAATTGCATTTTTCACTCCTTTGATTCGTAGACATTTTCGAAAATAGTATTTGATGTATTTGCGCTTTTGATTCTGGTCCATTTCAGTCACAATATTAAAGTGCTGCCACCGATTAAGAAGCTATTGTTCAGTTGGATCTACTTTCTTTGAATTCAAAACGCATACTGGATCGTATATATTTTGTAGGGCATGTTGAACACAAAGCATTTATTGGTTTTTCATAATATTCGATGTTTAGCTCATTATTATGAACAATTTGAATAGTTATATGCACGCATATACAAACAGTTACGCATTTGTTTTGTACGTTCGCTATTTAAGTTGAAATGAGCTAGAGGGAAAAGTTTATGAATAAAAGTCGGAAGTGAAGTATCGCCGCTTTGTTTTTGTTCATTGCATTGTTCACTGAAGCATTAACAGGCGGTAAACGTGAAACGATTTGCATAGATAAACATCACACCGGATCCATCGAATCAATACATAAATCAAACCAAACACACGTAAGTATGAATACGGGGTCGAAAGGTAAGACATTTTTAGAAGAATTCAAATTACTTGACTAATAGAACTTTCGAAAGTTGCATGCTATCGAAACACAATCAAATTCAACACAAAGTAAGTGCGACGAACTCGAGCACGTTTTTTTCTTTGGGGAAATTGTTTCGTCTACGTGTACACTTGACAGTGCACATATAATCGGAGAGTACATGAAAATTGTTGTGAATTCTTGTAAAACTTGATTAAGTCCAAGTTCTCATGCAAATTCATGGTCGATACAAGAAACTGAACAATTTCATCACAGTCAAAATATTGTATAGCTGTAGTTCTTGTTAGTTTTTTTTTTTATTTGCAAACTAATTGAATCAAGACCTAGAAAAGCTTTCCCATTGAAATTTCTTTCATTGAATGTAAAAAAGAGAAACTAACTTTGACTTTAATTTAATGCCTTTAAAAGCACTATACGAATGGTCGTACATCACTTGGCCAATGGATATTTCGAATTAAGTTGTTAATCAATTTATGTGAAAGAAAATTCAGCAATGGTGATGATATTCACGTCCAAAGTGGTTTTGATGTATGCATAAAGAAAATAAAACAACAAACGATTCCGCCTAATTATGTTCATTTTATTTTTAAAAAAAATCTCAGAACATTGTTATCAATTGGGGGATAATATAATTCAAAAATAATGTGAAAAGATCAAATGCAATTACTTTTTGTTGTGAAACTAACTTTCATGACATATAGTCGTTCATTTCTTTTTTCCTTTATTTCTATCTTTATCCATTTTCTTCCTTTCTTTTTCTCTCTCTCTCTCTCTCTCGCTCTCTCTTCTTTTTTCACTTTCATTCCTTTACTCTTTTGTGGCTACAAAAATATGGATTTAAGATGTTTATTTGCCATAAATGGCATCATAAAAGCAACGTGGCAAGTGTTCGGCGACAAAGCACTGGAACTTTTCCCCGGTAGAAACTGGTGTATAACGTGATAATGGACATGTGCGAACCAAAGCATCAACCAAACAACGAATTGTTGGACCCAAATCGGCTTCCTGTAATTAAGGATCGAAAATATATTGCGGTCCCTTGAAACATTTTGCACCATTTTATATAATATTTATGTGTACGAGCTGAGAATGAACATGACTAAAAAAATCCAATCTCTTGAAATCGCCTACAGAAATTCCCATAAGCTATATCCCATTCTTGACATTATCAGCTACTCACACATATATATGTACATTGTACAAGTATTAATTACCTTTTCCGTATATTTTTCGAGGCTTCGAAGGGCACGTTCAAAATAATCTTCACCATAGTTGCTTTTCTGTTCTGCAGTTAATTGGCTCCACATGTTGCGAGCCTATTAATGATGTGTTAGATAGCAAAGAAAAAACCATTATAATCTAAAATTTCGAGAGTTTTTATCGGGAAATTTTTTTAACACCTACTTGTTCCAACATAGATGCTTCTGATAGCCAAGCCGTTCCACATGCAAATTCGCCGGCGGCAACAATCGAAACATCGACACCGCGTGGTCGTAGCTCTTGACGCAAACAAATAGCCAATTGTTCAATACCTGCTTGTGTAGCACATTGTGCGCCTCTAATAGGTGCCGGTACACGGGCCAAAGCTGAAAAATCCATTAAATTTTAATTTAAATTAAAAAATGCGATTGTGTCATGAAGATTTTCAATGAATACCCGACGAAACGAAAACAATGCGACCATTTGCACGACGAACCAATGGCAAAAAGATCTGTGTTAATCTGGCAGCACCTGTACAAGATAAATTCCAGTAATGAATTCAAGTGAAATCATTAAAATCTCGACATACTAGTGAGTTTTGTTTATAAGTACATCGTTATTTCACAAAAATCTTACCAAGCAAATTAACGTCAATTGATTTACGGAGAACAGCAAATGGAATCCATTCAAGTTCGCCAAGAGCTACCCAACACGAGCAATGTACAACGGCCCATAATCCGGCAGCACCTTATTAAAGCAATCGAACATATCAATAATTTCCTATTTTTTCGAAAATCTCAGCTTTAAGCAGAATTTAATCTTAGTTTCACCATTTTTTGTTATTTCAAGACATTTGTGTATTTACCATCTGGAAGATGTTCCGATATATAAAGAGAGGCCTCAAGCATCTGAAATGATTCGCAAAAGAAATAACAATGAAATTGATAACCATTCGCGTCAAGGCCGTCATCTCATGGTGAACAAAATTTTAAATTGAATGTTGAAACTTGAATAAAAAGTGAGCTGATGCAAGAAAGTAAATAAATATTCATGCAATCACAAACTTGTTGAAGCAATTAGTCATTACACACGCATTTTTGCCGTCCAAAGTACATAAATTTGATGGGCATTGTCTGGTTGGATGTTGAACAGACAACACTTAATGTGTATTTGCATACAGTTATCAAATTTAAGCGCTTATTATCCACGCTAGAATGGATGAAGCACCAAAAAGTCCAAGGAGAGCAAAGCGAGCGAAAACTTTGTTCAATATTCTTTATTGCTTCGACAGAAATTATGAGAATTTCTTTTATTTTTTGCTTCGTCTTTGTGTATTATTCTCTCTTACCTGCGTCTCCGAAGTTACGTCAAGTTGTAAAATTTTTGTCCGTCCCGACGATTCTTCTTTCAATAAATCAGCATCACTGCAGCCGCTACGTTTTGTAAAACCAGCAAAAATTGTGAATCCAAGCTCATCAAGTTTACGAGCCAAGCACCATGCAAGCGGTGACTCACAACCGGTGATCAAAATAGCTTTTCCACTGGCAGATACCTTTGTGTGTGTACGTGGCAAAAGAGGGTGCAATCAAACGAGAGAAATGCAAGAAAATAAGAAAAGAAAATGAGTGAATGAAAGAGATATCGAATAATTTCGTTGGAATTGGTTGAAATGGCAATCCAATTTTAAAAAAAACTTATCGAAATAGATCAATTTCATTTTTACCTATGATAAAGTATACCAATTCCATTAAGAAAAAGTTTTCACGTTTTCCATTCCACCGCGATTGAAAACGTTGTTGTTTAACTTAAGCTAAAACAACAATTCAAATAAAGTCTTTGCAGTTTGTTATGAATTCTGCACCTGTTAGAATATATGACGTTGGATACGACGAGCGAAATTGAGAGAGAGAGAATTCAACGAATCAAATCGGTGGTGTTTTTAATTTTTCCACCACTCCCTAAGTTGGTTCAATATCCGATACGTAGACCATAGACAATTCTTCAAAATTACGTGCGTTTAACACATCGTTGTAAAATCGTTATAAAAGTTGTTGAGGTAAATTGACCTTAAACACATGACAAACCGCAATAAAACACAAAACCATACACGTTGTGTGATTGAGAATCCTCCCGAAGACATGCAATAGTATGCAACACCGTTATGTCCAAGCGCATACATACATACATACATCGCATTGAGTCACACAAGAATCATTATATACATTCTCGAGCAACAAACAATTCCATTGAGGTGGCTTTAATATATGAGAAATAGCTTTGCTCACTTTGTTATTTTCAATTCTTGGTTGTCTTACAAACTATGAGTGAGATAAATTAATAGCATTGAATGTTCAGTGAACGCGTTGTTTTAGTGGAAAACTTTGAACTTGATTGGCGTGCGAGAGGTTTGGCGCTGTCTTCTAATTTGTATATATTGTTGCATTTGTTGTTCGAAATTCCGTTGAATTTCAATGCTTCATAGCATCGAATGCACAAATATCTATACCTATCACGTGATGAATCAATTAAAACAGATAAACTTTCCGAATTTGAGCCGCATGAGCAAACATGTCAATGTACGGTAAAGTTTTATAACTTATGTTAAGAATATTAGATTTTTTTCCCCCGCTGATTAGCCATATCAGGTTAATCCGGGCGAATTTTCTCTGCATAATTTTTCAATTTCTGCAAAAGTGAATTAATTTTTAATGTTTGTTAAATATATGCATTTTATATAGTTTATGAAAAGAAGCTTATGCCGTCAGCCCCACCCAGTAATAGAAATGATGTTTGAATGGAACCTAAATGAGCTTCGAGCGTTATTTGTTTGTACGGAAGATTTACAATGTTTGAAATTAAAACAAAAATGTTCCATTTCCAAAAAAATGACTTTTACCATTTTTGTATGGGAGCTATACACTCAAACTTGAATTTTTTCAGCTACAAGTTACATAGGCAATTAGAGTTCAATTAGATTTTCGTCCGTGTTTTTCATTCGGATCTTATATTCAGATGGCGCCTGCAGAAACATCATTTTGTTATGTAACGAAGCAGGCAACAGGCAAAAAAAGAGAAAATATTCCATAATGTGCTTTTTGTTCATTAAATCTTTGTTCAGTGGGCGCGCATAACGTACAATATATTTTGTTAAATTACCGATTGTTATGTTTTCAATTTTCGTTTTTGATTGGTCATTTAGTATTTGATAAGCTTCGATTTTCCATCATTGTTAGCATATCTAATCAAAATTGATTCTATCATCATGCATGGTCTGAAATCGGAATGCGTATGCGTTGAGAATGAAAGTGGGAATTTGTAACGCTGTGGTAAAATATTGTTGAAATCCTTTTATTTTTCCAAACAATTTCAAATAATACCGTAGATTTTAATCAACTTATTCGGAATGTTACAAAAAAGACTTGAGTACATATTATTGCAATTGATTATTCCCACGTTTATTCTCATCCAATCGAATATGGAATCGCTTGAGTTCTTCAAATATATACTATATTATTGATGTGGGCATTCATTTAAATAAACGATCGTATCTCATGAACATATTCAATTTATTTTGAGCGCCCAATAGAGTTTTGAAATTATTTGATAATAATCAATAGGCAGCACCTACATATCACTTGTATGAACAATATGTGCTATCGTAACATTAATTACTTTTATCAATTCAGCAACTACTGTTATCGTCAATGTCGCTGTATCTGTCATTGTTGGTTGATTCGTATAAAATCGAAGTAGTCTCATTGAATATATTGAATCGCCAGATATCCTAGCTGTGATCATTTAACTTCTCTTCCATTCACTTCGGTGAATTATAATTTCTTTCTTTTGTATTTTATGTTTTTGCTACTGTTTCGCAACACATCTCTTTTGTCCTTGTTTTCCAAATTATTTGCTCAATCACCTGCTGTGTGAGCTTTGTGCAACCGTAAAAATACAATCATCTTGCTTTGGCATTGTTGGGCCAGGTAAAAAAAATTTGTTTGGTCGTACATCCATGACTATGCGTCGTTATGCTATGCTATGTTTTTATGTGTAGCCCTAATAACTTGTGTGTTGAACATTTTCAGTTCTTCGATGCTTTTTTTTTTGTTTCAACAAAAAAGGTCCACTCTTAACATTAGGTAATTCATTTTAATCACATTTTCGTTGTTATTACTTTCTCTACCCCCCCACTCTTCCCGCTTTTCTTTTCATCTCCATCTATCTCTCCGATTTTATTTTATCTTCCGTTCAATTGTTTGTGCGTGTCAACTTGGTGGCTCATTTTAAGTAACAATGACAATGCGCCTTAGCTCAAATGAAGGTAAACTCGCATAAGAAACCATTTGTCTCCTTTCTCTCTGTCTCAACATTCATAGATATATCCAATGCTAACGGCATATTATACAGTACGCCTACTGATTTTCTTTTCAAACTGATGAAACTTTAAATGCGGACTGTGTACACAAGAAAATGCGTAGTGTTCATCAGGTGACCCAGAAAATTGGGGTCTTGATATTATAATATATATATTATATTGTATATATGTGAACAACATGAAATGGAAAACAACAGCAAACATCTTTTCATTGTGCACGCACTGCACAACAGGCAAAAATCGTTCAAATATTGTTTCGGCATAAAGTGTGTGAGTTGAATAAAGTAAAATTGTATGCCACATAATACATCTCCTTGGATCTCCGTGGATTTCGAGCGGTTCATTCACATTAATTCGTTGATTCAAATAAATGTGATGATAATATTTCATCAGCAATGTATTGCAACACTCAAACACAAATAGTGTTAGTTTGTTTTCAAATACAATGAATTATCATCTCCCCGCGGGCCACACCATTTTCGGATATTCTCTTGTACGCGATGAATCTTAATTTTCCAAGTGTTTTCAAAAGAGGATGGCATACATCGTATTTGATCCTTTAATCAGTTTTTCAATCAACAAACAACGATTCTGCATGAAAATTAAGAAACAAAAGACAAACAAAATAAACTTTGTGCAATTGTAATGGATATTTTCCACACTACAATGGAATCCACCCTAAATGCGACTACCTTGTTTAAGCACATTCCCGCATTTTCTTCATTTTTTTGGCTGCTGTATAAAAAAAGCTTCTGAGAATTCTTCCATTGTTCGGATTCTGCACATCCGAATGACAATATTCCGACGTAGCAAAATATTTAAGTTATCTCCAACTATCGACGATTGCCGCATCAATATAATAACAATTAGAAAATGCTTTCAGAACTTTTCCGTTGTAACCAACGGCTAACATCACAATTGAATCAAAACTACAAATTTGATTTCGAGTCATAGAAACAAATAACAAAATCTCTTTCTTTCAGTCAATGCTAAATGTGGTTTTTTTCTCTTTTGGGATATGTAAAGAAAACGTTTGTTTTTTGTCTATTTGAAAGAGTAATTGAATTTAGTTGTCATTTTCGTGGTTGGAAATACTTCTTGTTTGAAAATATTTTTTTTTTTAATATGAACATGAACGTAACCACGGGAAAATTGATTGGAACTGGTAACATGAGTTTTTCCAATAGAATCATTATGGTTTTCTGTCCTTTAAGTATACTGGAATTAAAATGTGCTGTGAACTGTACTCAAAAGTTAGTTTAGTTGAATGTAGCAATGTCGTACGAAAGTATGTGAACGAACTGAAAAAAACCCCCCATATATTTACCTATGAGTGTAATATGTTCACTTTTGTCTTCATAGTGTATTCCATTAAATGTTTTTCTTGTTTATTTATTTTTCTTTCACATTTCTCGATTAAAACTACAGCTACTGCACCCAACCGTATACAATCAACAAATAAATAAATATATTGTACATACAAAGTTGTATTTTATGGAATAAATGAAGTGAAAGCATTGATGAAAAGTGCAAAAACCAAAATCCCTTCACATTAAGTAAATTGAATACGTGTGTTGGTTGTACGTGAAAACGATAATGTGGCTGAGTCAATATGAATGTTATATTTATAATCCACGGAATTAGGTAGTATTTCGTTAGCTGCCAGAGGCAAGATAATGTGAATGCACCAGCACCAACCATCAACCAACATCCATGACTATCGATACAATTTATGGATTTACTTTTTTTAACACAAATTCACAACACTGAACTATATTTGTAGATCAAGTGCGCATATAGTATCCATCGTGGGTGTTTTGGTTTGATTCGTTAAAATCGGCCAAAAGAGAATACCACTGAGATTAAAACTAAGTCTGATTTTCTCACTGTTGAACATCTAACGGTAAAGTTATCGATAGTCAGCGAACTCAGTTTTATAACTCGGTTCACCGTTACCCATTTCCACATCCCAATAATCTTTTGTTCACCATCTTTTTTTCTCTCACTCTTTTACTCTCTTTTCTCCGTCTATTGCTACCATCTTCTCCACCAAATGAAGAGAAAGTATATTGATACATTCAATTTCGTCATAGAATCAGTTTAAATGAACACAACTTTCCAATGGATAAAGTTTTTTTTATTTACAATTCAAATGTGAAGGTTTTTTTGGTTGTTTT